GAAGTTGGTATAATATGAATGGTCATGTCAATTCAGCCTAACACCAACACAAAATAAAAAATTATTTATAAACCCATAACTTAGTTACAATTGATGTCGATAGAATGTCTCCGAAATCTAGGTAGACACATAATATGTCATTCGGTCAGCATGCAGTTGAGCCTCGTGCTGCGCCGCACGGCCCATGGAAATCGCCTGACGGAAACTCAAGCTAGGATTTGTTAAGATGCCGAGTATTCTCCCTCTCGCTTATTTGGAGTGTGTCTTCATGTTTGGACCAGGTGTAGAAATTTTCCCAGATAGAGTATTCTACCCAATACTTGATATATTGCGCTAATCTTCCCCGCAGATGTATGTTTGGTGCAGATCTTCATATATGTACTTGCTATATATTTCCTGACGTTCTTAGAAGTGATTGTTATTGCATGCCATACAAAGCGCGCGCGCCAGATCCACTATTTGAGTGCAGTTAATAATGCCCCTCAAAAAAAATACGAATAGGTATATACTCCACATATATATGTAAGTATGCCTTGCCAAGGAACGTTCCCGGGAGGAGAAAACTGATTCCATGGATGTGGGATTTGAACTTCTGTCCTATTATGCAGGGTCTAGGCTCGGCAGGTGGGCCGCTTAATTCGATTCTTTAACGCTGTGCCGGATATCATAACTGAGATACGTCAACATCACTACCGGTATCTATCTGTGCTACAACCCCCTACAGCACTCCGAATGGTCTTAAAGAGACCCGGAGCCTCCTCCGTCCTATATGCATGCACAGCCACTTTATGTCCAAAAATTGTATTGCGGCTCAACTACTTGTAGTGTAACCAAGAACCCGACACAAAGTTCTGACATGACATGACATCTCATGTGTTTGTACGTGTGTTTGATATATAGCCGAACGTGCCCCCGGACTTTGGTCGGCCTGTAGCGGCATTGATCGCATCATACCGTATGTTTCCAATAGTCGGACAGAAACACGGTCAGGCAGTGAACCTTATGCTATAATGAGTCAGTCCAGTCCCTCACTTTTGCAAGTTTGAGTATAAGACATACTAGGTAAGAAAGTACTCGAATAGTCCAAGGAAAATTTCTCTTATCTAGTCGGACTCCGTGAGTTCCAGGTAAGGGAGCTATAACTCTGGGACTGGTAATGCTAGGAGCACATTTTATGCACCGCCCTCTGCCTAGCTTTACGCGCTTCATAGGCTGTAGAGTCACGCCGATCACTGTTTGATGTACTCTGTAAAGTAGAATGGGCGGTTAGCGTAAGCCGAGTGATAGGCTGTGTTGTGACTGTGAAATTCGAAGGAAGCTATCGTTTTGATGTCGGGCTATAATTTTGGATGGAAAAAGTGGGCAGAAAACAAGAAGAGTGAAAGACTTGTGATGCCCGGCATTAAGCAGAAGGTAAATTTGTTCTAGTCCCGGAATCATATGTGCTACAACCCAGAGAAGAATACGGTATGTATTGCGAATTAAATCGATTTAAACTTATTGATTATATGAACCAGAGAGTCTCTTGAGATACGTACATGTATTTTATAAATTTTGGTGAGCATCAAGTATATAGGCTCAATTCAAGAATCTATTACCGTAATTAATGCTACACACACTGGAGATCCAGCTAGACTAAGATTTGTACATGTATTAGGTCGACCCGGATTTGAGTATTTTTTTTGTTTAATTCATTCCCTGATTTGAGTATACATTTATGTTATATATTTTTTGATCGATTTTGCGTATATATACATGATGCATAGATATTAGCCAAGTAGTATCGAGCCATTTCATGGTTTTATGATTGTCTCGATCAAGTTGATCTCGATTTAATCCGGATTCTGAGTCCACTTAATCTTAAGCACGTAGCCGCATCTATAAACACAACCAACAGCTGGACCGTATATAATTATAATCCATAGCTAGATGTCTGGGTTCAATTGGAATTGGCCCCATTCTGATAATCATACGAATCAATTGACAAACACAATGCATACCAAATACACTGAATCTCTTGGTCTGGAAGAACCAAAACCAAGCTTAGTGTCTTTAATGAATCAAGTGAGATTCTTTGTACCTATTTTATCACCAACGTGCAGGGCTTGAGCCAATTGGGGGCATAAAAATTCTCATGTAAAATACTAGAAGTTCCTTTCACCATATCACCACGCGCATGGTGTTCTTAGAGTATAGGCGCTGTGCCATATTTAAGACTTCCTCTGTCACGTCGTGCATACGCGCGTGCATACCGATAATCACCTCTGAATTCTGAAGGTAGAAACATAAACTTCTTGTCTTATGCAGTATTATCAAGCAGAAGAGGTGCAGGTTGCTGATCGTATTTTACCTTGGTCTTCACTCACTTATGCACATAGGTACAGATTTAGTCTCGAAAGTATTACGAAGACAAAAAATGTTTCTCCTTGTAACCATTTAATTAATTATAAGGCTTTTGAGTGAGTAAGACCGGGTGGCCAAAATGTCTATGGGCCAGATGGTGTTGATGCCTTGACCAGGTTTTGGGAACAATTAAGCTTTAGGGGCACACGTGAATTTTTACTGCTGGTTAAACTGAGTAATACGGCAGTTCAACTACAATCGAATGGGGATGTTACTATAGAGTTACCTTTAGTTTCTAGTATGAGGTTTTGCATCGGTTTCACAAAGAATTAAGGCCGGTTAGCCGGTTAGATTGTCGGGCCAAAGCAATGTGGTAATCCACATGAAGCAATTGGTTGAATCCAAGAAGTTTGGTAATGTCTTGAGATATTTGGTATCTGAAGGACCAGTCACAAGGTATTCCTATGGAGATAATGATTTCTTTAGGGCTTCTGCGTCATGTCGTCTAAGGCGTTTATTATATAATATCTTTACTTGAAGAAAGCGGCAGGCTAAATACGCGCCAATCAGGACTATGTCGTGTAATGCCAAACCTTATTAATTGTGCTTATAGTGATATGAGCGGGGTACGGAAGGCCTGGGCCCCTCTAATCATTACCCCGCTGTCTAATGCCTCTAACGACATGACGTATAAAGAATTTGCTCCATAAGTTGTTCAAATAGGTTACGTGGATCGTTTGCCTATAGGTATGGTTCTCCAATTGTAAGACAAAGAATGCGGCGTTTGACATGCTGTGCCATATCTCCCTTGTCAGAGGTAGTTGATCGAGAGTGAAGAATGGTCTTTATTGGCGCGCCGTACTTCACTACCTTGAACTGTGCTGTTACAAAAGTGGCGACGACCGATGAACTTATACAGATTGATGAATAATCATAAATTAATAATGCGGCAAGAAGACATCAGGGTAAGAGTAAAATGCAGGGAAATTTACACAATTTTGAAGGATAGATGTATTTGCGTGAGGAAAATGGCTCGTGACCGTGCCGGTATGCATGTACGTCAAAATAAACGTGAATCCCGATCGAGTGATGAAGCAATTTATTCGTTAATTGGCGAAGGCGGCCCCAAGAACCATGCATGTGGTTTGTTTCCGGTGCACGAACCTTAGGGATATCCATATGTGCTGCATCCATACGTACTATGCAGAAAACAAAGTACATAGGTAGACATCTTTGTCAGAAGGAAAATGAGTCTTCACCGCTACATAAGCAATGATTATTATCCATTGTACCCCTTTCTTGCAGGAGTGACAGGGTCTGGCGGGTGGGTACTCCGCAAGTGAAGAAAACAGCTGAGCGGAGCTGGGAGTGAAGTGTGGACCCAGTTGACATGTGGCTCAAACCGACAAGCGAGAGCCGATAGTTTGGTAGATCGATCTCATGCAGTCATTTCATGGGATCTGCTGGATACAGGCGCATCTCCCTACCTGTGGATGTGGTATTAAAATCCCACGGACCATGGTATCACAATTGATCGGTGGAGTATTAGGTGAGATCACTGAATCGGAGTGAGGGAAGGGCATTGACGAAAACGAGGCTCAGCGGGAGCACGCCCGGCCGGGTAGCTGTGCCACAGACGACGTTGAATCGTCCAATCACAACATCACTTTCTAATATCAACCCAGGTTTGCACCGCCCTATGCTTTGTTGGATAAATTACTTTATATGGGTTTATTAGGGGACTTAGCTCATATAAGCTTTACCAAATAGAGAATATAGCCCTTATTAAGGCCTATTTGGTTCTATTTTTCGACAAGAAGGTACTAGAGTAAATGCGAGTGCGTTACTAAGGGTGCGACATCTCGAACCACAGAACATCTCAACTTCATAGTACTCATATAATACTAGATTCTAGATTTTTCAGTCTATTTCCGAATACCAGGCCGTCACTGCATCCATTTCTAAATCTTGGCACACGTCCCGACACACGATCAGGCTAGTTAACCTCTACTGCTGATGCAGATTCGTTCGTCATGGGATAGTGCTTACCCTCAGCCTTTGATTTATTCTCCTTGAGCTTACCTTGATCTAAGTAATTACGGGTCAACTTTTTCTGGCTACTTTACCAAGATTATCTGAGCATCAGAATAATAAACACCAATCGTCTGACTTTTAAATTTTAGTATTGCATCATAAACCATATTTCTAGCTAGACATGCAATGACCAACATAGGAAAAAAAGCAATGGCTGCGGTACAGGGTTAGAATAATGTTTCACGGAGATCATTGAAATCTAGGCAAAAAGAGGGGAGGTCGAGGGGAGAGTCGGGAGAAAGGACCAGAGAATATTGATGTATTCACCAGTTCAAGCCTCATGGGCCTGTGTATAAAATGTGCATGATATTCGCTGACAGTTGCATACTCCAACACCGAGAGAGATTGAATATTCAAGCCTGCAATTGATTACCCGTGATTAATTCAAACACAGTGCCGCAATCTCTAAACAACTCCGAGGATACTACGCATCGAAGATCTTTACAGTCTCCGAAAGAAGCCGATTCAACTGGTTTCATCGTACCGCGCTGGAATATCAGCCCTAAAATTAAACATTTGAATTTTACCTACTTTTATAAAGCCACCGTTCTTCCCCCTAATCTATGGCATCAAACGAAACAAACAACGCTCAGTACCTCTCGATTGACAACTCAGAAAATCGTTCGGCTTCTGCTCCTCCTTCAATTTCTTCTTTTCCATCATCAAGGGGTCCCACAGATACTTCCCACTCTCCTTCTCAAAAGCTACAGATTCATCCAATTCTCGAAGCTCAAACGGAATCTTTCAACGAAATTATTGCTGCCTCAGATAATACTGCAGAAATGGCCCACTACTCCAGCAACACCTGTGAATACTCATACCCAGCATCTACCTCTGGCGCTCCATATAGCTCTAGTCAAATTTCCCAAGTAAGTATCTCGATTGAAGACAACTCTCTTTAAACTATCTCTACACTACCTAAGGATTTACTCTAATACAATTAAAATTCACAGACTGAGATCAATCAGATGTTACACACCCTCCGCAGCCATCGAGTCAACACGTTGACGGAACTCCGCCGTATAGAAAAAGTTCTCGCATCTGTAAATCCGTTGGCATATTATGCACCCATGACCGAAGCCTGGAACCACTATGTCTCATCGAATAACTTTCTCAGCGAGCTCAGAGGATTGACGAGACAATATCCATTCAGTACAGAACTCCTGGAGAGTGCTAAATGGAGTGTATACAACGATCCAGATAGCAGCAAGAGTTGGAATTTTGCTTGGCTAATTCTTACGAAATTGAGAAATGAGTAAGTCCAACAATTATGGCATACATCCTTTCACACCTACCACATACAATGGACTAATTGAAGTGGTTACTGTGTTTAGACAAATGGTAGCAGAATTTGCTACTAAGACAGCATATGAGCCCGCAATGTGGGGTAATGCTACTCCTGATCCAGCGAGTGCCACTCAGTTGGCTTCGGTCTTGACCCAGGAATGGTCAAAGGCTGTTGACCAGATGCTTAGGCACTGGTCTTCTCCACCTACGACTGACTCCTTCTACTGAGTGATAGAAGCCCTCAGTTTCTCTCATTTACTTAAATATGAGAAAAGCAAGCAAAGTTCCCGTTCGATATCTCGTGGTTTTGTTTTGTTTCTTTATTTTTAACCTTTTCTTTTCTTTTGGTGTCTAGTCTTTCCTTTCTATATATCTGTGTAGCGGAATATCAGTCCTTTCGTCATGAGCCATGACTCCGATAAATTTAAACTTTACGCAAATTTCTTCTCATGACCGGTCTCAAGATTGAAGTTTGAACTTATCGACCTAGTAAAGATAGATCTTCGCCAATTTCTATGTTGCAATTACAGTCAGCCGCGGAGGTCTTGATTCTTTTGTGACTCACCCAGAGCTGTTTTAATTCTCCTTACGAAATGTAGAATCAAAGCCCCAAATAACTGATTTGATAGCGGCCAAAACTATTCTCGTCTTCTTAGGCTCTAATTATTATAAATTCGAAGCTTACTCCCATGGCCACTTCTAGCGCCTCTTTAAACCCCAGTGTTGTTAGGCTTTCGGGCCGGATAGTTGCCAGCCGACTGCCATCCTGATTCAAACTTTTTGAATATGAACATGAATCTTATACCGGTTTCCCCGTTTCCATTTTCGGGGACGGGGGGCATTCGGTAGTGGGTTAGGGTTTCTTTTCTCGTAGGTAGTTTTTTTTGGTACGAGTACATGTAGATTTTTTCTGCCTTCTTAACATGAGCAAACAATGTTAGCGTCCTAGAGTAGAGATACGTTAGCCTCGTCCTCGAGCCTTCATTTAATCCGCCAAGGTTACCCAACACTACATGTACTGGCATAGCACTATACACCTAACCCTGAACAAAAGCTATCACCTCACCTTAGTGGTTGATCAATTGAATCTCCCATAGGTTGTGAGAGGTTCGATTCGGATCTTGCAGCTTGGACTTTGGGGATAGTAATCACGTCTGCCATCTTTTTCGTTCACTCTCTTAAAAAGGTGCTGAGGTCATGCAGTTACATGCATGTATATGATTTATATTGTGGCATGGCATATATATATATATGGGCCGAATTCTTCTTTATTAAACCGGTTTGCCATGCAGTTCCGGATAATTTGCGACTCGCGAGAAACCCACTATATATCCCCGCTTCGTTAAATCTTAATTCCGGGTGAGAAAAAGTGCGGATCTGCACGAATCCGTGAAGTTTGATACGCCAATTCGCCTTGGTTCATACAAACACGGGGATAGTGGATCATTCGCGATCGAGAATTAGCAGTAGGGGTGCATCCGGGCCTGTTACCCCCGGATCACTATTCTTCTTACTCCAAAGGCACGTATGCAGTCTAGAATAAGAAATTTGAGGTTTTTAAAGTGATTATCGCCTGTCGTTAACCTCCTAGAGCCCGTGTACCAGTACAGGTACCCGGGCATATATCATTCCGACTAACCCAAGCTTGGTCTTAACCAATGATTAATAAACATGGCATTAATATCATTTCCGGAGGGCTTTGGCAATTCGTAGAAGCAATACATGATGGTTAGACGACATAGAAAGACTTGGAAATAGCAGTATAGATCATGGAACGAGATTATAGCAATCTATGAATTTTTAAAATGATTTTCTAAAACTATAAAATACATATATACATGACCTGCATGTATTCCTGTACTAACCTAAATCTTCACATCTTCCATATCATCTTTCACATCCTCCTTCTCCGACTTTTTATCTGACTCTTTATCTTTCACTTGTCCCGCCTTCGCGGCCCCAACCGCTGCCTCTCCTGCTTGCCAAACTACACTTGTTCCCAAAACTGCGTCCACTGCAACCTTCCCTACATTTCCCACAGTCTCTCTTGACTGTTCAACTAATTCTTTGGCTTCCCCCCCATATCTATCTTCTGCGCTTTTGGAAATACTATCTCCGATTGCGGCTGATGTATTCGCAATGCTATTTACACCTCGTTAGCACTGACTGACCTTATTTATCCAAGATGTTAGACTTACCTGTTTCCAACCTTTCCAGCTGTATTCGCAGTGGCTTCCATCCCTTCATCCACAACCTTTCTCACTGGCCCTTTCTCTCCCTTTTCTCCACTCCCTGCGTCGATACCTCCAGTTGCCATGCCAATCTTCTCGCCAACCCACCTCCCAGCCTCAAATGTCGCATTACTTACTGCGCTGGCAACAATTCCCGAAATTTCTGCAAGCTTTGCACTGCCTTCTACAGCCCCGCTCGCTATACTTTTTGTAGTTTCCGAGAATTTCACCTCTTCCTGTTTCTCGCCCACCCCTCCACCGAGCGCGATCTGAAGCGCAGAAACAAGATCATCCTCGTCCTCAACCTGTGAGTTTTTGAGAAATCCGTGAGAGAGAAGCAAAGATGAGAGCTTGATCCCTAGTGGCGAAAGAGTAGGTAGAGAAGGGAGAGTAAGGTGGATAAATCCTGTGTCAGAGCTGGAGAGTGGTGTGGCGAGGAGGTATTGGGAATGGTCCGTCGTACTAACAGCGACAGTGGTAGGAGGCAAAGGGATAGTTATCTTATCAATTGTCAAGAGAAGAACGGGCTCATTGATCGTAGTAGTATCGGTGGTGGCGGTATTCGTGTGCGGTTCATTCAAGGCGGAGGTGGAGGGTGGATGTGTGAGGGTCAAAGTACCAGAGGCGAGTGGTATGCGCAAGGATGAGACCAGCTGAAGAGCTGCGACAGTAGGGATTTCGAGTAGAGGTGAGATTGTAGTGGTCATTTCTGAGTTGTTTTCGTATTGGGGAGAGGAGGAGTCTGGTTGCTGAGAAAGGACTAAATACTCAAGTAAACTAGAGACGGAGAATGTAAGGGACGGTCTCGCTTTCAAGCAGGTAGAAATAGGTAGAAATAGGCAGGTGTGTAGCTATTTCAGATGAGTACTCTTTAACTGTCAACCAAGTATTTCCCTTTGTTTTACGCGACGTCATCGCGCATGCAACCAGCTGCTGACATTACTTTAGAGTTGCTTTGAGTCAAAAATAGCATTAACACTTGACACTCTCGGTAGGGTAAGTAAAGTACATGTACCAAGCTGCTACCAAACCAAACATGGTAATTTGAGTACTGACAGTTGATCCCTGGGGGTGTTGCTAGCCTCAGGGTTGCTTCTACTTCGTAAAGGTGCTAAGTGACGGTAAGCCTGGTTGCCGGTACTCCTGAGATAACTCACCCTGGCCCTGGAAGGAGGGTATTTAAGTGTATGCAGGGCACTAGTGTTAGTGGAGGTTATTATCACCCCTGAAATCATCAATCATGAACGTAATATCTCCTAGTTCGGGCTTCTTTTAGGTGATAGTTAGTCCGGGCTCGGGCCGTTTGTATTCGAGTGGTCCAAATGGTAGAGCTAGAAGTTCTTAGAAGCTTCGTTAAGCGCACATCAACAGTACCTACATATTGATAGTCCTTGCCGCTGTCTCAACTGCGGAGAAGTATTCACTTATTATATGCCTGGCACCTGGCCTGCCAAATCATCCACGCTAATATTGATTCCAAGCTTTGACTCTACTCTTAGATATGATACGATTGATGAAAACAATACTGACAAGGTATCCATAATAGTGTCGCTGCGGGATAAAGAACCCTACCATTATCTTTATTGGCGGAATACACGGGTACGCGTCTAAGCTAGTCACCATGTAGGTATCAGGATGTATCAGGATGTATCAGGATATCAACGCATCTTTGGACATACCCGTCTTTTTATCACCACCAACGGAGGTACGAACGATATTCCTGTTTGAACCTGCCAAGACATGGAACATTTTTTTTCCTTTCTTCCTTTTTTTCGTATCGACGAAATGTATTTGTTTTTGCGTAAAGATCGGTGGAATCCCCGGTCGCTGGAAATATCCGGCGTATGCACGTAGTAGTTCCATGATCGACGTCCTGATTCCGCGTGGAAATGAGGAATGTTTTGTGCAACGGAACGGGAAAAGAAAGCGGGTTTATGTCCGGGGCGGGAGTGGGGGCGGGGTGGAGAAGAACCGGAGACTCAGGGGGGAGAAAACAGGGGGGAGAAAAAAAACTCGTTTCCTCGTAACACACGTGTGAGATAAGTACCATATGTGATTTATGCATCACTAGCAGGGCTTGATATATTAATACATACTCGGGCTATTATCATTCTCAGACCCATTCGGCATGCAGAAGACATAGGGATGCATACACGTACCATAGGCGGTGCTTCTTTTCTTTGATTCTGGCCCTCATCGCAGATGACCATGGTAGATGAAGTAGAGATTTATGTTAACCCAAAGAACTTGTTTTGGTTGTTACATATATATGTGATTGGAAGTTAGTAGTTTTCGAAGGTTATTAAATATAGTACTGAAAAAGCGGGTGGATTCAGTACCTTATCTGGCAGAATACCGCCAGGTTACGGTATGCTATGGTATCCGTTAAGCCGTTCTTCTGCCAACATGAGACATGGCAACATCACGCGCAAGCCGCAGAATTAAGACACGATACTTAGCAAAGCTTAACAGCGTAAGAGATATAGTTAGGATTCCGATTTACTCGCGCCAGGGAAAAAGAACCAGAACATGCAAGTGAGAAAGCAGGGATTATTTGTATGGAGTGGCGCTGAGCTGCCATACAAACCTAGGCATTTGCATGTTCTGGTTCTTTATCCTAGACGCGAGTAAATAATTCGGACGTTTTGCACAATTCCCTATTACACCCCCCCCCCCCCTCTTTTGGTATATGTATGTATGAAAAATAACCTAGTTTGGATATGATATTATTTCCAAATATTGAGCTTCCACATAAATGCCCACAAACCCAACGCCAAAGTATACAAACAAAAATATGACTCCATCCACAATAACGAAATACACACTGGAGATTATACATACTAAGCAATACCAGAAAACATCATATCCCATTCTTGCCAGTCAATGTCCTCACTATAATCATTCCCCAAATCCCAATTTCCAAAATCCCCATTACCAGCCATCTGTACTGGCGTTGGTGTCTCACCTTTGAAATCCACCGTCGAATCAGAGTCTACACTACGGACACCAGTAACGAACCCCAATCCAGCGGTCTGTATCACCATGTCCCTCTTTTTTCTCCCATCAATTACTCCGCCGTCACCTGTATCCACCGCCCTTCTCTTCCTTCCGCCACTCCCCTTCCTCCCCGGTTTTCCTTCTCCTCCGACAGACAACTTCTTTACAGCATCCTTATCCTCCGCAACTCTCTTGGTGAAAATCGCTAAGGTTCCCGATAATATCATGAAAGACCATTTTTTGTCCTCACACATGAACTTCGCGATCTCACCCACCTTTTCCACTGCGTTTCCCGCCGCACTTCTCAGCTCGCCATCATAGTCTGTGATAGGGTCATGCTTAATACTCAAAGCCACCAGGAAACATCGGACCTGAGCATAAAACATTATCCCCCAGATACTCGGACCAGTCAACAATAACTCCTTACTCGTGTATCCCAGCGCCCTGACAGAATCGTTGGCAAGTAAGACTCTCATATCCGATGCATTTGGGATTAACTCTGAGAAAAGCGCAGCCTCAGCATCAGTTGTAGGTTTGAAAAATGGCCCGTAAAAAGTAGCTTTATAGTAGCGTAATTGATTTCAAGATGTGCTAAGGTGATGGGCGACCATATGTGAGAGTTAGCTCTAATTCGCTGACCCAAATGAACGACCTCTTGTTCAACGAGACGGAATTGTGCGGGTGTGACATGTGCGAAACGGTCCGCGCGAAAGCAGACGGGGTGTATACGACCTAGGGTAATTGCTTGCTGGATGAGCTCGACGAAGTATTCGTGAGGTGGGGCGGTGGGATTATCAATGTCATGAGGAGAGGGGAAGTCGACATTGATATCAGACATATCGATCATGAGGGGGTAGCCTTTTCCGGTACTGGTCCAACGGTCCTTGGCAAAGATGGCCCAGAAAAGGCGGCGTTTCATTTCTTGCATGAGAGGGTGTTCGTGAGCATATGTTTCTTTCCGGTGTAAACGGAGTTCAAAAGCCATCCTAACTGCCTATAATCCCTATCAGAACCGATATATATCCCTATATAAGTCATATATGAGTATGGTAACCTACAGCAGCAAGCCTAAGGGGCCATGTCTCAACTCCCTCGAGACCCTCACACTGAAGCTCAAGAGTCAAATGTATTAACGTTAGCGCTTGGAGTGTTTGTATCGATGGTTCATATTTGCTCATATAGTTCTTGAGTTGGTACTCCAGAACACGCTTGATGTGTAAGAAATCACGCGTGGAGACTATTGCACCCGGTAGTCGAGCTGCTACACCGTACATTGCCGAGAGAAGTAACTGGGTCGGTTTTATTGACTCGAAGTATGATATCCCTATGATTGGTATATAGGGGTGGACGTTGGAAAAGAATCTTTACATCATATGTATTGATTAGCTGGTAGTAGACTTCCGTGTTAGAAGATGGTATTACAGATTTTTGAGATATTGAATAACAGGCTTATCAAGCCTTAATTCTTGGTCGGCATCAGTATCGCCGCCTATCCAGGGCGAAGTCGAAGACTTATGTTGCGAAGCCACTTCTTGCCGCAAACGTAGAACGCGAGTTGCACTCGGCCCATCATTCGGGAGAAGGCTGGCCTTGGAAAACTGGAAGCCACCAAACGCCGAGTTAGAGCCGTTGAGAATAATTGCCCTAGGAATTCCAGGTTAATACTTGTTCACCTTAGATGCCAAATACGCAGTGTATCACACTCACCCATCTTTCGGGGCTTGTGAACGAAGGTTATTTGAGTCGGAGGATTCCCAATCTTTCACACATTCTAGCCCATGCTCCTGACACCACACGCAGCTTGCAGATCCGCCTACACCGTCCGGAAGGGAACATTTAAGATGCCTGCGACGACAGTCGAGGCAAGATTTTCGGGGTTTATGGTAGACCATGGCTGCTGAGAGTGAAAAAGGTTGTTGGGTGTATGGTGTCCAAATGTTGCCGTCTGTCTACATTACCTGCCTGCGGCGGTGAACAAGAGCGAAAGGCACACATAAGATACGTACATGTAGACAATCGGATTCCGTGCGGTACTTGCCATGTATGTATTATGTATGCATACTTCAATTTAATCTCTCGGTTTTTTTTTCTTTCCTTTTCCCTTTTACAAGCGATGCGTGTGCCCAGACCGAGACGGCGCTATCCTGTGTATGCACTGGTTGTCCCACCTTCCATTTTCACGGAAATGCGGGGAGAAACAGGTACAGGGATCATGTTTCAGGGGACATTCGTTACCCAGTAGTGCTCTACTGATATCACGGAGTCCCTGGGGCGAAGGATGAAGTGTGCGTCCACCCATCCACTATGATATCCGACGGGGATGAACGATGAAATGAGGGGAATATGTAAAGATGTACCTACATGAACATGCGAAACCCTACATGTATATGTGCAGGCACGGAACCGGATTATTCCCACTTCACCACATAAGCATCATACCCGTTTTCTGGCTGTGGTGGGTATAGAGCACATACATATGAGGATAGCGAATTATGCTTCCCACAAGCTAAATCGGCGACTTATCGGTGTAACGTAACGTATACTAGTAAACCAATGAAGGCATCACGGATGAAAACCCTCCTCCTCATTCTCATCCTCTAAAACCTCAATTAATACTCGAGCTTTGCCGTCATCATCATCATCGGCCATCTTCTACCCCTCTCTTCACTGTCCTTTCAAAAAGACGACTTTTCAGTAATCATCAACTGTTATGGCGGACCATGCGGATCAAGTGGAGCAGAATCGAATCAAAAGACTTAAAACAGCCCGCGCATGTGACCAGTGTCGACGAGTTCGTTCAAGGTATATCATGTTGATGACTTTCCTCCTTGTTAAAATCCATCAATTCTGCATGCGCTCATCATGATCCGTCATCTAATTATTGTTAAGATGCGATATTCAAAATTCAAATACAGCATCCACAAGTCCAGACGAAAGCATATGTGAACGCTGTAGACGTTTGAATCTAGAATGCACATTTATCCTACCCATCGGAGAGACCAGAGGGAAGAGGATACCTCTGAAAGGGTGACATTTTTCTTTCTTCTTTTCGCCCTAAGCAGTTGCTTTGACACCAATGTTCCGCTCCGGCTCCGGGGAAGGGAGTGGGGTGAACCCGTAGAGTGGAGTGTCACCTTAGTTTTTCTTGGCCCTAACGCAATATTCTCTAGTAACCTGGATCACAACTCTCCATCCCGGGAGTCCGCTACTACAGAAGGGTTAGTAAAATCTACCGTCCAATAATTAGCTTGGAGCTTACTAAACCACTGCAGCTCCCCTTCATCGGCAGAAGCTTACACCGACCCTATCGAAAAGTAGCTACAGTAATATCTCCTCGAAACCAAGAACAACTTAGCTAATTAAACAAGATTCAAAACCTTCATAACAACGAATTTACCAATAATATCACCTCGAGATCTAACCCACGACTCCTCGATATTGCTACACTGCTGTGCACGGCTCTTAGGAACGTTATGCACAGAAACTGCATCGGACGGTGCTGTGGAGAAGTTGAAGGCATCATTAGAGGCTTATATGCTGAGTAAATCACCGCTCAAGACCCCCACAGTCCAAAATGTACAGGCGCTGGTATTATTGGCAGTTGTGGTAGAAGATAAGGGGTACGGGCTAAAGTTTATGACCGTATGTTGTCTTTTATTTTATATGAGTTTCAGGGAGGATAAAAATTGAGTCAAGCGCACAGGCAGTCCGAATGGCATGCTCTTTAGGGTGGAATATCCAACAACCTGAAATTTCTAGCAATAATAGCACCACCGACGACGCCGAAGACTCAGCATATATCCAGTACCTGTGGTGGACCATTGTTACACTTGATATATGGCTCTACCTCTACTCAGGGATTCCTCTCCTAATCAATTATCGCGATTTCAATGTACCTGTGCCACTTCCTCCGCACGCTCCTAACTTCTTCGCATCTCTCACTTCTTTGTCGGAAGTTTTACGTTTCAAAATAAGACCTTCTTCGTTCTCGCAGAGGGTACCAGGGACCACGCCATACAATTCTTTACAAACTTGGCAGACCATCTATCTTTCCTCTGTCATCGGGATAGGAGGATTAATAGAAGCAGTAATAGACGTATTTCATGGTGCTGTTGTGGCGCTATTCGTGCTGTCCCCAGAAGGAGATGCGGTTCCCAGGGATGCAGAAGTATGGCTGGCGAAGGCAGTGAAGGGAGGGTTTGAGGGAGTTTTTGGAAGGGTGAAGGGGTTGAAATGGGCTAGGTGGATATGTGTATTGGGATTGTTAAGATTAGAAAGATGGGGAGGTGGTAAAACATGGGAGGATACAGTAGAAAGAAACGTTTTGGATAAACTGAGGTTGTTAGAGGAAAGTGGTGTCGGTTGGGAATTAGTATGGAGGATGGAGGAGATTCTCGGATAGACGGATATCAGTTGCTCGATCACTAGTTTACTGACAAAATAATGTAAATACTATCATTGGCCTACATAACGTAACCAGCTATATGTGACACTTAGACGCTTTCACGGGGGTACGGTCAACACGGGGGTACGGTCAACACGGGGGTACGGTCAATCTCAAATATACGCCGGAGTGATGTATGATACGCAGGGAGTTGATCGACTACCTCTTTTGGTTCCCATACAAAATCTTGGAATTGACCATACCCCCGTATTGACCACACCCCCGTAAAGTCGTCTACTTTCCTCTTATTTAGGCCCACGGTTTGAGTTTCTAGAACTATTGTTTAGGATACATTGACGGAAAAGAGCATAGAGAGCCAGCTAATCTCAGATTATTTTAATTGCTAGTCTAAGAACCGTACCTTATCTATCAACACCCCGTGGCTCTGAAAAACAGTATAAAGCCTATCCTTTGAGCCCAATACGTAATGTATACCTGTATTAATATATCAATAGCCTCAATATGTATCTGTAGGCATGATGCATAAGCAGATGTTGCAATAAGCGAAGGCACGTCATTAAGCTGGTCAGTTGATCATCAATTTACTGGTTCTCCGGAACACAGATCCAGACAGTACAAGTACGTTGCGGTGTAATATTCGCGGCTATTGTTAACTCCGACTTCGACCTAGATACATATTTCACATGTATCTAGGAGAGGGGTATTAACACTACTACATCTATCTATCTGATGGTGACGGATACGATTTCCGAGTAACATCTACATATGACAATATAAAGTATTTATGCCCATAGACCGAAGCAACTTACCAATAAATCTACCTCCTAAGTGTAAGTATCTAGCTAGCTAGCGCTAGTACAGTAGATATGTCCCAGGTCCTAGGCATTGATGTCTTAGATCGTACATGTAGTATTGCCATCAAATCGGTAATACTTGTAGCTTTAATTCCCGGCTTTTGGCCGGAGTTGGCATTTGGGTGTTTAGATCTACTCAGGCAAATAAATAATGAGGGGGTTAAATAAATGCGCATGATCTATCTTTGCGCCTTATGTAGAGAATACAACTACATGTACTGTATGTACCTGCAACGCCCCGCGTACATCATGTGAGTATCAATATCTGGGGATTTTCAAAAGCCACTTCATGTGAGATTAAATGGAATGTACTCCATCCTCCAATCTGATAATAATATAGTACTACACTTACCATATATGTATGCGCTAGTCCATGATTCTCCTCAAACATCAAGTTGAATATTCTCGTCCATGCCTGGTTCGAGGCAACCTTTTGCATAAAAAGTCTGTTATGGCAAGTTCCGTTCTAGTACAAGGGTCGTGGATTGGTCAAAACCAGGTACAATATACCGATTTGCTCTAAGCGAAATGAGGGATCATGATCACGATAGCTAGAAGCCCTAACTACATGTAGCTCCAGCAACGCAACGACGGCCATTCATCACAAGCGATCAATGTATCTGTTTATGAGTACTACCTCGGCCTTGATTTTCTGATAGCTATCAGCCTGGCCTACTAACCTGACTTAAGCTTGAAGGCCTAGATTATAGATTAGTAAATATGTGTAGATAAATTGTTGCCGGAAATTACATGTAGTCACTGACCGATCAGTCAATTGCAAACAAACAAAACCGAGGCGGTACTAGTCATGTCAAGTTAACTAATTTGACCAACCGAAATAGAGCCCTCGTACCTAATTACAAGTACATATAACTACATATATATACCTCTCCTATCATAGAATTCTTCATTTAGCCGGGCAAAGCAGGGGCGGTAACAGCATCAACTCATCAGCTTAAGATTGAATTTAATCAAGTTAAAACAGTTGTCAATCGGTCGATATATTCTCACTTCATGTGTTAATACTCAGGTATATGATTTCCTTATACATGTATAATAGAAGGTATACGATATACATACGGGATCCCTTCTCTGTTCGATCTCCTAGTTCTATAGCTAGTTTAGAAGCTTAAATGCAGAAGTGGTTGCGAGTGATTCATTATGATCGATCTTGATCTATGTAGAGTACAAATGACGTTATAACGTTAGCTGTTATTCAAAGTTCGCATGGAGTAAAAATATCAGTATTGAATCTCAAGCTACGCACACATCTCCGGCCCACGATATACGCTCACCAGTAGTTTAAGAAGCGCCCTACAATTTCATCTAGCTCCGCCGCAAGCACTCAAACATCAAATCAAAGAACATTTTTAAATGTTTCTAAAGATGACACGATCAGCTGTTATTTCCCACCTCTAGGCTCCGGAACCCATCTTCTCACCCAAGCTTTCTGACCATGGGATCCGGACCTTATTGAGGCGGGATTCGAAGGATATAAGGACGTCGTTTGTGGTCCTTCTATATGTTAATGAAAGTCTCTATCTAGAGACCGACAAATTTAATGTTCTTTCGACGGAATATGGTTTATTCTTAGAAGGTTAAGCCTTAAAAAATCCGCCTTCGCACTTCATTTTTCTGAGCTAACAAAGATTTCAGGCGCGGATTAAAGAGGGAGCACATAAGCGTACATGTATCTATTCGTGCTTTGTGCAACCAAACCCCAGTGGCTACTGGGCTGGAGTTTGATGAGTTTATCACACGAATGCTGGTATTGGACGATTTCCCTTATTCAGGGGTTACACCCAGACTCGAAACCTTTGGCTGATCCAGTGGATCTTAATTTTGGCAATCATCTACGACCTACCTAGCTTGCTCCCTTGCTTGTGAAAGAATACTACCACGGGATATATATTACACAACAATCCCTGAAACACGTGCCGCCACTCGATCCAGCTCTGGAACCTTTTAATGATTTTACTTGTGTTTTGGGTCAACTACCCCGCACACGTCCAAGAGGCGGTTAATGCACGAAGACTGAACTAGACTCAGTGGTTTTACCCATTCAGAAAAGTATCATTTAAGAGAGTAAATATCAAAAGATAATGTCTCTTGGATCGGCCGTACTGGTGGCTAACATGAACCTGGATGGATACACGGCATCTCAATATCCGACGTGTACGTACATTAGTGCGATCTACGCACTTCGAGATGAGTTTTGACCGCTACAATTGTCTTCTGGTTGAGATGAACAAAAAGGTTTCCAAGCGTATATCCCTCAAAGGGAATAAATCGGGATTGTCTCAGAGTGGCGTGCAGGTATTTCCTCGATTGTCATCAAGATTAATATTTTTAACAATTAGAGTAACTCCGTACTTTACGCCGCGTACACACATCGCAGAAAGGATATGTCATTATCAAAGCTTTGGCTACTTGCTATCTAGCTAATTGGAGGTATTTGTTTTAAATACCATTTACTAATTAGAAATGAATAGAGATTCTCAGCAAGGGTATCGACGCCACGGTGAAAGAAATTTATGTTTTCACGTGGTTTGGATCTCAAGATAGTACTATGGATGGTGGATGGTCGGCGGTCGGAATCAGCGAGTGGAACGCCTCAAGATATCTGGGTTTGCAGCTGAGTGATAGTTCGTGATTCATATGCATTCCACAAGGGCATAGGTATGGTCAGAGACCAGCCGCGACATAATTTACCGCAGGGATTTCGTGCATGAAACTTGCGTCTGTAAAGGGGACATTTAGGTTGGTAGGTGGGTGATATGACATACAGGGATTATTCACACTACTTGAGGCACATTTTCTTTACAGTTTTTAATCACCTCACCAGCTGTTTTACCAGGTAAGTAGGTAGAACATATGTACCTACATCTTTATCTACGCATGCTTGTCTTGATCCCGAATGCGTTAGTCAAAGATAAGTCTTGTGTAATGTTTTGTTAATGGTTTTGGATTTGTATAATATGATCTACAGGGGAAATATCCACTTGGGACACCCCTAACTAGGGCCGTAAGTTCTCCAACCCCAACCTATTCAAGCGATCGTGGCTGCGTCCAGATGACATGAGGGCTACTTTATGTGTGTAAACCGCCTTGGAATGTAGGCTTCCAGGGGTGTGTTAAAAATCAAGGGCTTAACGAATACTAAGAATTGAGTTCTTGGGACCAACCCGCTAGGTTGGCGATAAAGTAATGCGGGGAAATCGAAACCTTGTAAAATAGAGAAAAAGGAAAAAAAAGAGCCAATATAACTCTTATTCCCTCGACCGATCCCACATGCTCAACGTTCTAGCTTCATAATCATGAATCCAGGAACGATTCGAATGTTGATATCATATTATGAGACCCCAAGAGCTAGAAATGGCTGTGATATATATATAACTCGCGATGAAAATAATATATAGTCTTGAACTTTGACCTAAATTTTCTGCCTGTTTGTCTGAGAAAGAAGCAGCCAAGTTTCACCGTGGTACACGCATACGTGGACTTCGTATTATTATTTCAGCTGAGATTTTAACCCTACATGTACCTATAGTGGTGATAAGATGCACACAACACTACCGCGCAGATTTCACAAACAGCGAGGGCTTGATATGACACAATATCCATATATCTTGTAACTACATGTATTGAGTCCAGGAACATATGTGGGTATTTAAAGGTACATACATACATAGTACCTGGTACATAGAGTACATGTAGGTACTCTATATTTTATACAGCCTCCTATATGAGCGAGACCCGGCTTCCGAGTTCTGCGATTGATATCTCCTGCATAAAAATACCCCGAGGTTTCCCCACGGGGATGGATAGCAGTGATTGATGGAGTAATCAAATGTGCACTTACAATTGGAAGTGTAAGATCATGCAGGACCATGGTATATAGTAGGTAATACAACCTGTTCAACCATCTGGATATCGATTGTATATCCTTTTTAATATCTCAGCTTATTCGCCACAAAGATGACTCTGTGCAGATTTATTCTCTTAAGTGTGTGTATTGATCAAAGACACTGTTTTTTGTGCACACGCCTACTTTACAGTTGAACTACATATATCTCTGGGAATAATACCGGCATCTCGGGGTCCGGCAGTTACTGCCAAGGTCGACCTGCTTAAGCGAGGATGGATGTACGCACGCGATGTAACGGGATGTAGAAACCGCCGTTCCTCCTCTTTTCTTTTCCCCATGGGGTTGCCGAAGAGTTACTCTATAAAACGGTTGACTGGACAGGCCTTCTTCTTCCCCAGAGTTCCCTTTTAAACTCCATTCAACCCCTGCAAGACCCTTATCAGTTGTTTACCATTCCACTCCCCCGGATTTCTTCAACTATCCCAAGGACTAACTAAGCCCAGCCTCTAATAATAAGGCCGCCTGGTTCAATATTCACACCAGGCCCAAAATGGCAAGGATAATAGTCATTGCTTTATGCGTTTTCGTCTCCCTGGGAGCGCTGATTTTTGGCATGGATGGAGGATACCTCTCGGGGGTCCTCGCCATGCCAAACTTCATCGAGGACTTTGGAAGATACGATTCTGTGAATAATAAGCATTACATCTCTGCTAGCCAGCAGTCCTTCATCACTTCGTTTCCCTATGTGGGACAGTTCGGAGCGGCAATGGTGGGAGGTTATATTGGAGATCACTTTGGAAGAAGGTGGGGGCTGTTTGTGATGTGTGTAGTAAGTATTGTAGGTGTTGTCATGCAAATTGTGGCCAAGAACGAAGCTTTATTTGTAGCGGGGAGATTTTTTAATTGTGAGTATTCTAGTACGGTTTTGGGATGTTAAAAAAGATTTGTACTAATTTATGGGGATAACAGATATATCAATCGGTTTTGCGACAATCTTTGTACCCGTCTATCAAGGTAAACCCCACCTACTAGCTTAATGTGTGCGCCTCAAGACCAAATACTCAATGAACCATAGCCGAATGCTCCCCGCGTAAAATCAGGGGTACAATGATTACGCTCTACCAATTAAACATTGTCCTCGGAAGCTTCGTGATTTCGATTGTTAACAACTTCACACAACACATTAAAAGCGACGCATCATATCGGATTCCAATCGGCCTGCTACTGATACTCCCGGTTTTGATTATTCCTGGGCTTCCGTTCCTCCCTGAATCTCCACGTAAGCATCCCTCAATATGGCTAGTGTGAAGAATACATCACTGATATGAGTATATATAGGTTGGTTAATGAAGAAGGGGCGAGAAGAGGAGGCGAGAAAGAGTTTAAATTTACTTCACAAAGATGACGTCGACTTCTCAGTTGAAAGCGAGATTGCATTCCTCAAGGCCACTATAACCGAGCAGGAAGAACTCAATAAGTCTTCTACGTGGGCTGATTGTTTCCGTGGTACAAATCTCGTATGTCTATCCATACCTCTGTTTTCTTACCGAATATCATATTAACTATAGATCAGAGAAGAACCCTCCTCGCCATCCTCATCCAAGTTATGCAACAATTTACCGGTGTCTCCTTCATTTTCAACTATGGCACAGTTTTCTTCTCTCAAGTCGGTGTTGGAGGCCCCTTCATAATAATGATAATGACAAACTTGGTCAACCTAATCGGGACAGTCGTCTCCTTCTTCCTTGTTGACCGCCTAGGAAGAAGACCCCTCTTACTGGTAGGTTCGGTAATTATGTTTATCGGGCAGCTTTCTGTGGGTGTATCGGGTTTGAAGGCTGAGGAGGGGGATATGAAGGCCAAGAAAGCCATTGTGGCATTTGTACTGATCTATGTTTTTGGATTTGCGGCTTCCTGGGGTCCATTGTACGCACCACTCCCTTGCATCACCTTTCACAGATTCACTAATGGTATAAATTTCATAGAGCGTGGGTCATAACGTCGGAAGTCAGCACAAATACCATTCGTGAGAAAACGCAAGCGCTTGGTAGCGCATCCAATATCCTGGCCTCATGGGTCGTGACATTTACCCTTCCCTACTTGACAAATGAAGACCAGGCTGGCCTGGGACCCAAAGTCGGGTTCATTTTTGCCTGCTTCGTCGCTGCAGGGGGTGTTTATACATATATCTTTGTTCCCGAGACAAGTGGAAGGGCGTTGGAAGAACTGTTAGTCCAATAACTCTATTCTATTTTAATTGGGATTTTACTAATTTCCATAATCTTTTAGTGATGAGTTATTCCAAAAGGGAGTACCGTCGAGGAAATTCAAAGGTACATAGATCCCTCTCTATTTTCTGGCTGATGTGAAACTAATTACCACCCTTAACTTCAGGTTACCAAATCACCGGTGCTGCAGCTCTGGTAGATCAATCCCTCCAAGCCAAATCATTCGATAACGAAAAGTCATCCGAGTTATCCAAAACTGAAGTCTAAATTTAAACTGTTCTTTCCTTCTCTTTTAGTTATTGCACCTGGTCGGCGTATATGAATGTAATGAAACAAATTTTTATTTTCTACTTTACCTTTAAGGATTTCATTTTGGATTCGTGAGTAAGGTTATATAATGGTATAAAGATGGCGTGGCTTAGTGAGCCAATCGGCCCTTTGTATCAATGCTAGCCATGGGGGCGAAAAGGAGTTTTAAATATCATACTGCTTTTTTATTCCATCAAAGGCTGGCTTCCAAACAAGACTTCCAAACATCGGTATTTCCTTTAATTGATAGAAAGTACCACCCCGAGAGTCTAGGTACATCTAGTTAGATGTCTGCATTCGATCGGATGTCTTCTAGAATATCAATATCTTAATCTGATATCTGCTTGTTCCTAGCCACTTTGGTCTCCGAGCCTGGTTACTCATATAAATAACGGATGAAACGTCAATTAGAAAGTGCATATGTGTAGCTTACAATTGTTAATAATAATTACTGTACTACTACTTAATGCTAGACTTTCGATCTGGCCTTATCAATAACTGGGGTATCGACTTTAATTCTGCCAATTTTCCTTGTCCCTAGACTAGCCTGATCTCGAGACCACAAGACCAGAGTCATCTCAGTCCTTTGAATTTTCATTATCTACAAATTTTCCCGTGTGTCTTCCAGTACTCATGTGCGCCTCTTATTGAATTTGTGGTTAAGGATGCTTAGTCTACAAGCTCTGGAAGGCACCTTCGAGAGAATATCTTTAAACGCGGAGAAAACAACACTTCGGTATACAAAAAGAGTAAGTATGTGATATACCAGACTCTCAAGGCCACTATTTTGCTAATCAAAACCGTTCCGTGTTTCAGAAGGACATAAGCCCGGTGTACTAGCTGAGGCTTACCCACAGCATCTCGAGGCAACAACACACGATGGCTGTCCTTATGAGCTCACAAGGCAGACACCTTGTGGGTAAAAACAGGTCAAGCCAAATCATTCGAGGTAATAACAATTTAACCACCCACAAGACAGAGAGTTCTTTTGCCGTTATAGCGATTCCCTATGTCTAGGTAAACCTCCACTTTGGGAGTATGCCCCGCGGAATGGCATGTTCCGTCCCTAGCACCACTATATGGGTACTCTACAGCAGTCCTTGTATCTGGAATGCTAAAACAGTAAGGTCATGAGCATGCGATCAAGTGGCGTTGTCTGGGACTGTTGCTCGACTAGGGGGTGTCGGAGTTGTCAAGATTACCTAATCAGACCCACATATGCCTCACGGATTATCACTCGGCATGATCTCGAGATCCCTTCGTCCGCCACAAAACCTCGGCGGCTCGGAACGTTCCCTGAGTGGTTATAAAACCCTTTGTCAAGAGACACACGACCAGTTTAGTCATGGGCCTTGAACGTGCAGGTGGCTGGAAGGACTGGGGGATAACTTCCATTGCCAGCATGGAAACAAGAGAATGTTGAATGGTGAATTCCGTCTTGCCTCTAGGCACTCTAAAGCGGAAACAAGGTCAAAGGTGATCTGCAGAGGCATTGTACTCTAAACGCCACATTTCGAATAAGCAAAAGCCTTCTACTTCTCGATCAAGTACTCACCTCGCTTGGTCCCGGTGACGTAATTGCATGATCGGATTTCGGATCTCTCCGTGACAGGTGGTAGCGTAGCGATTTAGGTGTTGCTTTTTTTTTTGACCCGAAGGGGTGTTGCTTCGTTCACAGAGCATCACAGTAGTATTAGTCAGGCGAGTGAGAATCCATGAATCCAGAAAGTTTTTTTTTTTTTTTGTTTAATTCATTAATTGCATATGAATCCAGAAAGTAACAATATTCTTATTTCAAAAAAATTACTAACTATCTTTCACCCCCCAGAGCTATGGTATCTACAAAACAAAATATAACATCTAAAAGTCCAAAGTCCACTCGCCAGACAATTCCTTCTCAGCCTCGACAACCAAAACACCGTTCTCATCAACATCCCTGGACCTCTTCTTGGACGCACCAAGCAAAGTGACCTTCTCAACCTTGACACCCGAGAAACCGCCATTGCACTTGACTGAGAGCTTCTTGTTCTTGTAAACAAACTCCACAGACAAAGTCTTCTCCTGCTCAAGAGATTCACCGTCATCAACGTACAAAGAACCCTTGGCGTATCCTTTGCTGTCGGGGGCGATGATGAGGTTGAAAGGCTTGGTCCTCAACTCGGTGGTGGTCATAGCAGACTCAGACCTGAGAGGGAGGATGGATCCACCAATGATGTGGAGAGGAATGGTATCATAGTCAACATCAGTCAAGGTGACAAACTTGCCCTCACCCTTAACAGATTTTCCGGTGGTAAACTCGTAGAACTGGCCTTGAGGAAGGTAGATGTCGACAGTGGTGACATTCTCGGCGGTAACGGGGGAGACGAGGATAGAATCACCGTAGATGAACTGGTATTCGATATCGTAAACGTTCTTGTCCTTGGGGTACTTGAAGAACAAGGGGTTGATCAATGGAACACCGGTCTTATGCTGCTTGTACAAGGCAGTGTAAATGTAGTCCAAGAGTCTGTAACGGATATCGATAGCATTCTTCGCAGCCTTGGCAACCATGGGCCACCTGTAAAACTCCTGGGAGATTGAGGTGTCACCGTTGTGGTTACGGAAGAAGGGGTTGAATGCACCAAGAGTTGTCCAACGAGCGCAGAGAGTCTCAGTGGTGTTGGCTCCAAACCCGCAGACATCAGAACCAACCATGGGGATCTGGTAGAATGAGGCGAAGCCGAGCATACCGGGGATGGACCAGCGGTATTGTTCCCAGGTGGAGAGGTTGTCACCGAGCCATTTTCCGACCTTCTTTCCGGCACCAGCAAAGGTGGAACGGGTAATGATAAGGGGGCGGAGACCAGGGCGACGGGCAGACATAGCGCTGTAGGTTGCATCAGACATCACTATAGAGTTGCGTTAGTACGAGTGAAAGTGGTGGATGATTTGGGAATTCTTACTAGTTCCATAAAGGTTGTGAGTGTCGTATTCAATGTAACCACCGTAGTGGACAATGTCAGTGTGAACAGTGCGGTCACTCAAACCGTAAGGAGCATCGTTGGCAATGCTGTACGGGGGAGAGATCAAGTCAACCTCAACACTGGCTCTACGAGCCCTAACCTTGTTGGCAGCACCAGAAACGACATCAATAGACCTAGTCTTCTTTGCGCTGTAGGTGGATGGGAAGCCAGGAATCGACCTAGGAGGGTCCCTAACAGGGAGTCTCTTGGGAGGCATCTGCTGCGCAATGGCCTCGCCCTCGGGGTCCGAACAGGGGTATGAGCAGAAACTGGCAGGCTCGTTCATGTCGATCCAGACACCATCGATATCGACACCGGTATCAGCATTGAAGAACTCGGCAAACTCATTGTTCCAGTAGGACTCGATGTTAGGGTGGAACCAATCGGGGTATGCAGTAACACCAGGCCAGACAACACCCTTGTGGACGGTGCCATTGGCCTCCTTGAGGAGGGTGTCTGACTCGAGAGCGCGGTTGAAGGCAGGGTAGTCTTGGTAGGCAATTGCAGGGTCGACCATGACGATGTAGTGCTGGTCGTGGGCGTGGAGGTAATCAACGATCTCGCGGACCTTGTCGACGGGGAAACGCTCGGGATCGAGGGTGAAGACCCAACGCTCGTACATGTAATCGATATCGGTCCACATGGTCTCAAGAGGGATTCCAGCCATGGAGTAGTTTGCAATGACCTCAGCAACATCAATCCAGTCACGATATCCGTATCTGCACTGGTGGAAACCGAATCCCCAGTAGGGCATCATGGCGGGCAATCCAACGACTTCGGAGTACTGCTTGGCAACCTCAATCGGGTCGGGACCGGCGAAGAAGTAAAGATCAAGAATACCACCGATAATGTTGTACTCCAAGCTGTAGGCTCCGGTAGTGTTGGAGTTCCTGAGCTTGATGTCCATTCCGTTGGAGTTCAACATGAGGACAGCGTGGGTTCCAGAGTCCCTGTGCTCATAGTAGACCGGGTGGTTTCCGTACAAGTTGGAGTCCTGGGGGACACCATAGGAATCCCTGGACCAGAGAGTACGGGTGGTGTTGGTAGGGTTGAGACGAAGAGATTCGGTGTGCTCTCCAAGGCCATAGATGTTTGGGTTTTCGGGAAGGTTGGTCTTCAAACGGAGGTACTGGCTCTCAAAGATGAGAGCGTTCCCGGTGGTGTCGAAGAGCTTCTCACCAGTGCTGCGGCGGGTGACGCTGAAGCTGAAGGGGGACTGCTTGTACTCGAAGACGATGTCCGACTTTTTGGCGCTTCCGGTGGCCTTGGTGGTAGGACGGGGAACGACAGACTCGGGGACTTCGTAGCGCTTGCCTTCGGGGTCGGTGATCTTGACGTGGATACGAGTGTCTATTATTGCGCTGTCAATATCAAAACAATCACAATTGCAATTTGGGGGGGGGGGGGGGGGAACGCGGAATAACTAACTGGAGTCGTAAGTAACCTCCAACTTCAAGTCCTTCAAGTCCTTTCCGTAAACATCACAGGCTTTTCCAGCCAAAGTAAGATCGGCAACGAAGCCGTTCTTGTTCTCCTTGACATTCTTCGCGTTGTAACCTGGGCAGGCATCCAAGTCGACGGAGCGAGGACTCAAGACTGAAGCCGCAGAGGCAAGACCGAACGATCCGAGCAGCGCGAGACTGCGAATGGAAGGCATATTTGCAAAGATCCCCAGTGACTATTGAAAGAGATAGAGGGTGGATTGGTGATGAGGAGAGAGAGCTCGGTGGACCCAAGGTTGAGGAACGGAATCGATACATGGTGGGATCTGAAGGTATTTAAACCGTGAATCCTCAACTCAGAGCCGATCTACATTTGTCTTTTCTCGTGTTCACCCGGAGAGACCGGGGGGGTGTGAGGTAGAGGCAGAGACAGAGAGGCAAATTGCGATGCTGCTTGCTTGTTGTGGAGTGCCACACATCGTGCCAATTACACCACCGACATCACAGAAGACAGGGATTGCTACATAGAGCACTCTACTCACTCACTCTATTCTCCGTAATGAGACCTCGGTAGAATGAAGGGTACAGTCTGGGAGTCTGGCAGAGCCTCTAACCAGCTTTCGCTTCCCACAACGGCGGACCGGGACCGGCCAGATGTGATAATGGGTGCTTGGGTGTCTGGGGGCTGGTAAAATTTACGATAGACAGTCAGTTTACCTACTTTACATATGGAAGAATTTGTTGTTTTGGTGGTCCCTGCTCGGAGTTTAACCAGGGAACCAACAGATCTAACTAAATTTGCTTTGTCTTGGAAGGCTTGGGAGAGAGCAAAGGGTCAAGTGAGTGAGTGAGAGAGTGTGGGCGAGTGAGTGCCTCTGCCGGCCGTTGGCTTTCCGGCCGGCCGCTCTTTTCCCCACATGCTACCTGCAGATGGAAAATGCACGCTCCCAACTTAAACCCCGCATTTGGTTCTTGGTTCCTTTCTCCAGGTAAGGGAAATAATTAAGCATCCCTGCAAATGATGGAGGAGGCTTGAAAGTTGAAAGGTCTCGCAAGTGGAAGGAGGGGGGGGATCTATGTTTCCCAGCACCGCTCTATATTTTTCTATTGATGAGATAAGATTAGATAGTCGTTGCTCTCACCTCTCCAGCACGGCTTTCTCCAGCACGGCTTTCTCTCCAGCAGTGAAATTCAAGGAACCTCAAGAAAAACCAGACTAGCAAAATAACTAGGGCACGCTGATCCTGCGATACATCTCCACAAGAGGAAGTACAAAGTACCTTTCGGAATTTTCCACTCCGCCCCGCCAAATGGACGGCACCGGAAAAACTGCAAGAGCTACTTTTTAAATATGTAACTAAGAGTAGTTTTTCCGTTATTTCACGTTCCACTCAGTATGCCGCATCTTCAACGCAGAGAGGTACTTTGAGGTACGGCAATCCGGAATGCCGGGCTTGGCCGGCATCTCGGGGGAGAGGGAACCCTCCTCCATTCTCCACAACTCAGTCGCTCACCCCACACTCACATTCGTCTCTTTAGCCTGGACGGAGTACCTTGCGCCCCACCGTTTGCATACTGGGGAATAAAGTACCTGTACTTTGCCGTTCATGCAGTAGTCAACTCTAATTAACCAATATTAGTGGCGTTTATAGGATCGCGTCGCGCCGATTTCTCTTCTTTCTATATCGCGAGTTCGCGTGCCTCTCCGAGTTGCCGATAATCGCCATGGCCTAATTAACTCTAGAGTCTAGAGCTTCATGATCACGAGCAAAAGGGACCGGGAGTTAAGAGCTTTGAAAAGGGACGCTACCCCGAATCTGTATTCACTAATTTTCTTGGATACATGTATCTTGCGATCCGTCCTCTTGCTTTTCTATAGACACAGGAGATTTTTCTTTCCATTCCCTCTCAAAGGGATGATAGGCTGTAACAAAGGAAAAAAAGCTAACTAGTAAAAGCCACCGATTTCGATTCCTACAAGCTGCAAATACCAGACCCAGAAAGTGAGGCGCTCGGATAGAAGACCTATTCACCCAGTCAGTATCATTCATCTTCCCTACTTCTGACGGTTTTATAGCACTCACCTTTGGCAACCCGCTGGTGATCGAAACCGACAAAGTTCCGGAAGTCCCAACTGTAAGAGTTGTGCAAGAGAGGACATCAACCACAGTCGCTCCCGCAGTGTATCCTGTGCTGGTTACAGACAAGGTCGCGCTTCCACTCGATCCCAAGTTCGTCATCACGGTGACAATATCGCCCTTGCGTATAGCCAGACTGTTGGTGTCAGAGTAGATGACCCAGGCCTGGTACGTGAGATAAGTGTCTCCAGAAACTTCAATCGCACGGTTGCGGATCTGGTTGAGGGAAGCGACGTGGGTGTACAGTGTGGCAGTGGTATCGTAGCCGGAGAACCAGATTGCTTCACGGTTGGCAGGGTCGGAAGCTCCAGTGTAGAAGTGTTCCTGACCTTCATAGACTGCAGGAAGAATGTGTGGTTAGTATCTTGTTCTGAAATTTCTGGGGGCCAGTGAATGACTTACTGATTGGGATACCATCAGCCATGATGTTGAATGCAATGACGTTTTTAGCCAACTATTCCGATATCAGCACAGCTCATCCAACATCACTCGTCTCCATAACTTACAGAAGTGTCACTCGTTATGCTTCCAAATCTCGGCAAATCATGGTTCTCAGAAAATGTCCCAAGAAGTGTCGAATCGGCGCAACTGCTCTTGACAGTTGAGATCATCGAAACCAGCTCAGAAATACTGCCGCTGCTGCTGGTGAAGGCTCTGATCAATGGGTAGTAGACAGGGAAGTTCAAAACACCAGACAGGTAGTTCTGGTACGGGCAGGTGTAGGAAGCATCGCCGGAGTACACTTCGCCGACACAGTACACACCCGAGGCGTCCTCAAAGTCAGGCCAGAAGTCTTTTTGCACATGCTTGACAGTGTCGATACGGAGTCCGTCGACTAAGGAGTGTTAATTGAGTAACAAAGATAGGATTGAGGGCAGGGGAATTACTGGAGTAGTTGGAGACAAGCTCAGCGATCCATTCGTGGTATTCGGTTTGAACGGTTGTCAACCCGGTGTTAACGTCCACGAGAGGGACGCTGTTGTCGCCGAGCCAGCACTTGACGAAATCAGTATCATACGCGGAAAGTAACATGCCGAGTTATAATTATAGGGAGGGGGATACATACATCCTCGACGTTCTCTTGGTTGCTGTAATCAGAGATGAAACAGAAAGAGTGGAAGTAATCCTCAGAGTTAAAAGGCACAAATTCACTGTAATCCACGGATGCAGCTGTGCCAGACCAGGCAAAGTGGTTGGGTGCTACATCGACCATCAAGTACTACACACAAGCGATTATCACAATTAGCTAGCGTTCAAACAAATATAATATCAAAAATAGTACTAGTTTTAACAAACCATTCCGCGAGCATGGATAGCAGCAGAAAGCGCAACCAAATCAGCAGCAGTCCCAAAGTTGCTGTTGAGAGCATAAATATCTTTAGCCCAGTACCCGTGGTAAGCTGCACCATAAGCAGTGGTTTCCTCGATGTTCTCGACGACAGGGGAGATCCAGATCTAGTACACATCACTTATATAAGCCCATATAACCTTTTAAGGTAGAAACATATCCCCCTTAAGCTGTTACTTAAATGCTGCCAAGCAAGCCTCGCACGAAAGCCCATAGGATTGAGACATGATACTCTTGGCAAAGGTTGGCAGCTAGCTTTAACAGCAGCATAAGGGGATACTTATGTAATCCTTGAAGAACCAAAAAAAAACTCACAGCAGTGAATCCCATCCCCTGGATATAGTCCAACTTATTGATGATACCCTGGTAGGTACCACCGCAATACTTCCTATCCTCCGTGTTGCAGCTAGCCGTGGTGGACCCGTCCGTGCGGGCGAAGCGGTCGGTCAGGACCTGGTAGACCGACTTTGAGCGCCATTCGGCGGGCGTTGCCGCGTGGGTTAGGGCTGTGAGGGCGCCGAGGAGGGCAAATGACAGTGAACGCATATTTTGATTTGGAAGAGCTGGGAAGCTAAAGCTAAGCTGGTAATGATCGAATTGAAGGAATGGAAGTGAGTTTGTGATGGTTGATAATTCGGAGGGCCGTGAAGAGGGTATTTAAAAGATTTTTTTTCTTTTTTTTGCTGATAGATCCCCCCCCCCTTATTGTAGATCAGTTATAGGTGGTGATGAGCGGATATCCGGGCGCTGGAGAGGCTCGAGGTCCGAATGCTTGTTTTTCCCCCCTTGGGTGTCAGCCGGGTCAGTCAGGTGGAACCTGTCGATCTATGGAATCTGAAACATTTAGCCAGAGTGCCGAAATCCTCGAAATAAGATCAAAAGGTGTGTATATCCGTTCAAGACTTCTCGCGGGGAGAGAGAGAGAGAGAGAGAGAGAGAGAGTTCTATTCGGAACTGCGCGGCATCGCGGAAGGAATCGTAGAGGAACATCTACAATATTATGCAGGAGTCGACTCGGAATAAAAAGTTGTTCCTGACATGATTGACGTGACGTACCCCCTGCATTTTTTTCTCTTTTTTTTTGTGGGGTTGGGGGGGTTGGGGAGACGGAAAAGAAAGAGGAAAAAAAGGGCTCAAATGTGGGGAATGATCATGGGGGAGAATGGGAATAGAGTAGTAGTCTTAGTAGATTACTGATAGAAGGAAAAATTAAAAGGTTCTTTTCTGCACATACCTTTTTTCGAGGAAACCCCGCGGCCGGCCGTCCTACCGGAGGTGATGTGTTCGGATCGAGTACCGAAAATGCTGGGGGAGGAACTACAGTCTTTTACCGTCTCTTGACGAATACTGCCACTTGACGAACAGGGATTCCAAGTATGGAAAGAAACAGTCAAGCAACAGCCAAGCTACGAGATCTCCGGTTCTTTTAATTTCTATTGGCCCAAAGTCCCCTGTTCGTCAACTGGCAGTATTCGTCAAGAGACGGTAAAAGACTGTATATTTCCCCGGGAATATATTATATGACGTGCGTATCACTTGGGGGAAAATCTATATATCCTCTTTGAGTGTCCGGGGTAACGTATGTGAACCGGAGTTTGCCGTGGGGAATAAATTATTAAAGCGAGAGTAAAGAGGTCAAGATCAGCAGCGAATGCGAGAACCTCCGCTTGGAAGAATTCAAAGGGAACGTTATTGCCAGGGATATTCTAAAGGGTGGATGTGGGACCTCGGGGGAATTTATGTGCATAATGCTCTGCTTTTTGTACCTGACAGATGCAATATAAATCCATGGAAATACATGTATCTCCCATAAATGTACATGGCCCTGAAATCTTCCCCCCTTGAACTGGGGCGTGTATCAGCGTATCCCTCCCGGCTGTTAGCTACTAGTGAATGACCTATGGTTGTGAAGAAATCACAGGATGAGGTACTGCCAAGGCTAATCCTGGTTGCGAGAAAACCGAGTGAGTTCTGGTGGTTTAGAATGGGCCTGGACATAGCCCTACGCTAATAAAGCAAAACAACATCAGCTGGCTGAAGAGGCTGAACTAACTACTGCCATAATCAAAATCCACCCAGGAGATTTTTTTAGAACCCTATCTAGGGGTAAATCTAGGCAACCCTATCGGAGTTTAAACTGTCGAGTTTGAGCGAAATATCGCCATCTAGGTAGTAGCCCTTCAATTACGGATAGCATGGTGCCGGGTGACGACAGCATAGCTAGATCGTGAGTTTGAAAAATATTTTGCCAGATATCTTGCCACTGCCGGGAATTTCCCTCATCGTCATCAAGAGATGATACGACTGCGGCAATTCCTAAGTCATCCGGTAATTTCAGAGAACATTTTCCAACGGAGAAAAAAAAAACCGAATGTGAAGGATGAACACCCTATTGAACATCGACTGCTTATCTACGAATAGCATGATGATGATCAATATCTGAGTAGAGTAGAAAACATGGGCTTGTTTGAGTCGAGTACAGTGGTTCCTACGGCTATCGTGGCCAGCTACCGTCCTGATTTGCCTTAGCGTCTTAGCGTCCTAATGAGCCGTCCAATTCCGGTTAGTCCATCTTCAATTGAAATATTCCAGGGACATTCACTTCAGACAAGGTCTCAAACCGCCTGCGAAAACCGATAGTCTCAAAGGCCGAACATAGGATCCATCCCCTGTTACTCATCAGCACCTGAAATAAACTATGTCGTCTTCAAGCCTTCCGTGGTAACGCAGCACTGACCATCCATCCATCCATCCATCAATTCGCAAACCCAACAACCACCGGCCCCGTACCACCACCAAGACCAGCCCCATGCCATCTCGGAACAACAATTTAAAGCCCTAACAACAAAATCTCACTCTGCCTCACACACCGGAACTGCCATTTTTTCCCACATGGCCAAGTTGGGTTGGGCTGGGCTGGGCTGGGTCGGGAGGGGCGCATGCCCAGAGAAAAACAAGCATTTTTCGCCTCGACGCGGGAAAACGTCGTCCGGCCGGGAACCAGGTTGGGTGATCTGCAGGTCCGGGTCTTTTGCCTTGCGTATATATACATGTCGTACCGGGCCTGCTGTACCGGGCGGGATGCTGCCCACGGGCCAAAGTGCACCGAGGCCGGGTACGTTCGTGATGGGGGGGGGGGGGTGGTATGCATACATATGTATGATATGGGGTGGGTGGTGTGGGGTAGGGCGGCGGCGGCGGCGGCGGTAGGTGCCAGTGGTGGGGTTGTGGAATGTATCCATGGGTGGGTGGGGTCGTAGCCCGGGTCTGGCGAGGGAGGTGTAGGACAAGTATCTTCATGCAGGAACCCAGTGCTGTGGTCTACTATACACCGTTGAGTGTTGTTGTTGCGCGGTAGGTACGTGTCCGCAGAATCACTAGAGTATCGGGGCTTGATCATGGCGTGTCACTCGCAAACATATCGACTTCCCCATTTACTCTAGCGGTCTTTTATTTACGCCGACTAGTCGACGCTAGCTAACAGACTAGCGCCGGGTAGTGTTTTCAACAAAATAGAAGGTGCGGTGGGTACATGTACACTGTATACCGTACAAACTACGGCAACTCGTAGGGGATGGGCACAAACTGCATGTACGGCAGGTGGTGTCGCTACTGTCACTAGAGTAGTAGATAGAAGCACAAAGTACAGAATAGAATCCCCCCTGCCTTGGCAAGGTTTCGGGGTGTTATTGAAAACTGTAGCTTATTAATCTACTTCCGACTAAGGCAAAGTAAGCTGCACTCTACTCAACCTAACTGGAACTTCTACTCTACTGACCTCCGACTGGAACTTCCACTCTACTGAGAACCTCCCCTCAGTTATCGACTTGTCATTCGATCATATCCTCAGACGTGCAGTGAAGGTGGAGAATATCAGCTTCCGCGCCTACCTTCCGATCAACCGCCATTATTTAGAGGTACTACATTATGTACTTATCAGGAGAGAATATTATGCCCACGGCCGGCTTCTCTTCCCCCCCTACAGTCGAGCTAGCCCAAGAGTCACCAGATAATAGTCGAGTGATGGAGCTAGGCGATAGCAAAGACAAGACCGGCAATCGAGGGGGGGCAGCACATCGGAGATGATTTCGCGGAATGAGGATTGAACCCTTCGCCACTCTGGAATTAATTGGAGAAACTCGCAAGATACCTACCCACCTATCACGCCCACTATCCTGACAGACAGACAAGCCTGAACGGGTTTCTTTCTTTCTTTCTATTATGTACTAAATAGCCATATCTCTATTTGTTTTTACAAAGAAAGAAACATGCATCCATCACCTGCGTCCTTTTTGCCAGCCAAAAAGAAATTCTGCAGTGGTCAATTGCATTGCAAAAATAAACAAATTGTCCCTCCACACACTTAACCGCGGTATATTTTCATCTGTAGCAAGTACCAGTCAGCAAACCAGTGCTCTACCTATTTTATGTGAGAGGAGGTCAAACATACCCTATCATCAACAACAGCCCTACAAACCGGGCAGTACACTTTCGCCAACACCGTATGATTCTGCTCCTTAAACTTCATTTTATCACAGCATTCCTATCCATCACACCCCCCATTAGCACACACAGCACACCCATACCAAAAGAAGAGACCAAAAAACATACCCCACAAAGCACCATATGCTTACACGGCAACAGCACCGTATCCGCATAACTACTAAAACACACAATACAATCATCCGCATCCGCCACTCCCCCCGTCCCTGCCCCCACCCCCTTCTTCTTCCCCTTCGCCTCCGCCCCCTCCACCTCCCTCTCCCCCACCACCACAACCTCATCATCACCGCCAATCTCCCTCCTAATATTCATCACCGCACGATACGCATTCTCAACCATCTCCCGGTGGTCCGCGCCGATATCCGCATTCCTGCGCGGCTTCGTCTTGAAAAACAGCTCCAGCAGCACCGACGCGTCCTCGGCCATCTTGCCCACGTCAGCCTGCCCCGCCGGCACAGCGTCGTTCGCGGCCGCCGCAGCCGTCCATGCGGCCGCGTCCCACGTCTCCCATTCCTCGCCCGGCGCCACGGGCGACGACGAGATTGAGATGATGGGCGGAATTACGGGCGGTGAAGCTGACGCTCGCGGTAGTGCTTGCGGTTGTGCTTGCGGTTGTGCTTGTGCTTGTGCTTGTGCTTGTGCTTGTGGTGCCGGCGCCGGCGCCAGCTCCGCCAACTGCTGCGGCAGCGGCGGCGTCGTAGTCGGCGACGCCCTCTGCGGTGATCGTCGCCCGCGCTGCCTCGGCGACCTACTCTGCGGCGTCCTACCCTCCTGCGGGGACTGGTTCTGCGGAGATCTATTATTCCGCCTTACCCTGGGCGATTCCTGGCTCCGGGTCGCATTTTCCGCCGGCGGGACCACACTAACGCCCCAGCGCGAGTTGGCATCGCTTTCCCGGCGGTCGGCGGCCTGGGGAGGTTGGTGCTCCTGGCGGGTGGTTGTTTGCGGCTGCTGTTCGCGGCGGGCGGCGGTGGCGGGGGCAGGGGCTGGCTGAAATGATTCGAGGCCCAAGAAGGAATCTATTGGCCAGACGTCTAGGTCTTGGTGTCTTTGCGTACCAACCTTGCATTAGAATATAACCCGTTCCTCCTTTCCTGGCATTGGGGGAAAAAGAGGAAAATATGAAAATATGAAAATATGAAAAAGAGAAAAAACTCACAGCGAACCCGCCCCCGCCCCCGCCCCCGTCCCCCCCGCCCCCGTCGCCCCCGTCGCCCCCGTCGCCCCCGTCGCCCCCGTCCCCGTCCCCGTCCCTGTCGTCCACCCCCCACCCGCACCCGCCATCAAAAACACCGGCGGCGTCTGATGCGGCGGAATCGCCGTCTCCATCGGCGGCGGATACTGGCTCCTATACTGCAAGGGCGCGTCAAACGGCGCCGGATGCAACTGCCCAGACGGCCGCGCAGTCCTACTCGCCGTCGACGACGACACGACCAACTTGCGCCTCGCGCTCGCCGGCGAGTCCGGCGCCGCCGCATCCTGTCGGGGGGGCGGGCCAGCAACAGTGTTCCTCCGCGCGTCGCCAAACCCCCAGGATATTATCGGTGCCGCTGTAGAAGACCCTGGCCCTGAGCCTGTACCCGTACCCGTCGTAGACACCGAACCCGAGAACGCGGGCGAGTTCGACAAGGTGCCCCAATCCAGCCAATCCATACCCGTGCGCGCACCCGTCTGTGACGGTAGCCGCGGGGCCGGACTTTCCACTGAAGGGCTGGCTGGCGGGGCCCCACTATTCTGCGTGCTGCGAGATGTTGACTGGGCGGTAGGGGTATTATTAGCAGAGCTAGCATTTGCATTCTGTTCACTAGCAGCATTTGCGGCAGCCGTAGCCCAAGGCGGCGGTAAGAACTCATTCGCCAGCTCCGCGGCCCAGGTCCCCTCATTAGCTTCCCTCACAGGCGCGCCGTCCCAGCTGCGTGTGCGGAAGCGTTCCGCCGCCGGGATGGGCGCTCCCACGCGCGGGGCCGAGTCTGACCGTGTAGATATCGTATTATCCCCCAGCCGTAGACTACTCGCCGTTCTGGAGGAGGTTTGGATTGGGCTGAATTCTGGTGCCAGTGTTGGGCTTTCGGGGATGTTTCTGTTTGGGTTGCGTGCGGGGGGGTCGGGGATTATTGTGTTTCCTCCTGCTGTGACTGTAGCTAGCGGTGTTGACGTAGAATTTGAGCGTATATGAGCTGCTGTGTTTGGCCGTGGCTGCGAAGCGGTGCTTAGATGTGATTGTGATGCCGCTGAAGGCGTATCGTTATTAGGACTCGTAGGCGTCGACGCAGCACCCGGCCGATACGGCTGGTAACTCGGCCCCTTCGGCGGCTTGTAATTCTGGTAACTCATACTACTACTCCGCACCGAGCTCGGCGTCGCCGTATTGATACTCAAGCCCGCCGGGGCATACGTCGGGCTCGGCGGCTTATACGTCTGGAACCCTCCACTGCTACTCGCCGACGTCCCCGCAGGCCTCAATCTACTACCCCCCTCCGCCGCCGGCGCATCACCCTGCAAGATCTGCACCCCGCCCGGCACACCATACGGGTTCGCCAGCGTCCACCTCCTATCGGCCTCCCCCATCGCCGCCGACGCACTCCTCGAGTTCATGGCCCTGACGGCCGGACACGCATACGCCAACCTCCCGCCCCCCGCCTGCGACTGCCCCGCCGACGAGCTCTCGCCGCTGCCGCTGCCGGAGCGCTTGTACGAGCCGGAGCCGCCCGCATTGCTCTCGGAGCTCGAGTGCTTGTGCTGCTGCTCGGGGCGGGGGCGCTTCTTTGCGTTTGGCGGGCCGGCCTGCGGTGTCGCGGAGGGCTTGAACTGGCGTGTGGGGGTGGTGATGGAATTGGAGCGCGAGGGCGAGCTGAGGCTGGGCTGCGGGACGGCCTGCGGGATGTAGGGGACCGTGCTGAAGGGCGCGCTGAGGCGCGAGTAGTAGTTGATGCTTGATGTGTTGGCGGTTTCGCGCGGGGCGCTGGGATTGTTGCTGTTGCTGTTGCTGTTGCTGTTGGTGGAGGAGGAGGAGGAGGAGATGGGGGAGGGTTTGCTGGCGTCGCTGGAGCCGAGCTGGAGCTTGCGGGCCCAGAAAGCTGTGGTGGGTGTGGTGAGGTTAGCAGCTGCCAATCGTGAAGGGTTGCCCCACCATGGATAGATAGTGAAAAGTAGCGTGCGCAGTGCAGTGCAGTGCAGTGGGGGGTTCAGGTACCTCTACACGGCGGGCAATATTCCCTATATGCATGTCATAACTCATCAGCATTTTCCATTCCATCTCTCTCTCTCGCTCTTTTTTTTTTCTTTCCAAACAGCATCCCCCCCCCCCCCCTCCTATGTACATGTAGCTAGACATTGTTTCATTGTTTCATACCTCAGAGTTGACAAGTTCCCCGCCAAGCCCGTCGACAGCGACGCCGGGCTGTTGCAGTAGCAGCACTTTGGCGACGACTGGGACTGGCCGCCCACGTTATTGCTGTTATTGGTGTTGTTGGTGGTGTTGTTGCAGCCCGACGAGCGCTTGTGCTCGCAGCCTGCGGTGACTGGCGGGACGGTGTAGGTCTGCGACTGCTGCTGGTAGTAGGTGTTGTAGTAGCCGACGCTGCTCATGATGGGCGGCGGCGGTGGTGGTGGAGATTGTTTTTATCTAGAGCAGAAAGAAGGGGGGGGGGGGGGGGAGAAAGAGAAAGAGAGGTGTGTGTTTTGGATGCAGATGTGGGGCGGGGCGGGGTTCAGGTCTGCTTCTTTAAAATCTTTAAAATGGTGATACCTAGAGGTAGGTGGTGATGGGTGTTACAGAGAGACAGACAAGACAGACTGTCAGACAGACGGATTGGGGCAACTGTGCTTTCTGTGGCGGACGACTGACTGGCTGGCTGGCGGGCCCCCACCACTGATACTGACACTGACACTGGAGAGTAAGTGTTGGAGTGAAGTTGTGGATGGGAATCGCTGCAGGCGGGGGTGGTGGAGGAGGGTGAAGTGTTGGTTGCCTAAACCGCTGATTCGCTGGGTCGGAGACTTTAGATTGGTGGGAGAGAGCGAGCGTGGAAGTAGTGGTGGAGCTTGTAGTGGTGGAGTGGTGGAGGTGGAGGTGGAGTGGTGGAGGTGGAGGTGGAGGTGGAGTCTGAGGATTGTGGGCAATTAGGTCGTTTTGATGGAGGTTTGTGCTTGTGGGAAACACCAGTACATAGAGTACAGTCCAGTGAGTGCTGTCTGTGTACACACTGTACCTATGTACTACAGAATGTCTATTCTAGAGTCTAGAAAGCAGAAGCACTCTATTATATTGCCTGCCCCAGTGCCGGCAGCACCGACCGAGCGCGGCTGCGTGGGTGCACAGAAATTTGGGGGTGATTTTTCACTTCTGCACAGTGCTCACTGCTCATGGATTATGTATTTTATCAGCCGCGGCGGGGTTGGAGAGCTGACTGCCGTTGTGTAACTCACCAGTGGCTTCGGAGATAAAAGCAGAGTCTCGAGCCGCATGCGACAAACCTCTCTCGATATCCATCGTGAACAGAGACTCTCATGTCTATAGCTATGTTTTTTGAACAATTGCTCAATTGATACATACTTCCAAGATTAAGGTACTACTACTGCAGCTAGTAAACATTCCAGAGCTAGAGGCTGAGTGCAAAGCTCCTTCCTCTTCCGACGATGCGTACCTTGATTAGCGGGGGCGGCTCTTTTTCTGATGATGCGCAACATGGATGCCAGTTTCGAATTTCCAGAAGCGCTGCTTCTCCGGGCATATTAAGGGTCCTTTTTGGAGTAGTAGTAGAGTCTCTCGGGCTGGAAGGATAGAAGAGTCTCAATCATTGCCCTTTGCCAAGGCCGGCTGGGTCAATCTTATCGATGCTGTCAGATAGCACCCATCATAGCTTGAGTAGAGTGTCTATCTACACGGAGTAACTTGTCGAGTGGATGGGCAGCAGATGCAGGCCCAGCTCGTTCCCTGCCGCTGCACCTCCCCTGGGCCCTTCCCTTCCTGACCGCTCCAATCCCAGGGCGGTGGACAGCTGTGGATTGCCTGTCTGTGTGTCTCTGTGTTCTGTGTGCCTCTGTGTCTCTCTGTGTCTCTCTGTCCCCCTGTGTCTCTCTCCTCTCCCGCTTGGCTGCAGATGGCTGCTGGTGCTGGCTGATGCCCCGGACTACACCGACTTCTGTATTTCTTGGAGCTGCCATCGGTGACAGACAGCTTTCATCATCACCAACACCACAGTCTATCACTTCATCTCACTTCATCTCACTTCATCTCACTTCATCTCACCTCACCACCACTGCCATCTCCCCCCCTCCTCCTTCCCCTCCTCCCATCACCAACAATCACCTCAATTCCATCTCTTCACACCCCCCCCCCCCCCCCCAAATATCTACAAAACAAATCCCCAATTAAGCCCACATCCACCAATTCCCTCTCAAGATGGGCTTCGCAACCACCCCTGCCGCAGTCGTCCCCGAAAACCTCTCCCAACTGATCTCCGGAAAGTTCAAAGCCGCCGTCGCAGACAGCTCAATATGCTACACCCCCTCCGAGACCACTCTCCACCAGGGGCGCGCCTTCACCGTACGTACTCTACCTCCATCCCCCTCCATCAATCAAGCCACCCCCCCACTAACTCCCCCCCCCCCCCCCCCCACAGTACCACATCAACATCCTCCCCCTCTTCTCCCGCAAACCCAACGACATCACCACCACCCCTCCCAAACCACACACGCGCACCGCCCTCAGCACCATCCCCCCAGCCACATCATCACCACCTCCACCGCCCCGCACTTCCGCATCATCCTCAACAAGTTCTGCGCCGTCGAGAACCAGGTGCTGCTCATCTCCATCGCGCCGCGCTTCCAGACCGAGCCGCTCGACGCCGACGAGCTCGCCGTCGTCGGCACCGTCCTGCGCAGGCTCGGAAAGGAGCAGATCGCCTTCTACAACTGCGGCAAGGAGAGCGGCGCGTCGCAGCCGCATAAGCATGTGCAGGTTGTTGCGCTCGGGGAGGCGGCGTTTGGGGGGCTGTATCCGGGGAGGGTGGAGAGGCGGGAAGGTATGTCCCCCCCCAATTTCCACTCACTCACTCACCCACTCACCCGCTCACTCACTAACCCACTAACCCCATACTTACAGACGGCGGCCTAACCCATCACCCCGACGTCCCATACACCCACTTCATCGCGCACCCGCCGCCAAAGGCCACAGGCAAGCAGCTGCACCACCTCTTCGCCGCGCTCCTCGCCGCCACCAAGCGCGCGCTCGGCAACCCCGAGGTGCCGCACTACAACTTCCTCATGACCACCGAGTGGATGGTCATGGTCCCGCGCACCCGCGGCGAGTGCGACGGCGTCGGCGTCAATTCGCTGGGCATGATGGGCGTCCTGTGGCTGGGCGACGATGAGCAGCTCGAGGTCTGGAAGGGGATTGGGTTTGATGAGTTTTTGGGGAGGGTTGGTGTGAGGAAGATAGAGTAGGAGGGAATTGGGGGGAAACTAGGGGGGGGGGGGGGTGGAATGGGGGAAACTAGGGAGGGAGGAGGGTCGGGGTATTCTTTTTTTTTCCGAGCATAGCATAGAGTAGAAAGAGGTAGCGAGTTAAAAACATAGATGCGTGTTAGATACCCACAGGTTGTTTTTTGTTGTTAAAACGGAGTTTTAATATCGATAGATTCACGGCTTTTTTAATAATACATTCATAAATCTTAAAAAAAGTTTTTTTTACTTTACACAAGCAAAGTTTCGTGTTTTCAACCAACTAATAATTGACGCCGGATTCTGACAAATCTAATAATTGTTAAGTAGCCCGTTTTAAATAGTAGACAAACAAATTTATGTAATTGTTACTTTTCCGTCCCCCTTTTGGCCTAGCGCGCTGTACCACACGCTCCCCCACCACACAAATTATTAGCAGCACAGCCTGCATATCTGGTCTCTGAAGTACTTGACTCACTCTTTGGGCACTACTTAAGTATATGGAATCCCCAATGTATTCAATGTATTACTTACTACCACAGCACTACTTGTTACACTACACAAACAATATATAAAAAGTCTACATACCGACCAACAATGTCAAAACTCCCCTCCTTCTTGCGCACCCTCTACTCAAAGCCCCTCCACCGCTGCCTCCTCCTCGGCGTCAGCGGCTCGGGCAAGACCGCGCTCCTCTACCGCATGCTCCTCAATGAGCTTGTCGGTTCGATTCCTACAATCGGGTTTAACTGTGTGTAATAACCACCTCTCTCTCTCTCTCTCTCTCTCTCTCTCTCTCTCTCTCTCTCTCTCTCTCTCTCTCTCTACTTACATCCAACCTTTTCAAGCCCAATACCCTACTTCTCTAACAAACCCTAAACGCAAATACTAACCACCTGGTAATTATATACATGTAGGTGAGGAAATCCCCACCGGCCGCGCCACACTCCAATTCTGGGACATTGGCGGCGGCTGCGGCACAATCCACCCCCTAATCCGCCACTACATGCAGCCCGGCAGCCACATCCTCTTCCTCGTCGACACGGCCGCCTGCCTCTCGGACCGCGAGGTGCTCTCGTGGACGCTCGACGGGCTGGCCACTGAAGCGCAAGCCTCCCGAGACAGCGAGGGGGGCTTCTTCGGTGTTGCGTTTGGGAAACAAGACCGTCTGGAGAATGCGGCCGTAGATCCCAGAGTCGCAGAGTTGGAGAAGAGCGTAAGATCGGCGATGGAGACGGTCTACGGGGACGGAAAAAAGGGGACGAGGTGGGCTATATATTGGAATGAAGAGGGTGGTGGTATATCGGCTGCGACGGGGGCGGGCCTGAGTGATGGGTGGTTGGCGCGCGAGTTCCTAAAGGGGATAAAGGCAGGATTGGAGGAGGGTAAGAAGAATGATTCGAGGCCTCCGATGACATCGCCGCCGCTGTCGCCGCCACAGAAGGACCCGCTTGACGAGGGCCAGCTTCGCGCCCTGATAGAGAAGCAGAATGAGGATGATGCATATATAAACCTGACCGTAGATGAATTTTTCGAGAAGATGGAGTCCGGTATGTTGGAGAAATGGGATCATCGGGCGCACCTTAGGGCAGGCTACTATGTCCTGATTGAAATTCTGTGGGTGGGACATGGCCTCTGGGAGGCTGCTGAAGACTTTCTCGGAAAGCTGGAGAGTATGTTGGCCAGTGATTCAAAGTTAGCCGAAATCGAAGGGAGAGAGAAGAAGTTTAGGAATACTGTGCACCGGTAACTAAGCCATGCACCCAAGGATGTCAATCCTCGGAGCACCGAATTAACTAACCTGTGAATATGTTCAGCACAATGACGACCTTTTACCTGCACATGATTCATATTTCTCTCCTGGATTTTACTGCTCAAAACCCTTCTAATCTCCCCAAATCTACCGACTTTCCAAAATTCCTCCTGTCAAACCCTCACCTGATGAGCTCTCAACTTTGGTCCGCCTATTATACCAAAGACACCTTATTCTCACCCACAGCCAAATCAGCCTGGGTCCTTCCAGACCTAAAGCCTCTTCCCACGTATATTAACTCTGTAAATAGTGATGGTGAACTAAAGAAGAACAGCAGTGCTACTCCTGGTCACCTAACCGAGACTGAGAGACTGCAAAGATTTGCGTTCACAATCCTTAAACACGTAAAGTCAACCAACCAGCGCCGCGGAAAAGTCATAAAGGACTCCCTATCTGCTCTCCAAAAACACATCATGCACCAACGATCTAAAGGCATCAATCTAGAACCCTACTCTGAAACCAAAGCCTACTTCTGGATCCAGATACTCCACGCCTCAATCGACAGCCTCGGCGGAGCTAAGGTAATCGACATTATAACCCTCTCATTCCCCTCGTTCGTGCTGCTTTTCCCGGAGCTTCTACACCGCCGCGATAAAGGGAAAGAGGTCTGGAGACCCTACTATACCGAAAAGTCATGGGAGAGTATCGAGGCCAGAATGGCGCTGGTGCTGCCGACATTGAAGCCGCTGCCGAATGTGATAGTGCCGCCGACGGCGAAGGAGCGAGAGGCGGCGGTGAGGAAAGAGCTGGAGGTGCGCATTGTGGGTAGGGGGAGTGGTTTGTCGGATGTTGAGATGATGCTGCATGAGTTTTGGGTTGTTGGCGAGGTTCGGGAGGCAGACGACGTAGGGAGACCGCCTCATACCCATGGGGGGCTTCTGTGGAGGATATTTTCAGCACTATGGTACGCGAAGCAGGAGAAGAGGGGTATGGGAGATGCGTTAAATGAGGTTTTGGTGGCGGATGTGAGAGGCAAAGAACCCGAAAGGAGGTTTGGGTTCACAGAGAAGGCCTTTTGGGCTCGGGTGGTGCTTAAACGGTTCTTGGAGTTTGAGCTTGTGAAGCCAGGTGATGTGGGAGGTGGGGATCCCAGAGGGGCGATTTTGATGAACTTTCAAAGCTTTCTGGCAAAGAACAAGGAGTTGGTCTTGAAGGATATGTGGCAAGGCTACTATTCGGCAGAAACGTGGCATAGTGAAGACGCAGCGGTGAGGTTTGTTCCGCCAGATTTGAAGGAGACTGAGAACTTTATGTGAACTTTACATGTATGGATTTTATATCATCTTATTGAAACTCCGACCTCTCGATTTGTTTATGTCTGGTTTCTTCTAATGGGGGCGCTCCATTCTATGTAGTTATGAATGGCTAATAATATGTGGACTGTATCATGAACGGTCACTCGACTAGCGTGTCACCACATAAAAAAGTAGCCGATTGATTTATTGGTTTAATACTTCGTCATACAGATAAATAAGAACACGCTAAATACAGACCTACGCAGGGAACAAACACCAAACCAAGAAAGAAAGCAAAATTGCATGTGCCCAAACTTCAAATGTGTAAAAGTAAAAGAAAAAGAAAGAAACGAGCAGTCAACTCCTTATCATGATCCACACATATCCACAACCTTTCTGTACCCTTCTCCAAGATTATGCCGTGGCTGTAAGTTTCTATCTGCGCCATGATCTAGTAATAATCTCGCAATCTCTAAATTGCCCGCGTATGCCGCCACCTGTAGCATAGAATCACCCTCCGTAGAGGTCGTATTCACATTTGCACCACCTCTTAGCAACACCCTAATAACATCTTTCTTCTTTCCTGCAAATGCTCTTACTAAAGGCGTTTCACCGGCGATATCCTTGGCCTCGATATTTGCGCCATTGTCGATGAGAACTTCGACCTCCTTTTTGAGTCCCTCTTGAGCGGCAAGATGAAGTGCTGTTGCTTCCTGAATATCCTTTGACTCAATGTTTGCCCCACCCTTTAGGAGGATACCGATGATGTGAGCTTGTCTTGCTATTACCGCCACATGAAGAGGCGTTCTTTTCATCACATCTTGGGCTTCGATATTGGCATTTTTCTCCAGGAGTGTGACAGCTTCAAACTCAAATCCACCTTCCGCTGCCAGATGGAGCGCTGTTGAACCGTTCAAATCTCCAGCGGCGCTGTCTGCGTTGTGTTTTAGGAGAGTCGTGATAATGTGCCCTTTCCCAGCTAACGCAGCAAGGTGAAGTGGTGTCCTTTGCTTGCTATCTCTCGCTTCGATTTTCGCGCCGCTCTTCAGTAATAACTCAGTTATATCGTTGAGTCCTGCGGAGGCGGCCAAATGTAAGGAAGTCCAACCCTTTGAGTTCCTTGTTTCCAGATTTGTTATGTTGGTGAGGAGGCACATGACAACATCTTTCTTCCCTAGCATGATGGCAATGTGAAGAGGTGTCGTTTCCATCTTGTCTTTGATATTCCCATCACATCCAGCTTCCAGAAGTGCCTTAACAGTTTCCACCTTTCCTTTCAGAACAGCCCAGTGTAGAGGTGTTCTTCCATCTCTGTCACGCGCGTTTAATTTCGAAGCTTCGGTACTTGATAGTCTGCTGAGATCATATTGGCTTGTTCCTGTGCCAGCAAGATGTAATTCTGTCCAGCACAAAAAGTTTTGATCATTGGGGCCAATGAATAACAAATCTCGTACGATGTCCTCGAGAGGCTGTTCACAGGTCGTGGAATCACCAAACACAACAAGGGTGTTCAAAGATATTGAATCTTTCGTTTTTAAATCATCTGTGATCTCAGGGAGTCTCTGAATGTCACCTGCCGCTTGATATGCGTTTTTTAGAACCCGATAGATTTCTTCGCCTCGTGGCCCGGATCGTAGCTTTTTTAATGCTTGTGACGATATCATCAACAAATTGATTTCTTTCTGATCCCTTACTTCTGGACACATATTGTAGCTTCCACAGCTCCCAGCAGCATCGTTAATACTTGCCGAGAAGTGAGCCAGCAGAATAGCGGCTCGACAGAAAGCAGAAGGCTCGTTCTCCACATAACCAAGACAAGTATCGTAGAGCCATTCATATGCTTTTCCGGCTTCTTCCCAATCCTCTTGAGACTCAAATACGTCGGATCTCTCGTCAACATAACTCATGAGCTCCTGCGAACTGAGATCCATATCGTGAAGTATCCCAGATGAATGTAATTGCGGTATAATGCACATACACATTTCCTCGGTCGTACCCAAGCCGGTCGATTCTACACTTCTGAGAATGTTCTCGAGGAACGAATTTCTGAGGGAGGGAGGCTGCCATGTCTCCTGATTTAACCCAACAGAGTTTTTTGCGAGTGTGGTCTTGGGAGTCACGGCCCTTATGTAGTCCGCAATGTACCACATGAAGCTTGAGAACATGTCTTGAGCGCACACCGCTTCCACTGAGAGGGAGGTAAGCACAGAAAGAGTCGCGTCGAGTTCTTTGTCCGTAGCTTTACGTTTTATAGATAGAGAAGGGTTGATCGGAAAACCGGTGGTCTGGTATTTAGAGTTTGCATTTCGGCGCCGAAATATCCGGAAGTCTGTTCCTCTGTAGATCCACAACCTATAACACATTTGAGATACTATATCGCCCGGTCCCAAAAACCTTAATTTATTCCCCGCAGACTCCTCCTGTTTATCCGCTTCTTCCACTTCCTCCAAACTTTCCTTCTCGGTGAATACCCCCCCTGGACATAAACCTTTAGCACCCCCCTTCTTTCCTTCTTCTTCTTCTTCCTTTTCTTGCAGTGAGTATGTCCATAAGGAAAGGATAGCCTCGATCGAATTAGTGTCCGCCTTCCACTTGTTCTTAGTTGAATCTCGTGATAATCGTAGGTAGTATGCTTCTTGTACACCATCAAACTCGATGAAAACTGGCCATTCGAACTTAAGTCGCTCAGTGAAGCCGGCTTCCAAAGTTGCATAATCTGAGCTGAAGATATTATTCATGAACTCCTCAATGGCAGTTGCGGTGGCAATCGCCATACTCCCCTCTCTAGTCCACCCAGTCAAATCTTGGAGCCGTTTCCTTGCCTCTACAACCTGACTCGCTCTCCCACCTAACGGCAATTTTGACCACGATTCAGCAGTCCGGTGCCGCTCAGTTACTACACGCCATTTCCACGAACACGGACTCCAAAACCCAACTTCCATTGTCTTCTCCGATAGATTTTCGTACAGGCCGTCATCTCTAAGGTCACCTATACGTGTTGCTAACCAATCAAGTTCATACTCTTTGGGTAATTTGCATGTATCTGGCTCCTGCGACAAACCAGCAGTTGTTAACCAAGATCTTAGGCCAGTCATTATCACAGTTGCAATCAACTGTGCAATCGTTGCTGTCCAAGACATAGCTCGTAGGCCCAGAAATTGCGCAATAAAGCCGACAAGAGTCACAATTGTGGCAAATGTAGTGAGTCTGGTAAGAAAATCACCAGTCTCTGGGTGGCTCGATTCTCTCAAGCTAACTCGAGCAGGAGCTGAGGATTGTGAGGATTGAGGGAGTGCCGCTGATTTACTTGAGCGCATGAACAGAGGCTCCCGCCGACGAGAAGTGCGGATTGATGTGCGCTTCTCACGGGCAAAGATGGCGTATGAGTCGAAGTTCTGGTCCCCAACATTTTCGTACTTTTGTAACCACATAACTCGCATTTCGACGCCTCTGCCGTTTCTCAAATGCTCCAATTCCTCTTCTTTGGTTGCATCCTCAATCACATAGGCACTAACAAACATGCCCAGAACAACTAGCACAGTTCCGATAGCTGTCAAGGGAAATGCGTATTCGACTACTGGTAAGCCATTTTTCTTAAAACTCCCCTTCAAATTCGGATTGTAGGTTATCGAGGCGTCAAATACAAGCACTGCCAACTGTAGCGCGGTTCCGAACCAAGCTACACTCCATAATTTCTTCTGACTAGCGGGTTTCGTGATGTTCAAGGATATGTTTGGTGCGCTTTTCTTGGCAGCTGAACCCTTCTTCACATCGTCAAGAAATGGTTGCTGTTTGATGTCGTACGCGTATGCGCCTGTAGGGTTCTCCACATCCACTTGATCCTGCTGCGAATCCTTTGAAAAGAAATGATCCTTTAGCCGAAAAAGGTATGGGTTTCGGCAGGTCAAAAACCCAAACAAGTCCCCCGATAGGGTAGATTTCCGAGACCAACAGCCCTCTCGGCTTGTTGCGTCAATTCCACAGTGTCTTTCAGGACTTCCGGCGGGGCCAGTACCTTCACCATCGGATTTCGGAAAGTAAACCAACTCAGCTATCTTAGGCGAGCCAAGAACTCTTACAAGGGTCAATCCATTCCACAATTCGCAGACTTCGGAGGATGTTGATGACAGCAGTTCCAGCTCTGGAACAGCATACGCCTCTCTGGCACGCCCAATACATGCTTTCAACCACCCAGCCCCGCCGATTCGGATGACACCCACAGCAGCAGTTATGAGACCTAATGGTGCCATAGCAAAAATTATGCAATCCACCACTCCCATCGCCTGGCTCATAAACTGCTGGGCCGACCGTTCCCCAAAGAGGGCCAATAAAGGCCCAAGGTCTGAGAATAGGTTGTTGGTGAAATCATCCCCCGAGTCGCTTGCAACTATTGGGAGAAATGCCAAAAACAAAACCGGAACGAAAGTAATTATCGACATCTCCGCAACGTTAGGGTGGGTGTCTATTATATTTGTACCTAGTGTGTATTCTCGAGAAGCTTTGGTATCAAACTGTGGTCACAACTCAGCAAAAGCCACCCAAGGGGAGGAACATATGCTCAGGAAAAGGGGAGAAAACTCACATGAAGAACTTGGTCCAAGATTTACTGCTCTATTGTGCTCTATTGTAGGAAAGACACCTTACAAGGGAACGGGGCCAATATATATTTTGGAGCCTTACTATGAGCCCTAGCTATGCGGTGTGCATCATATCCTTCACTATGGTCACACGGATCGGCGCAATTATATTGGATGGCAGATGCTGGATTCGAGAAAAAGAAAGCATTAGTTTTGAAAGGAGGGTTTCATCTCTTGATATCTTTCCTGGGAGCACGAGTACATATCTCTGCAAAGATGTTGGGATATCCGAAATACATGTAGAAGTACATACATACTTTGCGTCCAAAATTCACTGGGTACTTGTACACATGATTATAAGCGATCCATATAATGTATCAACATTTTGTATCGTGGGATGAGTTCAGGTTTGGGGCTGTGCGTAGTACGTAGCCGAACCTCACCAATCGGACAACCTCCATCTACTCTATCTATAAAGTAGGATCATTCCCAGTCCAGAGTTCGGGCCAAAGTGACTTATCCAAAGTCATGAGGTCAAGCTAGGGAACCTTAATATATTGGAAAAAATCAAGATAAATATCGACTCACACCTTGCAGCTAACAATGCGGGGATCACCATGCACCCGGAGGATCGCCGTTGGTGCACTCCTAGCTATAGGAGTGGATGCCATATTCATGTAAATCGTGGGTTCCCACTCGAAGGGCTTGAATATCGCCCAGATTTCTGAGCACACTATAAAGTACATACATGTATGCAAGATACATGTAATTTCTACTTCCGTTCTACTGACTAAGATAGCCAAGTGATTCCCGATGAATGTCGTTTCGATTTCTTGAGAAGACTTGTACGCGTACGGATGATGTCTCTATTGGTCGATAGAAGTACTATATATTGTTTTACACGTTATATATTGATCGCCTAACTTAAACTAAGAAGACCTATATCGCACTATGTGTAGACTTTGCAGTACAAGTGCACGTGATAATGGTCAGATATGACCAATTGTGACAACAGATCTAGCAGATACTCCAAGAATAGATCTGCCCGGATTGATTTTTGAGGCAGAGATATCTGGTTAATAAAGAATAGGTATATTGTCGTCCCCATCTATTACATTAAACTCAACTACTGACGCACAAACTAGAAATTGAGAATCATAAACTCGTGAGAAAATCTTCAACATTCATTCCGTGGTCCAAGTAAGAAAAGAAAGCTCTCGATCAAACAACCTCCATCTCCATCTTCTTCTCAACCTCTGCCTCCTTCTTCTCGTTCATTTCATCCACCTTTGCCTGAGCTCTCATAGCAGCAGCGGTTCTATCTACTCCAAATAATTCATCCATACTCTCTAGTGTCCTTCCTTTCGTTTCTGGAACAAAAAAGTACACCCACCCAATAATGACCACCATACATGCGGCAAAGAACATATATGTTCCGCCACCTATGTTTGATATCATATAGGGAGTTGCGCGAGCAATGACGAATTGACTATAAAGAAGATTATTAGCAGAGAGCAGCCAAGTTAAGAAATTATGAAGTTAAAATTACCCTAGCCATTGAGTTGCAGTAGTAATCGAAACACAGAGGGCACGAATACGGCCCGGGAAAATCTCGGAGCAATCTAAGACTTGTGTTAGAAACAACCGGTCACCATCTAGAATTTGATAACTTACAAATCCAAGGAATCGCGTTCCACGCAATTGAGAAAAACATCTAGGGTCCCAGATCTATTAATAATAATTCTTTGAATCACAATCTATAGTTCAGTACTCACAGCATAAATATAGACCATCACAATTCCGACCCACGCCGCTGCATTTCTGTTTTGTGGATGATCTGGATCTACTTTGGCTGCGATGATATAGGCCCCAATATACCACATAGATAAAGATGCACCGCCGGCACCTATAAACAAGAGCTTGCGTCGGCCGGTACGATCAATAAAGAACATTAATGATAAAAGTGTCGCAATCGATTTGACAATCGCGTATATGCCGGTTGCAAACAATGTGACATTTGTACCACCAAATCCGATACTTTTGAAGATAGACGGCTAAACAATTGTTAGTTTCTTATCCAAACAAATAATATATCAACAATAGAGTGACCAGTACATACTGAATAGTAGTTCATTGCGTTAACACCGGTGCATTGTTGTGCAACCATCATTAAAACACCAACCCCCAATCTTTTCAAATCCCCTGGCCCAAATATTTTTGAAAGTCCTTTCCCGTTAGAATTGGCTTCCGTCCCCTCGATCTTCTCCATTGCTGCCTGGTTCTTGATTGTTAAAAATTCCTTCCTTAAATACTCATGCTCCAATGGTAAATTTCTAATTCTACACAAAACTCTCCCTGCCTCCTCAAAACGCTCCTTCCTAATGAGAAATCTCGGTGACTCAGGAATGATAAAGCATGCTATAAACAGTAGGCCTCCAGGCACGACTTGAATAGCGAGCGGTATCCTCCATTGATTAGATCCCGATAGTGGAAGAGTTCCATAATTGACCCAGAAGCCACCGCAGGATGAAATCTGGTTAAGAATCTCGTGCATGCCGACTAAAAACCCACGAATTGAGGGTGGTGATATCTCAGAGAGGTAGAGAGGGATAAGTAAGGAGGTTCCACCAATTCCTAGGCCGGCAATGAATCGACCACTATACATTAATTCCAATGACCCATTTGCCCAAGCCTTGTGACGGAGTTAGTACCTAGGAATTATGGAATAGCTACAGTTTTAGGTCCACTAACCTGCATGGCTGAGCCAACAATGAATATCAATGATGCAACTCGTAAGGTCGGTATCCGGCCAAAGCGTTCAGTTAATGGATAGCCCATCAGGGCACCAAAGAACGTTCCTCCCTGAAAGCAAGAAACGATATTTGCTACAATAAAGTTGTACTCCTCTGTTCCATTAGGAGGGAGGTGGAATTCCTCATGGAAATTTGGAAGCGTGATACATCCTGAGAAGTCCTATGAGTCAGATAAAAAAACGATATAGATCAATGGAAAAATATAGCTCACCTCCAATGACTCCCAGATTGTACCCAAACATACAAGCTCCCATACAAGCTAAGAAAGCAATTGTGAAGATTCTCCATCCCTTCACCTGAGGAGGTGTAGGTATATCTTCCAATATTTCTCTCGGCACCATCTTGTGGTGTAGCCGTGACTCGTATAGTTGTTGCTGTGAAATTTGTCTGTCTGTGAGGCATTCGAGGTAACTAAAATTCTTGTCCTTTATAACAACAATAGTACTTGTAGTTCAGAGCAAAAAAGCCCTCTGAAAGAGAAGGAGTCATCATTGAACTCAATGGCGTTAAAAGAAACTAAGAAGTTAGCAATCCGGATCGCGTGCCGAATATTAGCCGATTAGGAATTGCAGGGTTTAAAAGCGAAAATCTGGGGAATTCGAATCGAGAAAATCGAGTATAGGAAATTCGAATCGAAAAATCCAGAGAAATGCTGCCGTGGGTTACAACTTACTTTGCGGGGATTGCCAAGAGTGTTTGCCTTGGCAAAGGGTTTCTCCGAGATTTAAAAGCACTCGGTGGTTATTGAAGCGAGCCGAGCTGAGACTAGTATTTCTAGTTGGCATTTTTATGAAATTTCTCGACCAAAATAAGTGAATTAATATACTCTTTGTTGCTCACTTCAAGACTGTTGATCTTAATTCTCAAATCACCATACCTGCAGTGGTCATGCGCGGCTTTAGACTCTTTTTGCCAACGACCGAAAAAGTCCTAAGACCATAGTGCATGCAGGTTGCATATCATATATCACCTTTTTCCAGTGCAGGAGCTGAGGAATACGCCTGGAATATGTATAGAGCCCCAATATTTAGAGTTACACTCTCTCTACTTGCCAGTACTGTACTCTAGGCACTCGACCTATTTCTTATCTATCTATTACTGGATTAACGATTCTTCGTAGATTGTTGCAGTCTGATTGGTCGACACCGACATGGGTGTTTAGTAAGCACGACACATCAATATTTGAGCATAGAACTGAGAATATTTGGGCATGAGAGTGCACCGTTGAGTCTTTATCTTTGTATAATTAAATTAAAAAGCTCTATATAATTAAATAGTGATATGATATGATTTGACTGGGAGTAGGAGGTGGTAGACGAGGTGGACGGTTTGTGGGAGGAGGAGCTGGAGTGGGGAGAGGGGGGGGGAGCTGGAGCGGGAGGGGGTTGGTGGAGGAGGAGCTGGGGGGAGGTGGAAAGGATTGGAGAAGGAGAGGGGGGTTGGAAGGAGTTCCCTCTACATATACATTTAATCATGATACTCATAATCCAACAACTCGCGGTCGCGAGGTGGCACACCCCTAGTATCATGTACTAGGCTAAGTCCACTAGCCTAATGTGGCAATTGTTGGAAATGCTGTTGCTGTAGAAAGAAAGGTAATTCCCTTACTAAGTGATGCACGGCCCGGGCCAGGTCGCGAATTTGACAGTCGAGAGGGAATGGTAATCCTAAGCATTGGGGCTCTAATGCTTGCATTCTTAAACCTGGAACCGGAAAATGATACTCCACATGCACCGTAGTCTTAAGACTTTATGTACATTTGGTGTTAGCTAGGACTATGGAAAGCAGAGCTGTACTGGCCAATAAGGTGGAAGATTCTTATCCATGCAATTCAATTTTTTGTTAGAGTATATGTGTACCGGCTATTATGCATACAAACTGGCCAAGTCTGCTAGGAGAAATGGAATAGCCAAAGAATAGCAGTGCTAGTGGTTGAATTAAACCGTTATCAACTTTAAGCCTTCCATATGTATATAGGCAAGCCCCAAATTAAAGATCCAGACGCCTCATAGCATCAACAATCCCACCTCCACGTTTGATAACCTCGAGCTCTTAGCAACGGGGAAAAGGAGCAAAGATTGATGAATGAAAGAACCCACTCGACCCAGGTAACAATATTGTAATCAAAGAGTTTTATCGTTGTGATAATACTTAAACTTCCTACTTCTATACAAGCTAGACCAAGGACCAGCTGCAGCCATACAAGAGAATCAAGAAGTCAAGACACCGTATCAGTTCAGTATTCTGAATCATGAAGTATCACACAGCCTAAATCATGAAGAATCACTCAGCATAGCCCCGCCCCCTTGATAGTACACTCGGATCTCACGTACGCCATACACAGGCCTCGGGCTCCACGTACGAGCCCCAACATAACCTCCGGCCCGCGAAGGTCAGAGAGTAATTAAATTTCCTCACGATACATGTACATACCACAAGATAGAAGACCGAAAATAAGAAATTTTTTAACGTAGGTAAACGTAGAGGACGTTGTCTATGGTTTTCTACGGTGCACAGTGAAACCTTAATATTGTGGCGCCAAGATAAGTTTCATATGGTGGCAAGATTGCCGTGATCAATTACATGTATACATATGTAGTTGTTTAGACCTTTGGAGGGACTTGACACGGAATTAAGCGCAGCCACGGCATATATATACGTACATGTAGATTGCAATACTCGGTCGATGAATCCCTCCCCCCCGTAGGAATTACCTCCAGAATTTGTTGTTTGTAGCGCTAGGTTTAGTCTTTAATCTTCCAACACTGGAATGTAGAAATCACATTTCTGGCCACATGTAAGCAAGGGGAGAGAATGGATCCTCAGCAGTTCAGGAAAATTTAGCGTATAATCCTAATTGATCCCTTGTTTTTACGTGACAAGTAGCTAACATTGTGCTCTTAATCTCTCAGCTCTAGTGGCTGCATGTAGCTAGGTCTTAATTACGGTACCCGAAGAGGCCACCCTTCCCCAAAACTCGAAATCCACCTACAGACCTAACTTTCTATGACTCTTAATATGTATAAGTGATAATACTTCAAAATACTATAAACACTTGCGTCACAGGTTATCACTCGACACGCACTGGTCGTGGTGTTTACAGTATTTTTTGTTTTGTTTAATTCATTGATTTGGTGTTTACAGTATCAGAAATTGGGGTAAATCTGATCATGATACCGTATTAGTACGGTATTGTGAGAATATTTAGCTCTATCTCCGTATTTTAACGAAGGATACGGTAGTGTTACGGCAGTGGTACGGCATTGCTAGACTACGGTAGTCGTTTTATCTATGTTTCTGTTACTGTACTTAATTGATCCTTTAGGCACATGCAACCTTCCGGTTATGGTAAAAAATCATGATATTAAAAGAAGTACATGGCTTTAGCGTTGGTTAAAGTCAGAGCTATACTATTATCCGTGGATAACTACCAGCAGGTCCATTTAACTCGTCCCCCCTAGCTGATAACTCGTGCAATCTCGGCTGGAAAGAATATAGGTTTTGTACTGAGGGGCACCACCCTGTTTCCCGAATTGTGTACCATGAGGTGGAGATACCCCAAGGCGTATATTCCTCTAGCTATACATCCTAGGCATTCCAAGAAGGTTTGAGTTACTGTTTTGCTATTTTTTCTTGGCTTTTTGGAGAGGGGGAGAATGAAGGAAGATGTGCAGCGTGATGGCCACGTACAGGGCACATCAACCAACCAGATCCTAAGACCTACGTGTTTAATCTTCTTTAACCGCGTGGACCCTGTACTATGACGGGCTGTTAGTGATAGAGCATCATCAGCAGCAGCACAACCACAACCAACTTGTCTCAGGCTGGTCCCTGGAACCGTTACGGTAATCCTATGAATGTCTCTTGTGGCCTGCTGCTTTGAAAGGTTGTTGAGCCTCGAGGGAAAAAAGAGAGCATCTCCATTTTGTTTAATAGGATGTGATGAGTTTAGTACAGATGTATTTTTTCTGTTAATAAAAAGAAAAGGGTTGGTGAGATTATCAAATGTATAGTTTGACTCCAGAAGGATTCCAAAGCAAGGGCTTCCCTCTACGGAGGGGACTGAGAAAAGTGCTGTTTGAAAGATGACATAAGATCCAGTCTTATTATAAGAAGAAGGGCGGTTTCTTACTTATTTCCTTGCTGACACTAATTTCAAGTGACAGCAATGTGTACACACAAGTTATGACTATTCGTTCAAGGAACAGGGGCCACAAATCCCGTTCATCAGAGTGTTGGGCCCACACGGAACATTGGTGGGGCTGACAACCTCGTTTAATCACATCGAGAGAAATGTTGGTTGCCAAGACCCGTATGTCTTCATAAGCTCTCACTCGATAGCTCAGTACCCACGCAGCGGCAGGCTCTAATGCCTTCGTCTGATATATATACTGGTGTCAACAATGTTGAAAATCCATCTTCCAGCTCAAAGCTGGTTATTAATCCAACTTAAGCTTATGTACCCTGGAAGTTGACGGGACCCATGGGTGGGCAGCTTTAAGTTCAAATTTAATTATCACCAGATCCTGTTGCCCCGGATCGGAAGCTTGGTTAACGAACCCCGCACTATCATATACTCTATGATTACTCTAATCTCTAATATGACTAAACCATAGTGCACAAAGGCTTGAAATTCCTGTGCCGCGCATGTATGCTGCAAAACCTCCCCCCGGCAATCGTAGCTGCAGACACTCCCAAGTTCTAAGGCGGCAAGCTGTGGTCGATCCATGCCGCAAAGATTTTCTTTAATGTCGGGCCTCCAATATTTCCACTTTTCGATTCCCGATATTAGATATAGCGGTGAAAAAGCCCCCGACGAAGAGGCTTTGAGATTTCATCTAAATAGAATAGTCAGGTATCTCTGTCATCACGAAAGGTTTAGATGCCTCCAGTTTCTGTGGTCTGGCGGGTTACAGCTGTCAATAGACAAAGAATGGGGTGCTTTAATTAAGGGAGACGACATGCATGTTTTCAACTCTTCTTTAAATGGCAAACCCTAAGCACTACCGTCATGATATATAATAGTCTTCCGTCCAAGATCAATATCGACTCTACTCTTCCAAAATTACAACCTCACGCGAGCAAGGAGGGGCCCAGCCTGCCGCGCAGCGGCAGGTGGCGCCGAATGCGTGCGTGAACTACATGCCGATGTTTATTTCCACCATTACATCGAATCCCACGCATATCCGAGCCATTGAACAGGGCCGGATCTTTATACATACACATTCCTTTAGTTATCAGCAGTTCCTCGAACTGATGGTTAATTTCATATGCGGCCGGAGGCCGCTCCTCACTAGTAGTACATACCAGCGGCCCTAGTGTCGGAAAAAAGAGGAGAAGGACGCCACCAATCAGATACCAAGTAGGATAAATTTCTTTCGGCCCCTAAAAGTGTTCGCACGCTGGAATTTTCGCTTTTCCAAATCTACCTTGGAGGAAATCAGCTACCGAATCCTAGGTTAATCTATGGCGTACAAATCTATTACAAGCGTCAAAGTACCTAACCGTCTTATAACTAGGCAACAGTATTGAACATGACTTTCCTTCGTGTAGTTCTTTAAGCACGCTAAAAGTCTAAGGGGGTGCCCATGGACCTCGATCCCAGGGCAATGGAGTGTCAACAAGGCAGACAGTGCAACAGTCGACTCATACTAAAGATGAGACTGATAGGTCTGATTGGAGAGATAAACGGGGCTTAGGTGTACAGTATTGGAGGAAAAAAATATATCTAGTGCATGTGTTACTTTATCTCACGCCTATGCCATGTGTTCGAAGGATGACCGTAGTTAGACTCGAAGCCAACAGAGTCTGGCTCCGTATTATGGACTTCAGCCAAAAATTCAATAGTTGCTGCGTTTCCAATTATAGAAGGTTTTGAGTGATGCATATCCTAACTCCTGTCTGAATTCGAACAAGACTCTGGGTGAGTAAACAATAAAGCCCAAGCAGTACCACCAAACCAGTCATATGATCATGATCATATCATATAAAAGTGGAGGGAGTTCTTGGTATAACGCTATCGACCAGCAAGGCTGACGTGTCCATGAAAATCAACCACACATGTGGCACTCCTCAGATTGTTCTTTCGTATTTGACCAAAATTTTGATATGCCCTTGTACGATTTAAGGGGGTGATGCCGCAAGGTATCAACTCCGTCAGAGTTAGAGTACCTGTATCCCTAGTCTAGGTACTCAATCATGTAAAATCACTCGGTTTAGATCTACCGGTATTCATCGATAGCTATGTCTACGTGCCTTTAAATAAACGCACGCGCAGAATGGGGACTTTATATATAGGGACACCAGATATCTTTTTAAATGGACCCTAAATGATACATGTAGTCAATAAGCCCACATCAAAAATTGCTTTAACCGGCGCCAGATATGAATGGATCGTTCAGGGAAACCTAAAAGCGTATAGCTTTTCAAACTAGGATCTCCATTGCGAGTGCGCTATGACATCGTCAGTACAAACAATATTGTTCGTACTGTTACTACGGCCAAAATTTGTAGCTCGTATTTAATGGGCAGAGCAGTAAGAGGATATAAGCAATTAGTTGAATCACTCGTGGCGCAGTGAATTGTCGGCATCCATTTCAGAGGAACCCTAATGGCGGCAATGAGACTGGGAGTGGGATTCTGATGTTATGAGACATCCTAGAAAGAAGATTGCCTGCAACAAATAGCCGCGTCGATGATCCACGGGAGGTGCTCCGGTAACCTTGACGGTACATACGCAGTAAAATGGGAACAAATCTACTTTTCGTCAGTTGCCAACCTCAATTTGTTGCAGGGCGACAAAAAGCAAATAAGAAAGAGCTTACCATGCTCTCCTTAGAACGCCTTACCTGCTGAGGTTACTTGTCCAAATTCGGCGTGAGAACTAAGCTCACCTAACCCACAATTAACTACAATGTAACTGCCCCTCGTTCATCAAAGCTTGTTTCTACCGCATACCTACCTACCATACTCGAATTCGGTGAAATAGACCAAGGCAGACTGAGTACTTTAGCCCCTGATGGTTAATCAGTCTAGGATGTGCACACTTTTCAAAAACAGCTATTTTCCCATTCTTTTTATAACTTGATGCTGTATACGTACGTCAAAAACCGTTGGTTGACTCATGGGGATTCGGATATGCGCAATGCCTTTTCTTTATCGAGGTATTTTATAAATACGGTTGTTTGATAGGTCTGCTTTTTGTCACCGTTAGTTATGCGTGCATCTACGAATATATTGGAAAACGAGTTATTTGAGGATGTGATAACATGCATTAATTCCTATAGCATATCGCAGTCTGTAAAGCAGTGTCCGCTCATCGTTTTGAGGTGCAAGATCGAGGATACTGAAATATGCAGCACAGTGATTCTATCGAAGATTCTCTGTACCTAGGTGGGTACATGCAAATGTGCAACTGCGTAAAGCAAGCGCTACGCCACTATTCTCTCCTGGCGTGAGGATTGGTATGTAGGCGATAGGATAGGTTCGTCTTGAGAATGTGCACAGAAATAAAATAGAAAACCTTAGCGAGTACGAACAACGCCAAGATGGAGTCCGGCCACTCGGAGTCCGACCAACAAGCCTCACCACGTTAGTATGCTTGCGCTAAGTTAGACCTTTTTTTCTTCTTTCTTCCCCTTAACCCGGGAGAATTTACTCCCGTAAGATTAACCTTAATTCTCCTATGACGCCAAGAAGATACACAGATGCTTTGCATGCTTCTCGAAACTGCGAGGAGAGATTTTTTTCGTAAAAAAACGGTACTGCGGTGCCCGGGCTCCGCTATCTAATAAATGAACGCGTCATCCTTGCTCCAGTGCTTTAAGCATGATACGCACCAAGACGCTCTAAATTGCCCTTGCTCTACCGAACAAAGAAAGTGGTGCTGTGTAACCTGTCACGATTAAACACAGCCCTGTACGACGGCGTATGTAGCCCTCAATCCAAACTTCTCGGTTAAACGAAGGTTAAAAGAGATGGGTGGTGTTTCGGGACGTCTGAGTTTCCTAACAGGGAGATGTACTGGGATTCACGCGGGTTATCTGAGCCGCGATCCTGCTAGTAGTTTATTGTCAGGGTGCATCGTCAAGAGAGTCACCATCTCTCTCTTCCTTCACCTTTTACTTTACTTTAGAAAATTAAAAGGAACGATGTATATCTGTAAGTTACTCTGTAACAGCTAGTTAAGTTAAGCCTGACCGTTTATATCTAGATCATATCTACGATAAGCACACAGACAATATTCAAGCAGTATCATAGGGATCACAGCCTACGAGAATCACTTAACGTAGCATCAAATTCCTGGTCACTCATTTCAACCATAGCATCATCCATTACATACACGCCTCTTCGTCCCTTGACACCCAAGCCTAGCAGGGCTTGTTACGGAACCACTTCCGTTGGATGCCAATGCTGTGATTGATTGATCTTCAAGGACACAGTTCATTTCATACGCTCGTTGTTCTTAAACTTCTTCCTCTCTTCCTCCCACTACTTTCATTCTCCGCCCCCACCAGAGGAGGATAGGATTGCCATATTACCGGCCTATTGTCCAATCAGATACTGCAAAAGAGCTGCGTCAGCAGGTCAGTGCCTACCCAATCTCTACGCCTTGGGATAGCAAGGCTTCTATCGTGTGCAACTTTCTGAGATTCGTGCTTAACATATATATATCAATCCTGGCTCCCAACATTCGTTTTTGACTTCTGGACCTGGCTAGCAACCAAAGTTTGATATCACTCGTTTTTCAAAGACTAACAACAAACAATTAAATAGCTATTTATTGTCGAAACCCTTCAGATCTCCTTGATCGCCACCGGTCACCATGTTGGTTCGACAGGTACTCACCTTGCACAAAAAGACCCTTCGAATCACACTCCTTCGCCGATGGTTCTCAACCTTCTTTCGTGCATTTCTCCTCCCGGTCATCTTCACCGCATTCATCTCCTATGCTCGTAATTTATTCATTCCACCAGCTACTTACGGTGTCGGGACGCCTGCACATGTGAGAGACTTGAGCAACGCTCTCTCGGCCCACCCGGATCTCAAGCTTGTCTTTGTCACCAACGATCTCGGAGGTGAGGTTCAAGACCTAGTTGATGGATTACTTACTCCACTTAAAAGTGCGGGAAGAAATGTTGTAACGATCAGTGATCCATTGAGAGGTCTCCAACAGGAGTGCAAACAAAGTCTCCGCGGTTCCTCAGACTGTTTTGCTGCTGTGGTTTTCAATGGATCTCCGGAGCGAGGTGGAATTTGGAATTATACCCTTAGAGGGGACTCATCCTTCGACTATGGGAGGATTAATACTGAGAACCATGATAATCCTGCGCAAGAGTAGGTTTCCTCCTCGGAGGTGTGGACAGGGTTAGGGTTGATAGAATATGCTAACGATTTGGAATAGATTTCTACTCCCGCTTCAGCTAGCGCTTGATAAAACTATTGCCAGTCGGGCCAACTCAGGGAGCACTGATAATGTGCAAATAGATGAGTACATGTATACCGACATGACTTCTGAGGAGCGAGATGAGCAAATTCGTGTCCGGTAAGGATTATTTGTACTGCGCATGCTATATATATTACGGATAAAGTTGACCATGCCTTAGTTACATGACTGCTATCACCGACTATATTTCAATCGCCATTTTTCTCAGTCATGTTGGTATCATTTATCACCATACCGGATTCCAGGCCACGGAACGGGAACGCGGTATTTCTACCCTTCTCGAAGCAATGGGTGTTTCCAAAGCTGCCCGTCTGATATCCTACCATCTGTCGTTTTCATCGCTCTATATTGCTGGTTGGGTAGTCATGGGACTTACAATCGGAAATGGTGTGTTTGCGAATACAAGTATTGGAATAATTATTGTATGGTACCTCCTCACGGGATGGGCTTGCGCATCATGGTCGATATTCGCTTCATCGTTCTTCAAGCGCGCTCAACTCTCGGGAATATCAACGACCATCGTAACTCTTATCTTTGGTATCATCGCACAAGTTCTTAACAAGTCTTCTACTGGGGCTGTTGCGGTGCTTGGTTTGCTGTTTCCTTCATGCAATTTCGTGTTCATGTCTGTCCTACTGGGTCGATTTGAGAAAGAGCGTCAGGGAGCATCGTTGCTTCGGTCACCACCTAACCAGGAATCAAACCTGCCCGGTATTGCCCTGTTTGTATTTCTGATCGTTCAAGGCATTGGCTATATAATCCTTGGAGCTCTGGTTGAGAAATCACTCTATGGCACTGGCAGTAGCGACCATAAGCCTACAACTGATCCAGCTAATGCTGTCGAGTTGAGAGGGTTCACAAAACGATATGTCCCAAGTTTCATCGGTAACATCCTCTCGGGTGGGAAAAAGGAGACCGTTACAGCGGTTGATAGACTTGACCTGAATATCCGCCAAGGACAAGTTCTCGTGCTCCTTGGTGCCAATGGATCTGGGAAGACCACCACTCTTGAGGCCATTTCCGGTTTATCCAAGGTCACGGAAGGTGAAATCTTGATTAATGCCGGTGGCAATGGTCATATAGGAATCTGTCCTCAGAAGAACGTGTTCTGGGACGAACTTACAGTTGAAGAGCATGTGCGATACTGGAACAAACTTAAATCACCAGGCGACACGAAAGAGGAACTTGCACGCCTTATTGCTGAATGTGACCTAACACCAAAGAAGCGAGCCTACAGTCGAAACCTGTCGGGCGGCCAGAAAAGGAAATTGCAACTCGCGATTATGTTCACTGGTGGCTCAAACATCTGCGCTATTGATGAAGTGTCATCCGGTCTTGATCCTCTGAGTAGGAGGAAGATTTGGGATATCATTCTTCGTGCACGGGGCGAGAGGACAATTATTCTTACTACGCACTTTTTGGACGAGGCTGATCTGTTGGCTGATGACATTGCGGTACTGAGTCGTGGGACATTAAAATGCCGCGGTAGTGCTGTGGAGCTTAAAAATCGTCTTGGGGGTGGATATAGAGTTCATCTTCCGACTCGCGATGGTCCAGAACTAGAAGGCGTTCCAACAAAAAGATTATACGACCAAACTGTCTACAACGTTCCCGATTCTTCTGCAGCTGGTAGAGTTGTGGATGCACTCGAAGCTCAAGGGACAGTAGATTATACCGTCAATGGGCCAACAATCGAAGATGTCTTCTTGAAAGTTGCAGAGGAAACAAGTGGACTTCAAAAAGACGCAAAAGAAGCTCAAGGCGAGGGAGATGATGGAGTGGAGCTGTTCCCTGGGAAGAGACTTGGCATTGTCAAACAAACCCTCGTTATGTTCCGCAAAAGACTCACTATTCTTCGGAGAAATTATTTTCCGATTCTTGCAGCAACGGTGATACCAATCATAGCGGTTGGGGTGACTATGATCTTTCTGAAGAATTATGATCGGGCCACTTGCTCAAATGCGGATACTATTTCCCGCGGTGATACCTACAGCCTGACCTTTGATGTCGATCTCAATATCGTTCTAGGCCCCCGTGAAGCAATCTCGGGTTTCAACATATCAAATTATATCGAGGGGGATTCCTCCTCATCTAACGGGATAACCATAACTTTTAACGATGCAAATATCAGCTTTGTCAATACATTTCCCGACTTTACCCAGTATATTCGGGCCAATTATTCGGATGTTAGCCCTGGAGGTTTTTTCATAAACAACAACAGTGATACACAGGCTACCTACGCTTACCTGGGGAACAGAGGCATTAGAAATTCTATGATTGTACAAAACGTTGTGAACAATCTGGTATTTGGACAGCGAGTTTCGGCTAGCTACGCAGAGTTTGATATTCCGTGGAGACCGGAACAGGGCTTGACACTCCAATTTCTAGTGTAATTTCCTCTTTTATACCTAGATTCAAGTGCCTATGCTAACTTAGAGTAACTTTACAGTTATACCGGCCTTGTTTTTTCCGTATTTCCAGCATTTTTCGCGCTTTACCCCACCCTCGAACGTATTCGAAATGTTCGCGCATTGCATTATTCCAATGGTGTCAGGGCTTTACCATTGTGGCTTGCATATCTCCTCTTTGATTCCATCTCTATTCTCATCGTAAGCGTTATCGCAAGTATCATTATGGTAACTTCTACCGGGGATATTTGGTATGGTAACTTCGGATATCTATTTTTGGTGATTGTGTTGTATGGGATTGCAAGTATACTCTTGGCATATAATGTGTCTTTGGTGGCGAAGAGTCAGTTGAGTGCGTTCGCATTTGTTGCCGGTGGTCAAGGTTAGTGTTCCCACCTATACGACAACGGGCGATGGTTTTTAACTCGTGATACTCGTAGCGGTGGTGTTCTTGCTCTACTTCATTGCGGTGATGTCAGTTTTCACCTATGCGCCGACCTCAAAAATCGATGAGCAGTTGAACATTGTGCACTTTGCGATTGCAGCTATCTCACCAATTTCAAACTTTACCCGTGCGGTTTTTGTTGCGCTGAACATCTTCTCTATCTCCTGCCGTGGAGAGCAGTATGCAGGCAACCCTGGCGGAATGACACTCTATGGTGGCCCAATTACCTATCTCATCTTACAGTCTATCTTCCTCTTTTGCACACTTCTCTGGTGGGATAGTGGCCGTTTTAGACTCCGATTTGGATCACGTATAGTCAAAACAAAAGGTGCCAACGAGGAAGAACAAGAAGTAGGTACTCTTGGAGGTGAAAAGAAGTTCATTGGTGATGAAATGAGACGAGTGGACTCGTCAAATGATGGACTACGTGTTATGCATATTACCAAAACGTTTGGGAGGAAAGTAACTGCTGTCGACGATGTTACTTTCGGTGTACCCCGAGGAGAGGTATTTGCGCTCCTTGGGCCCAATGGCGCAGGGAAAACCACTACTATCAACATGATTCGTGGCGACATGGCCCCTAACACTGGTGATATCTTTGTTGAGAATATCTCTGTCACCGGAAATCGTCCCGCTGCTAGGTCACATCTCGGTGTGTGTCCGCAATTCGATGCTATGGACCGTATGACTGTCGAAGAGCATCTCCGCTTCTATGCACGTGTTCGCGGTGTTGAGGATGTTGAGCATAACGTTGCACAGGTTATAAAGGCTGTTGGACTCGAGGCATTTAAGAAACGAATGGCAGAAAACCTGTCTGGTGGTAATAAGCGGAAACTCTCTCTTGGTATCGCGTTGATGGGCAATCCAACTGTTCTTCTTCTTGATGAACCCTCTTCCGGTATGGACGCCGCTAGCAAACGTATAATGTGGAAGACACTCGCTGGTGTAACTCGCGGCCGGTCTCTTGTACTCACTACCCACTCCATGGAAGAAGCCGATGCCCTCGCCTCTCGAGCCGGTATCCTTGCAAAGAGCATGCTTGCCATGGGAACTGGAGATCAGCTGCGCCGAAGATGGGGTGATGGATATCACGTTCACCTTGTCCTAAGATCCGCCCCCGCGAGCACACCCGAGGAAATGGAGAGGCTTAAGGGTTGGGTTTTGACAAGATTTAAAGGCGCTAGGGTTGAGGATAGGAGTTTCCATGGGCAGATGAGGTTCTCTGTGCCAATTGACGCGGAGGATGAGGCGGAGGTTGATGATGAGGGAGTTGAGGAAATGGCGAGGAAAGGAAACTCTAGGGGAGTTAATAGGGTCTTTAAGGCGTTGGAGAAGGGCAAGGAAGGATTAGGGCTGGAATTTTATAGCGTCAGTCAGAGTACACTTGGTATGTTTCTTCTTCTTTCCCAGTTGATGAATATGACAGCTAATGAATATTCTAGACCAAGTATTTTTGACAATTGTTGGTAATGCGAACGTTTCAGAAGAGGGTTACGGAAAGCCGGAGAAGAAGAGGTGGTGGAAACGCTCTTAAGTTACTAGCTTAGGTCGCTCCCTTTTATTTCCTTTGTAGTTAATTTCTTTTTACGATTTTGTGTCTTTATAGTTTGTTTCCCATTTCTTATGTGGAATGAGCTTATTGAGCGGACATACCTATTGTTTCAGCTTCTGGTAATTATGAAATGTTATAGACGTATTCATGGGGACGATATATGAATGAGGTATATGCCTATATAGACGAATTCACTCCTATATTTGAAGGTTATGCTTTGAGTAAAGATTTCGCCGTTATATTTGTTCATGCGAACCGTTTGTTTTATCTCTTACCCCTTAGGCCATTAGGTCTGAATAATATTTAAGCCGGATACAGAAGTCTTGACATGGGGTTTATAGGATTGGATCACTCCTCCTGACCTTCCACTAATTCGAGATGTGATCCGTGGCAGGTCAACTAGCCATGGTCACTTTTGTCGGTTTTTACACCACGATTTCCGTATCCGGCCAAGTCACGCAGTTAGGATTAGGCGTCAGACGTATGGCGCGGTCACGAAAATCTCATGCTCCACAGAAAATCTATCCTCAACCACACAACGCAATTGATAAAAATTCTAACACGTAGAAGAGCTAAAGCTAGTGATTACCCACCAACCGTCTGCCTCTATCTACTCCCAATCATTCCCTCGCTGAGCGAGATAGCTCCTCAAAACTGGTAGGATTTAACCAGAATGGCCGATCCCAAAATGCAGTAGAATTCCAGGGTTAGGTGGGGCGAGAATAGGTCTAAATCGTACTGTAGGTATGAAAAGGAGAAATCAAGGGTTAGGGTTGACCTTGAATGGCCGCAAAGGTATGTTAACGTCGACCGGCGCCATAAGAATACATGTAGTCATATTTCGATATGGAGTGGGAAGATAATTCGGCCGCGCTAGTAAAGCTTGTTCTAATTAATCCACGGTTACTTTTGTGGTGAGGAGAAGTAGGAAAGACGCTCTTCCTCGCGTAGAACTGCCTCGAGTTTATAATAAGTAGATGTTTATCTTATGCGTATATGGGTATTTCAGTGTTATGATGTAGTTATTATCTCTCCCGTCTTTATTGATACCATGGAGGCGAGGCGGCAATGCGGCAAGTCGCAGACCAAAATATCTGACGAGTGATAATCCATGGCTTGGATCCCCTGCCGGCCACGCAACAGAATTGCAGCTTTCGACATGACGGGAAATTCATCAACTGATGAACATAATACGTGTACTTGATAATCTTTAGAATCCCCCATGTTAAAACCAACACTATCACCTGATACGCGCGTACGTACAATCGGATATCCGGGTTTCAAAAACTAATCACCAGTAGGCACTCCGGAGTCCGGGAAGGTATCCATCATGCTATCGGCTAGATAGCATAGGACGATAGACCTTGAAATCATGGGGGTAAATTCTGCATACTCCACCGTTCGCAAGGAGGTGTGTTGACAAAACATGGTGGTGGGACGTGCTTGCGCCCCGTATCTGCAGTCGGTCCCTGGATTACATGCCCGTGGGGCTTTGGGGGCCAAGTGAGGTGGTGGCCTGATTGGGAATTTCATGGGGTGTAGTTATCTACTTCTTGGCATGGTTAAGCTTTTTGCAATGCTTGTATTATAGCCGTAATAAGCAGGTGTACCAACATCTATTCAAACCCGAGCCATCTGGCTTTCTGGTGTGCAAGTAATTGGTTTTGTAAATACCAGTAAGTCACCAGATGAAAAGATAGGGGAATACAGAGCTTTTACCTTGGATACATGTAACCTGGCGCAAGTTTAGCAGTCTCTGCAGAGGCGATAGATACCCGCTGTCGTAGATGTTTTATATAGTTAATATATGAAACGACTATCACATAGTAAACATTTGTACCACCTTCGCTTCAAACCGTACCGATATTAGTCCCCTTAGAGAGAAAGCGACGATCCTTCGATATGAGGTTGCCGTTATCCAAACGCCCGCAGCTCGGAGCGCAGGACCGCAGAAGTTCCGCTTGTAAGTATGGTCGATGCGTACATGGTGTAATCCTGGCCTACTCATTCATGGTACCTCAGCTGTCAAACGAAAGAGTGTAGAAATATCAGGCTAATCGGCAAGTACATAGCTCAACCCATCAGTCCGAAAGGTTATATATTCCGTACCTTCCCCCATATCCTATCCCCATCACTACAGCTTCAAGTCTCAACCAAGCTATACATTCAACCAAGCCATATACTCAACCAAGCCATATATTCAGAATGCAGTTCCTCTCTCTCGCTCTCGCCCTGGGTGCTTTCTATATTCAAACTGCTCAAGCAGCCCCGGCCCCTACCGAAGCACCCTCCCCTACAATCACCAGCCCTCCCAGCACCACCACCTTCACCTCCACCGCCACTTGCAGCTTTAGTCGCTGTGTTGATTACATCGATGCCTGTGGCCACACCTACGGCGGGTGTTTCCTCGATCCACAGTGCGGAGGCACAGTCCCGGTATTCCACCCACCGAATTGCCCAGTCACAGCTGCTACTGTTGAGCCAACTTCTGTAACTACAACACTGGCATGAGCACTTAAAGGACTATCAAGGTAAGATTATAGAATCAGTCCAGTCAGACCTTGGATATTTGCTGATGATTTGATAGGACGAATATGGAAACCTCCTGTGACACACTGGTTGAGTGAGCTCTTTGGTTTTGGTCCGAGACTTTCTTGTTGGCGCATTCGAGTATCAAGTCAATTACTGTGGTGGTAAATAGAAACTAAATAAAACGAAATGAATTTGACATGAATGTGTAACTCAGTCTCAATCAGCCCTTCTCCCTTGAGTGCATAGAATGGAATCCACTTCTTAGAATCTCTTTCATCTCGCACGGTGATATTCAAGCTGGAGTGTTAGTTAGCTAGGCACCCAGGGTCGAGCTATTTTTGTGGGTCATAAATTGAACAAATCCATGTGAGACTCCAGTAGGACTATAACTTCCCAGGATGGTTGTGGTAAAAAGTTGAGAGAGCTACAGTAGTGAGAGTTGGGAAGTGGAGGAGGGGATTTGTGAGGATTTCAAAACCTTCATTTAGCAAAGTTAATCGTGTTAACACATGTAGTACTGTTTAGCAATAGCGTAGTAAAACAGTATGATGTCACATGTAGTACATTCCGGGGCAATGTCATCTATCTTTCGAATTTCGATTCCGGTGCTGCAAATGCAATACACCTACATACATGTGATAGCAAATCTGCATAGAGCTCCCGCCTGAATCCAGAATTCTGTTGTGTACATACATGTGTTTATGTCCAAAGTATAAACTGGCCGGCCATATGCAACAAATGTGATGTTACATATACCCATATTTATGGCCGCGGGCTGGTGAGTGTGATCATAGACTATCACTCGACAAAAGATGCCGAATGTTGGTGAAATCAAGCATTAGCATTGCCAAGAACCGCAAAGAGATTGCCGGCTGAAGCTTGGAATTGAAGCTTTTTGCCTCTGATCTGCGAAGACCAGGGGTGAAATAGGATTATCATCCATTCGTTTTGTTTCTACACATAGCAATAGCGCGCGGTAGCATTGTTTTTTCTGATCTGTACTATTCACTAAATTCCCATTTTTCGTACTGTACTATAATAATATATAGGTTTTGTATGATCTAGGATATTTCCTTGTATGCATTAAATCTTGGCGGATACAACCGAGGATCCGGGTCTAGGCGCCTTACAGATTCACGATCAAACGAGGCTCGGCGCTTCATGTCTTCTACCAATACGCTAATACAGGCATAACGTTAACATTACCTAAGGTCTCATTATCAAAGATAAGGACGAGAGCAATAAGCGCCCGAATACAGTGGCTTGAGGGTCTGCTTGAGAAAATGGCATTTAAGGGTTTCAGGCGAGATGAAGAGTGAGACTTAGTTGGCTACGCTCATGATATTCTATAAAACGGCATTGCTGATCACCAGTAAGCACAGGCTTTTAAGGTTGAAGCCCGTGAAGATACAAATGAATAATTGTTTGAAGTAAAATTAAATGTATTTAGGTACATGAGGTTTAAATCGTGAGGCCTGGGCTGGGCGGCGCGGGCTCAGCCCCGTCTTGTATTCTACAAGCACATATGTAGAGTATATGGATGCAGAAGGTACTTATCCAAGAAACGGAATTTTTTGACAACTGCTTATGTATCCATTTTCATAATTATATAAATCCATACCAAGAATCTCAAGGTTTCATGGCTTTGCGGCGCTGAAAGAGGCTTAGAAGCAAGGCCCATGCATGTCGCGCAACTGGCGACGGAGCAGCCCCGCTTCCATCTTATCCAACACAGCTACCTTAGGCAATTATTCGAGATTCAATTTTATAAGATTGAACCCACTGATTCGCAAATTCTAACTTACCTTCACTACGTCCCCTCAACGTTTACCACCACAGAAAATAGAAAGATAGGATTCCTCCTTCCCGCACGCACCTATGACCGGTTTTCATGTAAGGCAACTTCATGATGCGCTACGAAACATCGTCGTCAAGAACGCTGCATGGCGAGAGTTCATACCCGAGGGGGAATTCAACAAGTTGATGACACCGGAGACTATAAAGCGCGTATTTAACGAGATTGTTCATGATAACTTACAGCCCAACCGTGAGCAGTCAGATCCAGAACCAATACGACTCTCTAGCCCGCCACACCGGCCGGAAGGCCGGAAGCGAAGTTCGTTTCATTTCATCGACTATAAGAGGCTTCCAGATGTCTATGATAACCGGAAAATTCTTGCACTTTTGGTGTTTATTGGGAGGGAGAAATATATCATGAGCTTCCTGAACCGCGGACGTGGAGATATGAGCCTCCCGCTCTCTCCAAGCCAGCTGAGGAATATCGATCCCCACCTCGAGAACTCTGATTTCTTGGATAAGCAATATTCTTTTCTCGCGATCCGATTCTATAAGGGGGTAGAAAAGGAGTTTGGTGACCAGTGGATACTACCATTCATCAAAGACCAGCCGATAAATAAAGCGAAGGGCGCATTTGGAAAAATATACGAAGTCGAGATCCACTCGGACTATTATGACTCCGACATGGTTTCCTTCTGGAGAGGCGAAAAGGTAATGGTATATTCTTTCACATGCAAAGGATTGAGGAGCTTATGTCTGAGGATAGCCTATTTTCGCTCGCAAAGAGCTAGTGATTGATGACACCACGGACAGTATGTTATTCGAACTTGAAAAGAATGCGTTGAAGATTCTCCACTCAAGACATCCAAATATCGTACCCTTATTGGGAAGCTACAAATACAAAGATAAATACAACTTTATATTTCCTCGAGCTGATTGCGATCTGGATATGTATTTTCAATGCGGAATTCCTCCACAAACGCCTAGAGAGATGTACGACCTTTTTACAGAGATATCAAAGCTCGTATCGGCTTTAGATACAATCCACGATTGTAAAATTACTTTTGACTTGGACGAGGGCTATGATGTTTCCCAGATTGGATATCATAGAGATCTCAAGCCAAAGAATATTTTGAAAATGGGAGATATCTTCATGATCTCAGATCTCGGCTTAGCTATATTCAAGGAACAGGGCCCTGTCTCAAATACCGAATGGATATTGGGAGAGTCTACATATTACGCACCAGAGTGCAAGGCAAATGGTAAAGCTGGGCGTTTATCGGATATCTGGTCACTGGGCTGTATATTCGGTGAAGTGGTAACATTTGCACTTCGTGGGGCAACAGGTATCCACGAATTTTGGAAGAAGAGAAAACAGTCTTACGTCGATGGCATCAGCTTGGATTATTTTTATAAAGATGATACAGTCTGCAAAGGTGTCCTAGAATGGTTCGATGAGTTAAGGCTACACGCGGAGCACGACCCATTTATTGTCGAAATATTGGGTCTTATTGAAGAGATGTTAACCCCGGCCCAACGACGCCCACGCGCCAATGCCGTGGATGAAAAGTTCTCACGTATCTTAGAAAGAGAAAGGAGGAGAAAGGGTTACGAAGAACCCACCCCTAGGGCAGTCTTCACTGACCCCGGAGACCCGCGAGATTCACGAGAACTCCGGAGCCCTCGCAAAGAATTTGTCATTAGCCGTGATATCACCGAGACTCCGGAGCAGATCCAAGGTTATCTTCCACCAACACCACCAGATCAACCAAGTCCTGTCCAGCCGATAGTGAGTCCCATGCTGAGAAATTTAAGTCAGGGGAATCAAAGCCAAAGCCCAGAGAGAAAACACACCCTCATGGTGAATGGCCCGCGAATTGATGGGTCAGACTTGGGGGAGGAGCGTTCATCGACACCTCAAGGTCTCTGCATTTGCAATCTTGACACACAAGACTCTAGATACAGGGACCAACCGAAGACCACTGGGCCACCACCGCTTCTCTATAAAGTACCTGGGTTCGTTAAAAAGAGTCTCAAAGGGAAAAACCCTTTCGGTTACTTGAAAGAATTCGATACAGTAAGTTTAACACCCCTCAAATCCTTGTCCATTTAGAGATAACTTACAGTATGTAGGTATTTTTGATCGACAACTCCGAGTCCATGAGTAACCACTGGGATGATGTTGCGCTCGCCCTTTACCGATTCATTGACCTTGCATCCCACTACGACACTGATGGCGTAGATCTTTATTTTACCGACTCTGCAGTCTCCGTCACTAAAGCCAAAACGAAAAAAGTATATGAAACGTTTCAATCGGTCAAACCTATCGGGTCATCGCCCTTAACCCTTCGTCTCGAAACAATTCTCTTGAATTACATTGCTCAATTCAATACCGACCGAACAACTAAACGACTCAACCTCATCGTTATCACGAATGGAGACATGACAGCTATCGAAAGCCCTAATGATCCTATTATCAATTGTGCCCGGAAGCTAGACGATATCATGGCGCCTGCACGTCAGGTTGGCGTTCAGTTTGCCCTGATTGGAAGTGACGAGCAAGCTCGGGAAGTATTCGGGGAGCTTGATGATGATCTTTGGAGAAAACATGGAGTGAGGTATGATAGATCTTTCCCAAAGTTATGTTACTGCAAGCTAAATAAAATTTCAGGGATATGGTGGATACAACACCTTACGACCCGTATAAGGATGGTAGAGATGACGAAACATTGTTGAAGATCATGTGCGGTGCAGTCAATAGATTGCTAGACCATCATAATCAGAGTTGATGAAGCACATCACAGAATTTTTGTTTGTCTATGGGTTTGGTGTTTAGGTTGGGTGATTTTCTTTTTAAAAAAGATCCTTGGATTAAACCTTGGGCAAATAATTTTTAGCTATTTATTTTGGAAATTTGTGTCTCAAATATTGCCGAATCTATGTAATCTCAAGATGTTGTTAGTGATTTTGCCAATTTTTGTAGGTAACTATTTGATATCATACGTGATACAGAACGCCCTGCTTCTTATATCTGTCATTATAAACCTTTGTTATGCCTAGGCTAAGTCGAGCAACCGATATCGAATCTGGCACGGCCTACATTTTCAGGATAGCTTGGGAGTATATATATTCCACACGCGCAAAATTTAAAGGGCTATATACTCAGGCTCATGGGCAGTTAGTATACAGTTACATGGGATGTAGAATCAGTTGTGCCTTACTGATACGCCCTGTGCTAGTCTCTCCGGAACCGGAGCTTTGTGTTTGTGTTTTCTTTTTTCTTCTTTCTTTTTGTGGTGTCGCGTCGGTGTACGTATGTGCGCGTGGTGGTGGTGGTCGGAGTGGTGGTGGTTGTGCACTAGCGGCGGCCGCGGTGTCTAAGCCTCGGTCGGCTAGATGATGGCCGAACGAGTAGCGTGACGAGTGATAGGATGTGATCCATAGAGATCTAGGCAAAAAATGAAGACTGGTTTATGGAAGTCTTGAGCTAATTAATCATGATCTACTCCTGTGGGTATCCGAGTGAGTGGTGGACAGTATTAAGCTCTGCGCCCCTTATATACTGTGGGCTATATAGAGTACCTCAGAACTAGAACTACACGTAATTAAGCAACATCTCATTACTGCCTAGATAATTTCCAATATGAGAATTGCCCCTCTACGAAAAGCCGCTCAGATATTTTTCCTATTATTACTTTCTGGATTTCATAACTGATTATACGACGCAGATCAACCGCGACCGATATTCAGTCATACTAATTATTACTGTATGCATGTAGTTAGCAAGAATAATAGGCAGCTATTATAGCACCAAGATCGTTACGTTGCCTGAGTTCTTATACGCGACGTTATGCTGGTTACTAGATGTTAAATGTCGTCCTAGATGTTAAATGTGAAAACATCTACGGTCAGTAGGTGCGTACGTACTACTAACATTAGACATGTACTGTGGTGTATACGACCAAAGATATTAAGACGTTTGAAAATACAGTATGTTATATAGCTTACATGTAGTCAAAGGGAACCGTAGTCTTAGCACTAACACCACACTCTAAGTTAATCAGGCCAGACTTTGATGACACCCCATTATATGCTGCGCACTGGCCTGAACAGTCACGATCAAGCCCCTCTTCGACTCCATCTGATTGAAAGAAAATGAGTCAAGTTTAAAAATATCTTATCTGGAACCTTCGTATCCTGTTCTATCCCGGCTCACTGTAGCTGTGTCATCCCCTTCAGGAGGAAAGAAAAGGTAAACCACAAAAAATGAACACTAAACGTTTTTAAAATACAAAGCCTATTTGTCTGCATGAATACCCCCGCGACCATTAATTATATGTCTCGGGCCGTTGTTCACAATTAATAGAACAGCCGCTATATATGATATTATCATATTCATTACGCAATCACAAAATTGTGGAACTTACAGAATGGTAAGGGATGTGTCTTCTTTGCTAAGCATGACCGGTCCAGCATCGAACAGTATCTTCAATCGCTTAACTCCAATCTACTGATGTAAAGTTTTAGGCTCTATGTCTTAATCAATGCAGTCTCTGGCCGTATACGTTTGTTTGGTTAGGGTATTCCTTCAGCCGCGCGCAGGGAATGCGCATTTCGGTATCTTCGCAGATACAGCCTCGCTTACTATTGGCATCGATTGAATAATTGTGCATTGCACGATTAATGCTTTAGTGTAACGCTTATAGGCTGCGCAAATATGGGGCACTGGCTAATTGACAGGTAAAGCTTCGATCGTAGTCCAACACACCAATCAGGTAAAGCTTTCAATACTCTCTAAGGAGAGAAACACACGACTAGGAAAACCACAGCTGGATTAATCTTGTAGAATTATTTCTAACACATAGAGAGAATCCGGCTGTCACATAGATCGATCTAAATCTATCAATTCAATCAATTGATCTCTCTTATATTGAAAATCTTAAGCGCTCTCTATCTTTCAAATGCAACCCAAAAATGAAACGCAATTCTATCTGATTTTTATCTTTCTGCTTTCTTACTCGCAGATTAGGTAGCCCATATTCACTGCTTCACAAAGCTCAATTGTCAAGGCTGGTAGCTAATGTAATATCTACTGGTACATTCTGCAGATTCCCATGACGATAAAGGCTTCCATATCTTCTATGCATTATAGCCTTCCTTATGACTCGTAATTATTCCCACTTATCCTCAAATAACATGAAATGATCTGTTTTTGAGCCAATTAACCCATATCTGTAAAGTAAAGGTAGCGATACTAGTGGGTACCTTATCAAAACCAAAGCTGTAGAGGAGCTGGATATCCAGCGGTCCACGGGCCGCGCTCCAATTCTTGCTGGAATCATTGCGGATAGCATGGGTCTAAAATTTTGCCCCAGCTTCTAAGGCAGACACCGCTCAAAACTAACCCCCACAACCATTATCTGCACAGCCATCCGTTTCTCCAAGTGGCAACAAGATTTCTGCTTCTGTAACCTCAAACGCGATCTTGAATCATGTCAAAGTGAAGATACTTTAAGAAGATTTTCATGGATTGTATCTATCCTGATATTCTTGTTTATCCTTCTACTCCGGATACCGTGCAGCCCGCTATCCGTTTCTTACCTGAGCAGGCTGCAGGTGTTGCTGAAGCTGTGGACGGGGTGGTACTCGTTCTTTGGGGAAATATAGGGTTTTCCGGGGTATGGATTTCCTAGTGAAGAGAGATTCTAGAGATGCGATACTGATAAAAGATTATTTGGTACTATAAGAGAGCTTAGTATCAGCCTTCGGTGGATACATATGGGCTGAGCGAAACAGATATACAACTGCCGTGCAAGGATGAAAATATTCTGTTAATGAGTCAAGTAGTGAGTTTGCCTAGCTGGCCAGTAGCAGAATCAGAGCCTTGTCCCACAAGCTATGGAAATGTGTTTTTGTAGATCCTACCTTAGCGTCGAACCGCATACAATTATAAGCCTTATTCAGTCGGCTTATCCAGAACGTAGGCTCACAATAGCCTTATCAGTACAAAAACCCTTTTTTAAGCCTTATTTCATGCTTAAATAGCACTTACCTGAACCTTTTTGTACTGATAAGGCTATTGTGAGCCTACGTTCTGGATAAGCCGGCTGAATAAGGCTTATAATTGTATGCGGTTCGACGCTAAGGTACTCTTCAAACACGGTCGGTTGCCCCGTCTAAAAACGTTTCGTTTTGAGAAGTAAAATAGCCGCGCGCGCACCTTGGTCCAATCATGTACCCTCACTCGTAGGGTTAGGGTTAATCTGCATGATCGTGCATGAAGCCCCTCAATTTTTCCACAACGGGATGAAATTGACATGTGTCATACATGAAGAGCCCCACCGAAACATACCTATAAAAAAAGAAGACACGCCTCCCTAGCCGGCCTTAATCCAAACAAGCAACGATGGGACAACGTATTCCGCAAACAATAAGTAGTCGATATCTAACGGCGGATCAACTAAGATGGCTCTTGGTACGGTTATTTGGCGCGGGAAATTTTGCTGCTGAGGTACGTTCTCGTATCAACCATCCTCGTCCGCCATTTCCCCCACATGATGGGTACAGTGGAGAGATGGGGGGGCTGTGATTTGGACTGTACAAATAGGGCTGACTTTTCTCTAGCTTCAAAGCGGGGAGTGGAAATGTCAAGTCCCTCGTAAAATCACGGAGGTAGGTACCAAGCTGTCCATTGGGTTGGCTGGGGGGCTGGAGCACGGGTAGATGGCTAATGAGTTACCTACATTGCAGGAGGAGATCTGGGCAGCGCAGGAACGTTGATGGGCACTAGGCGGCGCGGCAATAGGCACATGAAATAGGTATGCAGGTCCGTTAATGCTCATACCCTTTGTTCTCTCCCCTGAGCTTCTCCGTCTGATGTTTTACCGATACCAAGGTTCAGGCTGACGTTCTTTCCTTTTCCCTTCTTTCTTTCCATGGCGCTAGTTACAGACGTTTTGTCCTCTAAAAATTTGAGTTATTCGGAATGATGATACCGTCAGATGTGGGTCTGTCAGAGGGTCGATCCAGCAGCACTGCCTTCGGTGTTGTCGCCTGAGGGATATAGTCACAAGGGATTAGTATGGTAGATTCATAGGGAGATCGGGAGGTTAGTTACTATGAGAAATATGAATACGTCTCTACACGTACAACAAAATCCATGCACGGGCCACTTAGTGTTCAATGTTGGATCTCCCACCTCTCAGTGACCAGTCCATATGTTCGCAATGATCTCATAGCTAGCTAGAGCCCAGAGAAAATAATTTTTCTGCCCTCTCATCTCGCGCCTTTAACTGCGGACCATCACCCGCCGCAGGAGTTATCCCGTCGTTGCCACTTCCTTGCGCCTCGACCTTTTGTATGGGGACAGCCGTTGCGATTCGTTGATTGGGGCAGTGGCGAGCTGAAAGGGGCGGGGTAGGAAGGTTCCACGATCCCCTGTCCTACTCGACGAGGCTCTGCGCCACGAATCTAGCTGCCAGGGCTCAGCGACAACACTCGGATCGTGTTTTGATAAAACGGGCCCTCTCTGCACAATTTTTGAATTCAGATCTCCAGTCTACTCAAGCGGGTCATTCAAGCGAAAAGTCGATATACAGGCTATATTCTATTATCTAATACACATATATCTACTACCACATACACCGGTGGATCTTTAATTTACCGCGTATACACCTTACCTTACAACCAAACATCCAACTTTAATTACCACTTCTATCAATATGGCAACAGCAGCAGCAGACAAGGGATGGGAGAGCTACCCAAAGCGTTTACTCAACTATGACCCACTGCGCGAGGATGGAGTATCCTATGATGCGCGACTAGCCAAGGATAACAAACGTCTATTTACCGAAAAGGGAAATATCAACGTGGATGTTCTCGATATCTTTCGCGACGAGTTTGTCGCGGATAACAAGAAGCCTACTACATACCAGGATACAGATGCTTTTGAGGAGTGCCTTACTAGCGTGAGTTCTACTATCACAACCACATGGCAACTACGAAGCGAAGCAATTACTAATATCTGCAAAATAGTCACCACCCAATAGGGAGTTCAGATTTTATACATTGAAACCAGCGAACCCAAAAGTGATATCAAGAAGTCGTGTAGCTATCCCAGAGGACACTCTGAGGAAGCTCTTGACTGTGCATCAAGTTATGCCGGGGTTTATCGACTTTCTTCAGGCATTTGGAAGAAGGGCTAGCTCTAGCGATACTGGCTTTGGGGGTTGCAAAAGACGCATTGAATATGCACCAAACAGCAGCAAGCAGAGAAACATGAAATCATATGGTATGTGGATCATTTCGAGTGGAGGATGTCCATTACAACGGGACTAACGGCTATACTTCAGAAATATGTTACAATATCAAATTTGCTGAAGAGCACGGACGAAAAGAAAAAGAGGATGAGCCACCAAAAGACCCTTGGTCAATACGACAAACATGCATCTACCAGAAATTCGAATATGAGAAGAAATCAAGCACATGGATCATGGTGCAGCCCTCAGACAAGGCTACAACCAGACTGAACGAGGTCTTCAAGGCCAGAGCAGAGGAATACATCGAGGACACTATGCACAATCCTATGGATATTCACTTGGTGTTCCTCTCAGGCGCAGCTGAGAACTGGAGGTGGTACTACAACTACCTTGAGAACAAATTATATGAAACGACGACGGGAGCCTTGAGCTCAGCCGTTGGACGAAGGGGGAAAACGGTGACCTTTGGAAACTACAACCAGCACCTCGACTTTGAGGTCGAATTCAAGGATGTACAGGAACTCCAGAGGTTTGAGGAGAAGGTTCAGAGCCTACTTTTGGCTCTGGAGACAAACAGGGATACCATCACAACATTACAAAAACATAACGATCAGTTGAGGAAATGTGGTTTGGGGCTGGAAGAACACCACTTCACAGCAGTAGACGATTCGCTAGATACATACCTTACCGAACTCGCAATCTACAAACGAAACGTTGAAGCCCTACTCCAACGCATTCGTGGACGATCAAGATTGGTATTTAAACCCTCACTAACAGTCACCATGGTACACTGCTAACAATTTCTGTAGCTCTACAACATCCTTGACTACCGAAATGCCGAAACCGCCCACCGTCATGGCCAAAAAAACGTCGATTTCGCCGAACTCGGCCGCCGCGATACCGACCTAATGATGAAGATGACAAAACGTACTACCCGAGAAGCCGTGGCCGTAAAGATTGTGACCTTCGTCACACTATTCTACCTTCCGGCCACATTCGTTGCAGTTTGTTTCCTCTACTCCTGGCAATGGTCTTGCAACTAGTGTAATGACATTCCTTCTGCGGTAGACTTTTCTATCAGCAAATTGTGTAAAGTTCGTTGAAGAAACCGTAAACGGACGGATTATATCACGAATGGCGGTCTCGAAAGATCTGATCCTGTTCGCTGCGATAACCGGTCCACTGATGTGTATCACACTAAGTATCTGGTTTATCTGGGATAGAATTGAAAAGAGACGCGTCATCGAGGAGTGCGGCGATAAGCCAAACCGAAATCTTGAGTAAAGGTCTACTTTTCATTGCTGTATTTGTGCTTTTAGATTTTCGTACTTCCTTGTGCAGTGGCCTGTGACTGGGTCTTCACCACCCTGCCATGGCTTTTATTCATGTATTTTATTTTCTTTTGGGGGTTATCTACTTTATTATATTCGGTTGCATTGCATTGGGGGGACTTATATTAACTTTTATGCGTTGAATCTAAAGGGCTGCGAAACGCCGTCAATTACAAAATCAACTCGCGATCTTTGAAGCTGAGAGACGCAATGCCCAAGAGGATGCGCAAGCCGCACAAGCCGCACAAGCTGCGCAAGCTGTCATCTCTCTATGATGGTTTATATGATTATGATGACGATAATAATGATGATGGCTATGATTTATGGTGCGGGATGATTGTTGAATTGCTGTTCGTGGAGTAAAAGGTTTATATATTGCGGAAGCGTTTCATGAAAGAAAAAAAAGATGTTTTCTTTGAGGATGTTTATTTCACTTTTATTATGTTTCATTAAAAATTAAGTTACTTATATACCCCTGAAATAACTAACAGACGAATCTGTACAGAATCTCTTGGTAGTAACGTTGTAGAGTTTGTCCATGCGGTTAACTTGTCCCTGAGGGTGCTAGCGGTTTATGTCGTGGACCAGCAAGATGTCTCATGGCCCAGCTGCAGGCTCTTTATCATGTGTAACTGGCTTCATGTGCCTGCATATTTATACTCTTCTCGTGATGCCACTCGTATCATCTCTGATCTCTGGGCAGTGAGGGCCATTAGATACAGTATCCTAGATGCTGTATAAGCTACATGTATGGTAGCATGTGCCTTTTGGATAGCAATCTTTGCATAAGCATAGCCTAGCCTGTACCATTCGAGATCTTCCTTTACGCTTTCGTAGCACCTAGGCTGTTGGTTGGGTGATAGAGTTGCCTCTACATCCGAAGTATTTGCTTCATATCCATGCAAGTATGCACTCTGCCCTCTGGCCCGATCATCCTGCCCCAATATCACAACAACGGGTCTTATTTCCGAAGGTTTAAAACGGCCAATCGGTGATCCTACGGCTACGATCTGCAACCAGGAGAGTTAACTGCGGCTGTGAGATCTGGTGGAGGGGATCTGACATGCGCCATGAACCACAAGGCAACCACGATGACAAGTGCACAGCTGCTAAAGTAGTAACAGTGGTAGGCCAGTAGCTTTGACATCACCAAGCTCATACGCGAATCGGACTCGGGGAGATCGGGGAATGTACGGGGGTTTTTGGCGATTTTTGTGCGACGCGAGTCGGATTATCTCCCCTTTGGCTGTGTTAGAGCTCAGACAAAGGCCTTAGGGAGACTCTGCTATTAAGTATGTCATTGACTTGCTTAATCAGTTTTCTTTGAAAATCCACCCCCTAGCTTTGAGATGCTTGACTGTACCTGTCTGTGCGGATTGTTATAAACTTGGGGGAATTCCGCGATATTTTTTTTTCTTTCTGTTCTTTATATATTCTTCTTTGATAAGTGGAAAGCGCGTAGTCATAACACTTAAGACACTTGGCAGCAGCGGGTTTTGTTTGAGATCTCATCTGCAGTGTTGTTGACGATAACTTAATACCCATTTCAGGGCAAGTCATATATGGAGGGCCCTCAGGTTGTCCCCATCCCTGTTCCCGATGATGGAAATAGTAAGTCTATATCTCACGATAAGCTACAAACAGACAGAGCTAATACAATTAACCTTTTCAGGGGCTGTTAACGAAAACCCCAACGAGAAGGCTGCTCCAGCATCACCGTCTTTATCTACAATTGAGACAGTAACTGAAAAACCCACGGTGGAATTGTTACCTGAAGCCGCCTCTCAAGCTAAGGAGCCACTGCCCGAGCTCCCATACTCATTGCGGACTCGGAAGCGCGCGATCGCAATTTCGTGGTCCCTTCTTTTGCTGGATGCCTGTTTCCTCCCTGTAGGGTTATTCTATATCCTCAAATTTGGCGCCAAGCTCGACGACACACGAAGTAAATACTTGACTTTTCCCCTTTTGGTACTTTTTCGAATAACTACTAAATTTCTCCTGCTCGCAGATCTTGGAATTACAAACTCCGTATTCGGCTTCTTCAGTCTTTTCCAATTCCTTTTCCGCCTCTGGCGCCTCCTCCTAAAATCACCCCGCTACAGGCCCGTCGGCACAACCTCCCGCTTCGCCCTCGACTTCTACCAGATTCAGTTCTTTTTCGGCTTCATCGTCATTAGCGTCATCATAAGCATCGGCACAGCGGTGGATCCGCCTCTCCTACGACTCCTCGCCATGCCGCCCACCGCGCTACTCATCCAGTGCGGGCCTCAGCTCGTCATCTCCTGCTATGCTGTCCGCAAGGGGTGGAGAGCTCCGTTTAGGATGTCCTCGACCGAGAAGGGAGAGAAGGTAACGGTAGCGCTGCTTACGATCATTGAGGATATCGTTGCGGTTGAGGGTGGCGGCGGCCTGGAGTATAGGGCGGCGCTGAAGAAGCGTTATGAGGTCAGTGAGAAGTTTAGGGAGATGTTGTGGGTTTTGTCGTTGATTTGGGGAGTGGCGGCGGTTCTGACGGCGGGGGTTACGTGTGCGGTGGTGTTTACGATACAGAAAGATGCAGCGTATGGGTTTGGTGGGTTTCTCTTTTATTAAGCGATGTTTATGGGGTATAGTTACTAACAGGTGATAGGTTGGACTTTTCCGTTTTTGTGGGCTGTGGGCATGGCGGTGTGGACTATTAAGTTTGTTCAGAAGAGACTAAAAGAGGAAGAGGAGTCGTGGGAAGGTACTACTGCTGCTGCTACTAATGAGTAATTCCTACGAGGATTTAGAATGGACTCATGATTCCATGTAATTTTTCTTGATGAAGTTAATTTTTTTATTACAACTCTTTTTAGAATACCAGGCTTCACTGGCCGATAAGATAGTGCATGCGCAAAAATATACATTTAGAAAATAGCTGAATTGGTCCGGGCCGCGTTTTGTATATAGGCCATGCTTTAAGTTATTTCGTTATGAGTAGTAAGAGATGCAATACTAACTCCGAAAAACAGCGCCAAGAGACAAGAACAAAGCACATTTCAGTCATTGACCCCAAGCCCGAATGTAGCAAAAAGAGGCGAATGCACACTTAAGGGGCGGCCCTAGCCCAGCTACCGATGGTCCATAGATATTTCCGGCCGACCTATTAAACTCTCGAGGCCTCAATGCCACTGCTAGTCCTATTAGAGTTGGGACTTTTGCTGTCATCGATCAGTGGTTGCCTCAATTAAATGCGCGGCTGTCGACCGGTAAATGTTGAAGCTAGATTTGACAAGTGGATAGTAGGAAGGTTTCCCACCACAGCGCACCACAATTACTCATGATCTAGTGATTTTTTCGTGTACAGGGCGGGCGAAAGCCGCCTCAGACCAAGATATTACTAGAGAGAATTAAGATGACAGGCTACAATGTAAGGCATTCCGCACAAGTTCGCACCATCGCAAACACGCATTCTATGGCCACCTCGGTCTATTTTAGTGTAGCTCCGCTAATAGTTATGACCCAACTGCAATGTCCGCCTCTTCCTCACAACTTCATTCCCCGTTACGGTATCAGCACTTGGCTTACATACTAGATAATTTTGGTAGGTGTGCCTGGTAACTACTGGGCTTTTATAGCTACGGACTAGAAGCGACAATTAACTCCCGTGTGTGCTCAATACTTCCATGTATTGGTATAGAAGATAGAGCGGTGTATTATAGTTATGTCTCTCATCTTGTTTAATTTGCAGAGGGGAAGCTTACAAGTAGTTATTTAGTTTATAACTCGCTCGTGCAACATAAAGTTTTATATAAAGTCATAGATGTTATCACACTCGACTCTGAGATCTTGAGAGGGCAGCTCAGCGCTCCTATTACAGCCAATTGAGCTCCGTAGATAATGGATCAAAACCAAGACTCCACGAGCGAGGACCGAACCGCGGAGGTGCACAATCACAGATTATCACTCGTTGCGCTAAGCTGGCTGGATGGACTAGAAGCTATGTTTATTCAGGGTTTGCGGTGATGGCCAAAGCTCAGAAGTACAAGAGTTTCTAATGCGGAACTTGTAAGAGTCCGCTCGGACGAATAGAGAATCACGAGCGCTCACTCGACTCTACCGTCTGGGGGGTGAGTGTTGAATTGAATGGTGGGCGCGTCCTAGTGGTGTAGCTATAAGGTAGCAACCAGAGTTATCCTAGGAGCCATCTAGACTGTGGAAGCTTAGGCCTACGTCTAGGTGATGTTTGCTATTCTCGGCGGATGGTTTCATGCCAGCCGAGACACGTAGAGACTGCTACCATCATGATCGGTCGTGAGATGGGAAACACCAACCAACCGACCGACCGGGTGAGAATATGGAGTAGCCTTATCCGGTGAAATTCGATAACGTTGCAAATGGAGCTGAATTAACCCGCCAAGTGCGTACTATAGTATCGTCAGAATAGATGATGGTCAAATCAGCTTGTCTTGTGTACCAGATTCAGCAACGTAAAGGGGGTTGAAGACGTTGGTTTTGAAGTAATCGATGAAGTGGAAGTAGTTGGTACTTTCTATTGATGACGGTAGGAGCGAGGGAAGAAGAGTCTTCTTCCTGGCCGAGGGATACGTACTAGTATTACACTAGTCGTTATCAGAACTACACGCGCTACCCGCTGTTCTGAGAACTGCACTAGTGTCAGACCTGCTCGGTATACTTGGGACCGCCCGCTTGAACTCTGCTACATTCATGTAATTATTCGTTTTGTGTATAGGCATCACCTAAATTATGTACTGTAGATACTATGGTTGCTAGCCCCCCGATTCCAGCGAATCAAACGTCTCCCTTGATAAGAGGATGCTTCAAACAAGAGGCTCATATCACATCACGAGCATCTACTCTAGCATTGTACCTGCACGGCGTCGTGCACCGCATTCCCGCGCCGGGGTTCGTGTCTCCTCGTAGCTGCAAGGTTCAGGGCCTCGCGTGTGGCTGAGCTGGCAGCAACAAGTTACAACCGGGCTAACCCAGTTACAACCGGGCTAACCCAGTGAACCCGCGTTATCTCTCATTGACATCTCCCGGGGCCCGTTCTCACTCACCTCCTTCTCTCCTTCTCCACTCTCCCCTTCCCTTCCCCCCCACCCCCTTTCTCTACCTCTCTCCCCAGATACATAGACAGATACCCAAGAGACCCATTGAATACAATATAGACTGAATACCACCACCATGCACCCCACCACCCTCCTCCTCCCCACCGCGCTCTTCGCCGCCTCGGCCTCGGCCTGGGGCATGCTCGGCCACCGCACCGTCGCCCTCCTCTCGACGCGCTACCTCCTCCCCGACACGGCCATCTTTGTCAAGTCCCTCCTGCCCAAGCCCCAGTCCATGGTCTCGGCCTCCACCTGGCCCGACTACTACGCGCACACGCCCGACGGCCGCTACTCCGCGCCCTGGCACTGGATCGACTCGCACGACAACCCGCCGCACACCTGCGAGGTCAACTACCACCGCGACTGCGGCGGCCAGGAGGGCTGCATCGTCAGCGCCATCGTCAACATGGTCAGTCCCCTCCCCGATCTCAGGGTTAGGGTTATTGTGCTAATGGAGAATTTTGAGTGCAGACGGCAAGAGTCACAAACGAGGAGCTCTCGTTCTACGAGCGCCAGATGGCGCTCAAGTTCATCATCCACTTCCTCGGCGACATCCACCAGCCGCTGCACACGGAGGATCTCCTGCGCGGCGGCAACCAGATCCCCGTGCTGTGGGGCAAGCAGCACACGAACCTGCACCACGTGTGGGACTCGAGCATCGCCGAGAAGCACCAAGGCGGCAGCGCGGTGCGGCACGCCGTCGGCTGGGCCGACACGCTGCACGGCGAGATTGAGGGCGGCAAGTATAGTGGTGTGCGTGGCGAGTGGAGCGCGTGTGTGGATCCGGCGCGCGCGGAGGAGTGTGCGCTGGTCTGGGCGGGGGAGGCGAATAGGTGGATGTGTGAGTATGTGCTCCCGGTGACGTACCCGGGGGGGGATTCGAGGGGGTGGATATCAGTGGGGAGTACTATGAGGGCGCGATAGAGATTGTGGATGTGTTGGTGGCGAAGGCGGGGTGGAGGCTGGCGGGGTATTTGAATATGATTGTGACGGGGAGGGCGGGGCTGGAGGAGGGCGAGAGGGCGGCGACGGTGGAGGCGGCGGAGGGGGAGGACTGGGTGGGTGGGTATGCTGCGAGCGGGCAGGAGCTGAAGAAGAGGGCTATGGGTAAGGCCAGCACGGGATGGTGGGGGAATGTTAGAGCTGGATTGGGCAATCTGATTTAAAGCTACATGTAGTTTGTTACATGTAATTTTTTTGGGGGGGCGCTTTCTTCTCCTTTGGCGGTGGGGTGTCTTTTCGATTCCTGATTTCTGCACCTACTTGTAATTAAACACCCGAATCAGCACTGTTTGCCTGCAGCTGTATGTAACCGTAACTGCTTGATCTCCCAGGTTTGTTGTATATCGAAGTGCCAGTGTCAGTGATAGATGTGTCGGATTCCCGCATGAGCCAGCCAAGCCCCCGCCGTACCTTTTTTCAGTCTTGGCAGCGACGGGCATGAGATGCAAACCTGATCATTGTCACCCGCGCGCACACACGCACGCACACACACACACACAACCACATCCAACACCCGCACAATGCCCAAGCCAAACCTCCTCCTCTCCAGCCTCGCCCCGGCCCTCCGCTGCTGCCACCGCCGCCCCGCCGCTCCTCAATTCCACCACCGCCGCCACCAGCCACAGCACCACCAGCAACTCCGCAGCATTCGCATCACCCGCGAGACCGTCCCCAGCCGCCCCCCGCCCGACTCCCCCCCGCCACAGACACCGGAAGACTCCACCACAAACATCCCCGGCTCCTCACCGCCAAAGAACTCCGTCACCGTCTTCCCCGGCCGCAGCTTCGCCATCCGCCGCGGCAACCACTTCTACGACCCCAACCAAAAGACGCCCGGCCCCTTGCCCCCCGTGCCGTGCCGCAACCCGGCGCACAAGCTCCCCATCATCACGCGCGCCTTCGGCCCCAAGCTCAGCGAGCACCACTTCAGCCGCGAGCCCCCAGAGAGGCTGAGCTATGCGCTGGGCCACAAGATGGACATCCGCGACCTGGACCACCACGTGCTGCGCCACGACGTGGCCTTCAAGCTCGGCGTCGAGTATCTGTCGCCCGCGGTGCACAAGGTGGCGCACAAGCGCGAGCGGCTGCTGGACGGGCTGGTGCATGGTGTGAGGAGGCCGCGGATTATTGTGCCGGCGGTGGTGATCTCGGGCGCGGGCGGGGTGCCGCGGTGGCTGTTTTTTGTGCTGGATAGTATGACGCCGTGGACGTTTTTGTCGAAGCAGGTATGGGAATCTTCCTCTTCTCTTTTTCCTTCATTCTCCTCTTTCGTTCTTCCTCTCTTTCCTTTCTGTGCCCGGTGAGAAGGCGGGAGAGAGAGAGAGAGTACTGATATATAACCCCCCCCCCCCCCTAGGCCATGGAAAAGCTCAACATCCCCATCTGCCTCGACGGCTCCCGCGCCCACGTCACCATCTCCGGCTACGACCAAGTCGTCTACCCCTCGCCGCCCAACTCGGGCTTCGAGGAGCTCAACATCCTCGGCACGGGCTTCATGCGGCAGTACAACGCCTACCAGACGGTCGACTGGCGCACGCGGTCGGCCAAGGTGTTTATCAACCGGGGGGGCATGCCGCACTTCTCCGAGGTGCGCATGACCTCGTGGACGCCGGCGGGGAACATGGATCTGCAGATCAAGATGATGCGCGACGAGGAGCACGAGAGCGAGTCGGAGCGCGAGGTGCGCGAGGCGTGGGAGAGCGACACGACGGAGGGCATGAGCCATGCCGAGAAGTGGAGGAGGAGGTGGGCGGGGAGTGAGTGGGAGTCGGCGGGGCTGTTTATGAGTCAGGATGGGGATGACTGGGAGGCTTAGGGTGGAGTGGATCCCCGGGGGTATGTGGGGGGGGGGGTTAGATGTAAATATGGGTCCCAATGGCTTCTTTTTACTTCTCCCTCTGATTTTGGGGCTTTTGCGGTGCTTGAGAACAAAGTGAAAATATAGGACGAGCCAGTCAATGATTGATGCGCCAGCGAAACGAATCAAGAGCGGCAGGAGCACCCTCAATACCCAACCCACCCACCCAACCAATAAAAAAATCTACTTCTTGACGAAAAGAGGGTTTTTTTTTTGGCACTCTGATTAGAGAGAGTCGGCCTCTCTACCCAGAAAATAAACCACAAGACCCGAGACCAACCGGTATCTGTGGTAGACATCACCCCAGCTAGTAGCCACTAGAGCAAAAAAAAAAAAAAAAATGGAGCAAAGTGACGTCGAGTGATACTCCATGAATGAGGTCTCCCTCGTCTAAAGGCCAAGATTCCCATAGTTACTATCCGGTCGGTACTCTGGACAAATCCTCCCAAGAATATTCAGTGCCATCTAGTACATGCACAGTGCTACTACCCTATGGATACTTGTATGTATCCGGGAAGCCTCGAAGTCTTTAGAATGGCTGTAATATCCAGCACATAGGGGCCTTGCATGAATGGGGTTCGCCAGGGTAGTACTGTTAGTGCCCATACTATGGGCCCCAAATTATTATTTTGTGGCGTCCAAGGGAATGCGCGGTTTAGCCACAAAAGGTAGGTCCGGTACTTGATCGAGTGATATATCATGATCGGGAACCCGGGGGGTCATGTCCCCTACTGATTCTATATATAAGGGTCTAGAATATCCCCCTTTGTCGCTCCGCAATGGGTCATCTTACAAGAAGTAGCTCTATCTCTAGCATTCATGGCTCAGTATACAGTGTCAAGTCTCTACCACTACCGCCTCACCTTGCGCACTCAAGTCAAGTTCCGGATCCCCTATGATTTGAAATGTTCAAATTACGACTCACACGGCAGCGGGAGAGAATGGTTCATAATTAACTATATACGAACAGTACAAGTACACAGAAATAAAAACTACAAGTACATACCGCAAAAAAGAAACCCTAACCCACCAAAGAAAGCCGCAACCGTTCCCGCTTTAAAAAAATCTCAAGCGGGGAGGTAAACCAGCACTTTGGGGCCGCGGCCACCGAATGCTACCCTTATAACGAGAGTATCATTATGCCGTATCGATAAAGAGCCGACTGCACTACATCAGAATCCCAGAGAGGATCTAATGGAGACCTTTAGAATTAATTCTCGATCCCGCCATTTGCCAGGTTTTATACAATAGGAGATAATGCCAAGGGATACATGTATTACTCCAATATCCGAGTGATCATATGTGATCCACAAAGGTAACCTACAACCTTCTCGACCTTTCAACACACACACACACACATCAAAACTTGAAAACCCTTGCATACATAAACCTCCCTCTTTTCCTGCGCTAAGAAGCACACACAGATTCGGGTCTTTCTCTCGCATTCTACAAAATGCCTAAAGTCATAGACGTATGGGGTCATTTCGTGATACTTTTTGTGGTTGCGCTTGCCTCACGATCTGGTCGGAAGCGTAGGAATCTACGTTTTGTGAATAAGCACATGAGGACGTGGTGATAGCCTTTTGTATTGGGGTTGGCTAAACTTCGCATTGGCTACATTTGTATGGTTTTGGGCTTCTTACATCATTTGCACCTGTTACCGTTATGTATTCGGAATTTTACATACACAACAATAACTTAACCAAACCCCTCCGCTAAGTGTACTTAGGCAGGCTGCCATTCAGTGTGGTGGGAACCTGTATACAAGTCGTGTAAGTTATTCAATTTTAATGACAATATTAGGAATGATCGTAGGCATTACCTTTCTTTACCTCTCCAGCCCCTTCAGACTTCAAGTCATACGAGTGAGCACCAAAATAATCCAACTGGGCCTCCATAAACATCGCTGGTAAGTGTTTCCCCGCACAGTACTTGAAATACTCCAAACTAGCACTCATGCACGGGCTACCACTTATCAGCACCAAGCACCCACTTTCAAGGGCAAGGCCACTTACATATGTGCGTCCCATTCAGTGGCTCTCAAGACAACCTTTTTCAACGCCGGCATGGTCCTTTGGATCTCTGACGCAATCTTCTCGGCCAACAGCACATTCATGATCCCTTTGTCTTTTTCAAACACATCCTCGAGAAGATCGGCGATATACTCGCTCTCAATGATACAACCAGCTCTCCAGATCCTAATACACTCCTTCAGCTTCACACCCCAGCCCTCATCCTTGCTCGTCCTCGCGATCAGATTCATCCCCTGGCAATAACTCGCCAGGAACGCACAATACACCGCCTCCCTCAGATCCTCAATAAACTCAGCCCGCTCCTCATTCTTCTCCAAATGCTGCTTCTTTGCCGCAGCTGCACCGCCAATCATGTCGAAGAACTGGAGCCGTTCCCCGCGTGCTGCGGATGCAATCCGGTAGAAGTGAGCGGATGTGATGGTGGGTGCGGAAACGTGGCGAAGTGCAGCCTCTTGCACGCTCCAAACACCGGTGCCTTCGCTGTTGTCGGCATCTTGGACGACCTTGTCTTGAATGTCGTTGAGGAGGTGGCCGGTGCCTGTGGGCTTCTTACGGGCGCAGATCTCAGCGCCGATTCGGACGAGGAAGGTGTTTTTCTATCACTCGTTAGTATGCCCTTGAAAATTAATTATAGATGGTAATAGCCCCAGGATCATACCAGCTCACCCGCCTCATTCCATCCCTCAAATATCTTTGCGAGCTCGTCCAGGTTCGTAGATAAACATTTGAACAGTAACTCCCATGCCTCATTCAGTACGCCTAGCATCCCTTGCTCAATGCCATTATGAACCATCTTGACGTAATGCCCACTTCCTCCAGGGCCGATCCTCGTAACACATGGCTTGCCCTTCCACTGTGCTGCAACCTTCTCTAGTACCGGCATGACCTTCTCCAGTACATCCTCTTCACCACCTGGGCTGATACTTGGTCCACGTCTCGCAGACTGGTAGCCCCCAGACACGCCCATGCCGATATAACCCACCCCTTTCTCCTTCATCTCTCTCTGACGGCGTTCAGAGTTGAGATACCACTCGTTACCGCCATCAAGTATGATATCTCCCTTTTTCAGGTATGGCGAGAGGGACTTGAGGACCTCGTCGGCCGGGGAGCCGTGAGTGATGCTGAAAAGGAACAGCTTGGGTTCGTTGTTGCTACCAAGGGAGGACACGAATTTGTCGTAGTCTTTGTAGCCGGAAATATTTTGACTGTTCTTCTGTTTTTTGAGATGTGGGAGAGTTTCGTCAATGTTGGAGGAGTTGACGTCGAAGATTGAAACCTGAAAGTCATGGTCGGCAAAGAGGAGCGCCATGTTACTACCCATGGAGCCGGCGCCGACTATGCCGATCTATATGAAGTCAGATCAATGGTTATTATTTTTATTTTGCCGTATCAGCCTGTTGGACCGATTGACTGGGCAGAAATTTGAGTAATTTAGACAGCTAGAAATCCACAATTTATGAATTCAATGAGACATATAACTAGTCTCTGTCCAACATACTCAAACTTCTGACCAGTCCACGCAGCCAAGAGCCCTTAATTAATCTGTTAGTCTCATTCCGAGAGAATACCTTGGAAAATGTAGTTTTAGACATTTCTGCGTCGAATTGCGGTGCTGGAATTCGATATGCTATGTGAGAAGGCATGGCCCAGAAACCCACATTATTATATATATCCTCCTACCACCACCATTACTTCTCAGTATTTAATTCAATCAACGTCATCCAATATACTGCTGTGACGTAGGATGTCCATGGTCTTTCCAGAACCGTTTCCGCATCTTTTCCGAGGGTTAGGGTTAGGTGTGAGTGTCCTTATCGATAAGCAACGCCCCGCTAATGCGAAAGGGACAGTTAACGGCTACTAGTTGGTGACATCACCAGTACTGCCGCGTCTTCCAGAACAAAGCTTGAGTCAACGTTCATAAAGCCTACGATATTCCTCTCCCCTGGTCCCCCTGGTAGATAGATTATTTCAGCAATGCAGAGGATATCACGTCTGCTGACTAGAGTAAAAACTACGAGAAATATGGCTTCAAGTACTTCTTTGAGTGAAAAAGTAAGTCTTTGAACCCCTATTTGTGTGAATTATTTATCTCTTTAAGATATTTGATATGGTAATGATAACGAGGCTGGCAGCGTGTAAACGTATTCGGGAGACCCTTACTGATCCATTCGGAGGATCCGATGACGGGATTCTTTCGGAATGGATACTGTGATGTATGCAATTCTCCTTTCTTCCGGCGCAACTCGCAGCCTGGCGCGCGCCGATAGGTAACCAATTGGATTTGTGCAGACCAACGCAAGGTTCGATCCCAACTAGGTAGAGCCTTTTCCCACGGAGTAGGTACAGGGTCCACTGGTCTCAGGGGTCTCGTGGGATTCCAATGCAGACAGGCGCGAAAACTGCAGGTACAGTACAGATCATTTGCAACCATTGGAGTTATCTCTATGCAGGCCTGCAGCGTGCATTCACTGATACGTAGTCTAGCTACTTAGTCAGATCTCTTTGCCCTGTCGACCCTGTGCATGCTCCGCAGGAGAAGGCTATAAATCCCCTAGGCGTCCCAGAAATCTAAGCAACCAGTTACTGACAATACACCCCACAACAGTGACTCTGGAAAGTGAGTACATCCTCGACCGAGGCCTTGACACTATGCTATAAGATAAACACAGCGTCCCCTCTGCCGAAAACCCTGAGTGCGTCCTGCTCATGCATTCTACAAAACAGCTAACTAGCAGCCTAACTCCTCAAGCCACACTATCGCCAGCGTCGTCTCAGACAAGTTCCTCGACTATTCCGCCGCAAAGGGTAATAACCTCCGCCCGGTTGGGCTAAGGGATGGGTGCAAGTGGTGCCTATGTGTGAATAGATGGAAGGAGGCATTCGATGCTTACAGGAGGTAATTAGAAGGCCTCCACCCCCTTCTCCAAGATAGGCATTGCTAAAGTAGATAAATGTAGGGGCGAGGTTTCTATGGACACAGTCCCGAGGGTTGTACTAGGCTCCACGCATATCAGGGCGCTCGAAGGAGGTATTAGAATGGACCAACTCGAGGAGTTCAAATTCGAGGAGAAAAAGTAGGGTTATGGACGTTGAAACAAGCCTTTTTTCCCGCAAAGGCTAGGTTTTGAAGGTTGAAACGATTTTCACATGTAGGTACCTAGAATCACGGGTACCTGAGATAGCTCGGCCTTAGTCGTTGATTGTGGGGTACATGACCTATGCCGCCAGTTATCGGGTTCCCGAGATTTTCATTGTTCCTGCAAGGCTCTGTTTAGGCTCCGACAGCTCTGAGTTCTTGTGTAACAAGGATGATTCCACTTTTTCATTGGTTGATTCAGAGAGGACTTATTGCAGCTGGAGAACACTTCAACCGACTTTGTTGGACAGAAAGTTCGCAGTTTTGACAGGCGACCTTGACAACCAACAAGTCATAAATGAGATGTACTACTCTACATGGTGTAGATGCATAATTATCTAGATAAAGGTCTGTCAAGTGTCCGCCCTTGAATAGTGCACTTTTGCACAGCCAGCTTTCGGGCTCTTGCGACAAACAAAGAAATGATATAACGATATGTATGTATCCCTGATTTGTTCGATGCTTTGTTGTTCTATGTACCTTACCTAACTTAGCAGGAAAAACAACTATTTAATTTTACGTGAAAGACTTTCAAAGTGATCATGAGATCGACCATTAACGTAACGGGCACTCAACAGAACCTCGATCTTGCATTGAACAGCATGAAAATTCTGAATGAATAGAATTCAATATCGCGACCTGGATTGATTGATCAAGGCTTCAATCGAGAGGATCATGTTATTAAGAGCAAGACTCAGTCCTGTCAGTAACCTTTACAGCAGCTCAAGTTTGCCGTACTGTAAAGAACTGCCGCTCCACCATTAATCTCGTACACGCGTCACACATACATCCCATAATGTTGGAGATAATATTCCACCCAAGCAATTTGATATTTTCCTTCCAGGTGTTTATGTGAGATCTCGAGAAAATAACAACCATATCAATGAGAAACGCGGCTGGACTACTAGATGTTTTAAAGAACAAGTCTAATAACCCGGATCCATACTGTGACCAAATATCATATTATCCACTCGAAAAATAAGCTCCAGCCCGCTCGTTGACCGATAAGGCTCGCTCTGAATAAGCTAAGCCAGCTTGAGTTTCAGATGGAGTATAAGATCGAGACTATCCCCGCGCACAAGAACCTATTCAGAGCGAAAGTGGACCACAACCCGATCAAAATGCCTAAAGCTAGTTCTACCTCCAGCAGAACTTCTCTTGAATCTTCTCCTCATCCTATAACCGCTACACGTCGTCCTACTCCGGGGTCGCCCCGAGCTTCCTCAACTACTGAAGCTGCCCCAGCATACGACTCCGTTATAAACCCACAAACCGTTGCCCCTGGCCCCCTGGGGCAGACGATGATGTTTCGCCGCCTCCGGCTTGGTATGGCTCGGATGAAAAATACACCATTGCACCGTTCTTCTTAGCAATATTTCAAGAAAACCAACATAGACTTGAAGGGCTCATGGCCAGCGACTCTAAAATTGTAAACACACGGGATGACGGTGACAGAACGCCACTCTATTGTGCTGTTGTCGCATACAAAAGCAACATAAATATAGTCAGATGTCTTTTGGAAGGTGGAGCGAATGTAAATGACTGGAGCCGCGAATTACTCCCACCACAGAAAAAGAGAAAAGGCTGGCCGCCACGGCCACCGCCCCACCCAGCGAGCCCCAATAACAAAGGTTGGCATAAGACACAGCGTACACCACTCATGGCCGCATGCCAGCGCAATCATCTTCCCATCGCACGGCTCTTATTGGAACCTCCTTACAACGCAGACCCCGGATTGGTCGCCGAGGATGGTCAGCATGCACTGCGCCTGGCATCAACCTCTGGTAGTCGGGAGATTGTCAAGTTATTGCCCTCGCTCCGCGCAGGTGGCTGGAAGCGCCTGAAGTACCGCAGCAAGCCGCACATAGCCAAGATCAAGAAGACAGCACAGGTCGTTTACGAAACTTGCAAATTTATTGTTTTCGACGTACCCAAGTTTGTCGTATGTAAACTTCCATATGCGGTCTACGTTGTGGGCAAATATTTCGCACGCCTTCTCTGGAGCTGTGCAAAAGAAATCGGAAGCTGGGCCGTCAAACTGCCTGTTAGGATCTACAAGCTCTTGATCAGTATCCCAGGAGTCATCTGGAGGGGTGTTAAGGCGGCCCCAGGGGTTTTGAAGACGTTCTTCATGTCTACACTACCAAGGATCATCAAAGCGCTATTTGAGGTATCGCGTGATATTGTAGTGGCTATTGGGAAGTGCTCGTGGTTTTTCACAAAGTGGCTACTCAAAACGATCTTCATTCGAATCCCGGAGTTGATATTTGAGGGATTTGTAGCAATTTTCAACCAAATCAAAAACCTCGGAAAATGGCTCCTGGATCTACTTGCCTCCTTTGCAAGTCTACTGCACACATTCTTTGAGTGGATTGTGCGCAATTGTACGTGGCAGAACGTCATGGAAGGACTGAAGTTAACGCTGAAGTTCTTCTTTGTCGATATACCAGTTGGGCTATGGAATGCCATGCGGATGGTTTATTCCGGGCTCGAACATTTGCTCGAGGGTATATTTGGATGTTTCTCGTGCTTATTCCTAGCGATCATCAAGATGATTCTGTGGTTCCCTAAAAAGCTTAAGAATATAGTAGTATCTTTTGGAAAGATATTTGCTGGTGCGTGGAAGGAGTTTAGGGTCTTGATTGATCCGAAGGCCAATGTTTGATTTGGATGTTTGGGACTATATATCAAGTCTAGGCTTCGAGAGCCTAGGTATCGATCGTGTATTTCATTCCGTTTTATCTGAGGAGCCTAATTTCTCTTTTATTGGGTTTTGGGCAGCCAGCTTACTGCCACCCTCCTTTGTTTTTGTTCCAGCCTTCGAGATTTGATACTTTAGCACCCTTTACCAGGGATTTCATTAATGAGACTTATTAAAAATATTTGTTGGAAGGATTTACTGACTGTACTCTTATATAAGGTTTTTCCCTTTAAATTAAGGCTCTATTTTAGTCTAATCTCTCCTTCATGAAAACTCACTCGAGCCCACTAGCAACCAAGACACGCGTAGTGCACTAGTTTAATTCTTATCGATAAGAAAGTTTAGTGTAAGATTTCGATTTATCAAGTATGTAGGAAACGCAGACTCCGTACACCTGAGAACTACGTATGACACCCGGGGTTACCCCCCGAATGCCTCCGCAGAGGCACAATTATTGAGGTGCAGCTGTCAGAGGCTAACGAATGAACGCACAAATCACATTTGGAGAATAGAGATGTCAATATATGTATTTATGTCGAACCAAATGTTTAAACTCTTGCAAATTGCAAAAAAGAAATGCCAAAATGCCTCACCAGATAAGCTTGGCCCAATTATAGCCGTATTTTGTTTTGCGCACGCGCGTTTTGAGCTTCGAATTCGGTCTCAAGTCCGATAGGTAAAAAGCTCATTGGAATATATATCACAAGGCAATAAATTCAAAGTGCCGCCATAACTCGAAAAATTGGCTAGATCAGAATTACTTGTATGGGAAACTTCTGATGCAGATCGATGCCATTCAACCAATTATTCAAGCGGTAATCCCTGGACGGAGATAGCCAATTTTTCGAGCTTTGGCGGTGGATCCACATTGGAATATGCCCAGAGTCGAGTGAAACTTTCACTGAATTCGCGGGGTGCACAAACACACCACTAGCGCACACCACTGCACACCACTAGTGGTACCTACCAGCACAATAGCACATGTAGTACTTCCAGCACTGCCTCCTGTTCATCTGCACATCCCATTGGTAGTCGGCTGCCCATTAACGTCACGCACGGTACTTTAATGGATTATTAAAATAGTTTGCACTATTAAGCCCTATATAAGTTCATGTATAACTCCATGTAGCAACTCGCGGTTGCGTTGTCCCATGATTTTTGAACGAGAACTATACAATATACATAATATAATATTTATGGCTGAAGCTCAAACATTCGACGGGGTTTTGTTGTACCCAGAAATCAATGAAACTATGATTTAAAAAAGCTCAAACATTCGTTCAACCCAGCCTCACTTGGCCTATAGACCCGTAGTGATGGGCACGAGCCCGCTTTAGGTTCGAGCCCAGTTCAACGCTATCGTGACCGGCATAAATCGATAGAGTACTCAAGTATTATCTGCATGTACCCTGCAATGACTATCAGAGAAATTTAAACTGACAATATTCGAATTTCGGCACCTTGTATAAGTTTGAGTTTCCAATTGGCTTGATCCTGCGCTCAAGCCTACTCTTCAGGTTCCAACGTCATTTCGAGCTCTTCCTCTTCGAGCTGCCGAATCTTTCCCGTTGGTGCTAGAGCCGGAGTCGAAAGGCAGAATTGCGGAAAAGCCGTTGATCTACGTGTCACTCGGGGCAATTACCAGTTTTTGAGTGTAGCAGATCAAGGCTGAGTATAAACTAATTAGATGTTCTTTTTCGCTGGTCCATATATGTATTCTAGATCTTAACCTGCAGCGGAATTAATTAATTAAGGATACCTGTTATATTTCTAATACAAACATATTACTTGCATCCAAGACCTTGATATGTGTAGATAAGAACTCATCTAAACATCTGTAAACAGAAATATATTAATTAAGTGCATGGTAACTCCTGAGGTAACTACATGTAATTTTGTAGTCAAATATTAACCTATATACATATGGTCGTTCCTCAAAATACGCTTCTCGTGACAAGTTTATGGCACAAGGCTGGGCTCAAAAAAGCACATTAGAACAATATGACATGTCGCATTATGCATGAGTCTAAGGCCTCCGTGTTCAGCCCCGATTAGAACTAGCTTGACTATTACCCGTCTCGATGTTCCAGTAGACGAGGCTGGGTGAGTTCGCATCCAGATCATTGCCAGTAGCGTGTGCAGCGCTGTTGTTCCATAAACTGGTCATTCGTGCGAACCCTTAATTCGCCCAATGGACATATCTACTTGCTATCCTCCTCTGCGTCCGTTGCGTGACCCTCCCGGCTGGCACGTCTCTGAGCTCCGGAGCCTTAATTCAACATTGCACCGCCTTGCGCTGCATACCTCGACTAAGATCATTTACTCTAGCCCTGTTAACTAGAGTAGGCTGAAGCTACAAGCTACACGCTTTTATATATATATCTATATATCCCTTGTCAGCTTGTAGTAGACCTTTACTTTGTTTGCCAACCCACTAGCTACCGCCGTCGTCGACAATGAATTCGAAGCCAACAGACGTTGTCTACACGGACTCGAAAGTCTCGATCACCATCATTACAAGCTGCCCAGCTAGTAATGGACTATCTCCATCCGATAATAGTTCTCGTTGTAGCTTTCTGGCCGCCCGCATTATACAACTAGTGTTGTTTTTGACGATTGCTGTGATCGATGTCTATGTCCTGACCCGTGTCTTCAACAGGTACTTCCTTGTGGACCCGTACCCCTCCATATCCTACGATATGGTGCTAATTAGATGTCTTCATGAATAGTTCCATGGGTGTTATACCAGCCCTGAAGGGAACGCTTTTCCTCACTCTCATAATAATCGCATTGACTCTCCCACATACAATCACCGATGTGTACCGTCGATACTACAAGAAGCCCAGTCTCTATTCTCCCGGCGCCGCGATCCTGCTCGAGATCCACTTCTTCTTGTCGTACATCATCCTGTTGATATGCGTGGGCATGGTGCACATCAAGGCGATTGGTGATCTGTGCGAGCCGGAGAGCGGGATGATTGTAGATCGACCGGATGAGATCTGTGGACTGTTGAAGGCCGAGTTGATGATTTTGAGCTTGACTACGTATGTGATTTCTCTAGATTTGCTGTATGCTGTTAGATATACTAAGTTCTCTTGGTATAGATTCTTTTGGGTGCCAACTATGAAGATGGTTTATGAGGGTGTGAGCGGTAATGGATGTCCGAGGCGCAGTGTACAGGTTAATGGTACAATCGTTTAATCCTAAGGGACTAGGCCAGAGTGGGAGAAGGTGGATGAAAACTGCTATAACTGCGGGTGTCGCTGCTAAGCCTTTAGAATGAATTTAATATGTTTATGCAGCTTTTCTGTTTAATTACGTAGATCTATAGAATTCCTGTAGTTATAGATATCAAAATTAGAGAAATAATGTGCTTCTAATTTCTCGCCCTAGTATGTGTACGTAGCATAGAATCTAAAAACTATGGCCAGGGATGGTCTCACATATTACGACGTCGTTTCCAATATGCTCGGTAAATCGTCATAGTACATGTAGTTAATCCCGAACCATGGCTCTGGAGAACAGAAGAAGGCATCCAAAACATATTCCTACGTATACATTCAACAGATGTACATAGCTCCCTAGAAACCTAAGCACGCTAACCCACAATTATACCAATCCCTCGAGTGAGATTATATGAAGGCACCGCACACAAGACCACGACCCGGTCTCGCACCCACATTCCTAGAACAAAAATGCTTTTATATTTGCACTTTTATATTTTGGTGAATCCTAGCGGTATTAGGATGACTTTGTTGATACTCTTATCCTTTAGAGACAAGTAGATATGTAGTTACCAAATGCTGATAGTTGATTTCTTACATGTATGGTCAAATATACCCGGTGTCCTTAGTTCAGAACGGGGAGGTAAATTTTTTCAAGTTTCCCTTTAGCCCCATTTCTTGGCCTAAAGGCCAAACCTACAGGGCAAATTATATGATTGTTTTCATAAAGTGAGTCCGTTACAAATCTATAAACATGGATACCACTATAAACCATAACATATAGTTCTAGGAAAGTTTATTGTCTATGTGCTCTATATACATGTATTTAACCATCATAACACCGTAATTTAACGTCATTAATTCAATAGCCCAGAAAAGGAGAAAAGCCTAAGTCCTCGGCGTCGACTCACACGACTCCGCATCTCCGAGAGCTTTATATTTGCAACATCTGCAATGGCCATTTTTGTTCCTGTCCTTACTGACCTGCGCCCCCGCAGCCAATATAGTTGATATTGTGACCAATACCCTAAATATTCCACATCTCAGTCAGCCTCTTACTCAAGCCCGCTTGACTAGTAGTATAAGGGGAAACAAACGCTTCGACGACAACTAATGAAAATCCCCATTTCAATATATCACACCTAGTTTCCGTAACAAGATACTGGTCCCACCCACTCGTATCTGTCCCGGCTGGCTTGATATAAGGTGTCTTCGCCAAACTGGCACAGCGATACTGTATTGCCCCTCCCGCTAATATTAAGAATATCACTATTATGGCGGACCACATAATGAAGAACAGCAGGTCGACAGTAATGCCTGTGAGTGGGTGAAAGGGCCTTCGCCGGCAGTGATTGTAGAAGTGAAAGAGATTATAGATGGCCATGAGGCATCCGACAAGGATTGTGAGTATGATATACCTATATTGTATAAGCTTACAATTATCAATAGTATTGAGAGATGATGGGGACTAACGGCCAAGACTCATTGTTAACCATCAACACACTTACGGCTATTACCGCTAAGCTGACGATTAACTGAAGGGTGCGAACTATTGTGAATAGCTTTGAGGGCCACATGTCTAGGCTTGGTCTTTCGTCTCCCATTTTTATGTTATTCGAAGCGAGCTACCTATCAAACTTAAAATTGAGCTTGAGGTTGCAAAGTATTCTAGGGCAGAAGAAGCTGTAGACGACCTTTTTTAAATCAATTTTACCAACTAATCAACCAAGTAAGCAGGCAGCTTAGTAATATTTATCCTCACCTATTCTTACAGCGGGCTACGTGAACGAGTAATTCTCAAAACCCCAATAGTCATAAAGCTGGAACACCAAGGTTTTAGTTAGTGTGGAAGGTCATAGCTATACGAGGCTTTGCATAATAGGGCCGAAATCCCTATAAGAAACTCACCTACCCCAATCCTCCCATCAGTTCCAGCCGCGTTTTTTTTTTCTTTCTTTCTTTCTTTCACTTTGAAGATGTACACGTCCATGTGTGACTTTACTTAAGTGCACGCGTAGGCTCGGGCCTAAAGCTGCTGTCTACGAAAATCCATGAGGCGTAATTTCCCCTTCAAATCAGGTTTAGTAAGGTTGTTTAGCACGCATTTTACATACTAAAATTGTAAGCGATAGGTTGTCTCAAATCCTTGAAAACCGCCAATCGCTGTCCGTCCGGTGAGGGCGTTGAGTCGAGCTATTCCTCCCTACGAGTTTTTAAAGGCTAACCAGCGGATAAGAGCCGTGATCCAGAGCAAATCAAATTCAACGACCGATTTCCCTTTCAACCTTTCGATTTCCTCCAGCCGTATGTACCTAAGTGTAGAAATGCAAATGCACTTCTTCCCAGTCCCACCATGCGCAAGAATATGAAGGTCGGGGTTTCCCCGGTAAAATACGGCACAGGACCTAGGACTAGGTTGTGCTCCATTTAGATAGCATAGCCCTGAGCGGTCGCAGATCCTGGGTAGCAGGGCCGGGAAATAAAGAAAGGATCGATCGCTAGAAATATACCATGAGATCCCGAGTCCCGAGCCCTCAAATCCCCGAATCCGAGAACCCCTGTAACGGCCTCAAAAGCCGGGGTTGAAACCGATTAAAAACCCAAAACCCAAAATTCTATTACAAGCTCCTGTCAACCCGGATAAGCTTTATGCGAATGTATATTTACATATTATACTATATTTGCTAACCTCGTACCTAGCCTATGTGAACGATTTTCTACACATGGGAACGACACTGTATCTACAGATATACCATTACCGTTAGTATTTCATCACATAACCACTGGGGGGATAATATACGTGCACTGACGTCATTTGGAATCAATTTGGTTTATCTGCAACAACGGATTATGGGAGATCGAACCAGTGTGTGATTCAGAGGTCACCGTGTCGAGGGATCAACGACTAGGACGCTGGAAATCGTGGGGGGACTGGTGTACACTGTGTAGTTGATGTTAAATGGTTAACAGAGGTGGAATCGACTGCTCGGGATGCATCGACGGTTGTCATGATGGACATTGACTTGCGATGGTAGAACTGACTGTCTTAGGTGTCCACTTCAAACTTTATTTCCGCTTGTAGCCTAGCCCCACGGAGTATACGCCAGCCCCACCGCTCGCTGTGGTCTAGCGGGTAGATACAGTACTAAACGCACATACTACATGTAGTACATGTGCGTATATATACTTATAAAAATCAAAAAAAAGATTGAGGCTTTGATCTTTCCCCTAGAGCATTCACCCCCGTGTAAGGGCGACTACATGTTGATGAGTTTCACTCGTGTCCCCATAAAGATCTCATGAGCTTTGTTTCATCTTCCTTCTCCCTAGATGCCGTTCTAGCCGCGAACTACGAGATGCAGCTAAGTACGAGTGATACCCCGTGATGTGATCTATAGGGTTAGGGTTGCGACATACCGTTCGCGAACACTCACTGTCACTATGGAATACTCTTAAGAGCACTTACGCACAACAAAACATATGTTCGCAATCAATGATAAATACGCCTGGATACTTGTTGTCTATAGAGAGTTGCAGAAATATTCCCTCCAATCAGAATGCTTCCTAGAATGAGTATTTCCAGTACAAGAGATCTTCGACTAGCCACAGTAGGCAACATCAAATAATTGTCATCCAGTGATCTGCAGAGCATCTAGTTAGTCAAATAGTCGGTATTTCATAACACAGGACGACCTGTATTGTGGAGGTGTAATTAAGTGTGCATGGCGCCCCAAACGCCTTTGTCACAGCTTATTCTCGATTACGCTATGCACAGTCAACCCTGCACATGCGGCTCCTACGAATCACCACCATGATCATCAATCATCACAAATTCTTACGAGGGCATCAATAATGAACACCTTACACTTCCATCGAATTCGCCACATATCACCACCGCCATAAGAACAGCTGCCAGGACCGACGACCAACTCAATTCTTTTCAAAATGCGAACTTTCGAAAGTATAGTTGTCTGTCTCTTCGCGCTCTACCTCACCTATTACTGCCGTCGCCACTACTCGTCCACCTCCGAAGAGATCCTTGAAGCTGTAACACCCATTTTCGAGAATATCCAGAAATCAGATATCATGGCCTCAATTAAGGAAGTACTCCTCCCTGCGACCGCTACAGGAACGCCGACAGCAAGCACTCTCTTCGAAGCAGCCACTGTGGTCCCAGATACACCGTCAACACTCACCACCCCCCGCCGGGTCGCAAAGGCCTTTGAGGCAATTGAGCAATCTGAAGGTGCTGGGGCGCGTGTCCGCCGTTCTGTTGGTACCGCGCAGCTCAGGAACTTCAGCCCGTTCCTTATGTTAGATCACTTCACAATTGGCCCTGGCGCTGGCTTCCCCGACCACCCGCACCGTGGCCAGGAAACGATAACCTACCTCCTCTCTGGCTCCGTCGACCACGAAGACTTCGCTGGAAACAAGGGTACTATCGGCCCCGGTGATCTTCAATTCATGACAGCCGGTAAAGGCATTATGCACGCAGAGATGCCCGGACTTGCATCCACCACCCCTAACGTCGGCCTCCAGCTCTGGGTAGATCTTCCTACGGCTCTCAAGTTTTGTGAACCTAGATATCGCGATCTGAGAGGCGATGAGATCCCCGTCGTGGAGGCAGACGACGGGAAGGTGAGCATCAAGATTATTTCCGGGGAGTCTCAGGGCGTAGAGGGCGTTAGGGAGCTTGCGTATACACCTGTTTGGATCTTTGACGTCACGGTCAAGGCTGGGGGGACCTTGAAGCAGATCCTGCCAAAAGCGTGGAATGCATTCCTCTATATCCTGGAAGGCAGCATCATTGTCGAAGGAAAGGATGTCCCGACATTCCATAATGTGGTTTTTGAGAAAGAGGGCGACGGTGTTGTCGTTGAAGGAAAGACAGATGCAAGATTTGGTATGTTGCTTTTAAACTCCCACTGAAAGGTTTCATATACTAACCATAGATATAGTTATTATCGCAGGACAACCTCTAGACCAGCCTGTGGTTCAGCACGGCCCATTTGTGCTGAATACCAAGGAACAGGTGTATGAAGCCATGAGGGACTACCACGGTTACCAGAATGGCTTCGAGAGAGCAGAGGGTTGGAGGTCTGAAATCGGGAAACGGATGGATTAAACTTAGTATTTATTATCTTTTTTTTTTTTTGTAACTTAATAGCCGGCGCTATGGGATTGATATTATTATTAGCATTATAAACTATTTGTATTCCATTTTGTGCTAAGAAGATTGTTGTGCTGGCATATGTTAAAACCGTATGCACATTTTTTCCCAGACGAGGTCAAATCTCTCCGGCAATTGTATGTGCATGTTCAGGGTACTCCACAACAGATCACTCGAAGGTACAGTTGACTGCGATTATATGTAACGTAGCTACATCGTTATTCTTATGCCTTCTATTTGTCGAGTGTCTACATGTATTCACTATGGAACTAGTCAACCCACTAGTCTAGTAAGCACTGAAAGAGGGTTGATATAGAAAAAAGACGCTAGTAACACCACAGCAACATGGCGCAGCGGAAGCGCGCCGGGCTCATAACCCGGAGGTCCCCCGATCGAAACGGGGTGTTGCTAGTTCAAATCCCCTCTCGGGCATATTTTTTTCTTTTTTCTTTTCTTCTTTACCTGAGATCCCACACCGTAAATCAAACTTTGGATTATCCGTTATTTTAATAGCGCTTGAGAAAAAAATTCAATATTGTAACGGGGTAGATGCTAGATGTGATTGTTATCGTTAAATGGACTACATGACGCATCACAACCTATCACTCGCTACACTGCATTTCGTGCCGTCAATAAACATCGCATAATCTAGTATAAAAAAAAACTTAAGATGGTTAAAATTAAAGAATAAAGAGGAATCACAAGCAGAAGTAGAATTTGAACAAAAAACCATCTTGTCAGAAAAGAATGTCCATCACATCCGCCCAAAGAACAAATTTCTCAAGCCCCTTCAATTTTAGTAAGAGGCTTCGAGATACAAGACCCTTTCTTTTTTTACACACAATCTCGCGCGTAACACACATACACAATTGGTAAACATCATTAGCAGCAAAACTTGAAATAACAGAAAAAGAAAGGAAAAGAAGGAAAAAAACACCCCCACCGCTTCCCCGCAATGCAATAGAGACAGACAGAACAAGAATCGGAAAACACGTATCATACGGCATTAAAACCTTCTCCAGGTCGCATCGGTTGCGCTCATCTCCTTGCCTGTTGTCGGGCCAATGCGCTCCTCGTGCCTGCTGCTGCACCCGTAGGGGCCCTGACGGCTCCTGCTCCAAGTGTGGGCTTCTTTAAACCTGAAGTTGCACCCCCACCAAGCGGAACATTCGCCGCACCAGTAAGACCACCGAGGACTTTCTTCTCAGCTTGTTGTCTTGGGATCGGTGCCTTCCTCATTGAGATCCCCGAGTTCGCAGACTCATCTCTAGGCCGTTTCTTTCCCGCATTTTGTGGTGGAGCAGTTTGAATATTTCCAATTTTTGATGTCGATGTCGATTGTCCAGCCCCTCTTCCACGCTCCATTCTACTTGCTGGCCTGTCGATCGCCATTCGACTACTAGGTCTATCCATTCGACTACTAGGTCTATCCATTCGACTACTAGGTCTGTCCATCGTCCTACTTTCAGATGTCGCTCGATCCATTCTACTCACTGGCTTTGCTATGGTCCTGCCCTCCGAAGGTGCCCGATCCATTCTGCTCGCCGGTCTTGTACTTGCGCCGTATCTGCTGTTTTCCAGAGGAAGCTCATCTGGTACTGGAGCTGCTTTTGGATTGTTTTCGACGGGACTTTTCGGTAGCGGCACTGTTGCTGCAACTTCAGTTGTTTCTTTTCCTGCGGCATGCGCAAATTTACAGCAGGCGCCAAACTTCCGTTCCATCTCGAGGAAGCACCACGTCTCCTCTGCTGCTATACGTGCACGGCGTTCTCCATTCAACGCTGCAATGGCACTTTGAAGGCTAACTGTTGCATTCTCAAGTTCCTCCTCCAGTTGGGCAACACGAGCTTGTAGAATGCTAATTGGATTGTTGTCTGGAAGGCTACTTTGAATGGGGGGGATCTTTTCTGTTTTTGCATCGAGGAGTGTTCGCGCTGGTGGGGCAGAGCTAGATCGATATTTTCGGCCACGAGGAGGGGGTGGGGCGATAGTCACTTCCGGCTGGGAAACCTCTTCAGCAATTGTCTCTGGGTGTTCAGTGCCAGTCTCGATAATTTTTGCCGAATTTTTAGCTGGGCTTTTAGCTGGACTCTTTGCAGAATTCTTGGCGGGACTTTTTGCTGGGCTCTTAGATTTTCTGGTAGTTGTAGGGGCCGGTTCAGTGGCGTCCTCCGTTTTCTCGTCTACAACAGGTGGAAGGTATCCTTTCAAAGCCTCTAAATCCACGGAACTAAACTGCCTAAACTCTTGAGTCTCTCTTCTTCTTCTCTCCTCCTTTCTCTCCTCCGCGGTCAATCTTATGGGTGTAATGCTTTCGAAAAGGCCAAGAAACGCCTTTACAGGCGATTTCGAGCCGGTGCGAGAACTTACTCGAGTCTTCCTAGCCGTCTTAGGCGTTTCTTTTGCTGGTGATCGGCGGCGCTTCTTGACTGTGATTGGAGTATCTTCGGCCTGTGGATTAAACTTTATCTTTTTTTCGGGCGACAAGTCGAAAAAATCGTCGAAGTTGACCTGCGGCTGTCCAGGGGTCTGGGCAGATAGCATACCCTCCAAATGCCGAATCTTGGCTTCCTTCTCCCGTAATTGAGTGCTTAACTGGCCTTCAACACTCAATCCATATGCTTCTATACCGGCAGGCGACCCTTGAATAGTGTTTAGTCTATGAGGAGTTGCAGACGAGAGAGAGAAGTTGTTTATATTATCTTCTGAAAATGCCGAGGGTAGAATATCGGGATTCATGAATGTTGAAGGGCCCAGCGACGCGCTAGGCGTCCCAAAAAAGTTCTTGCTATTCGCCAAGAGTCTCCTAGCAGGCGTTGTATGTGATTTTGCTGAGTAATGCAAGCCCGGGAATTGGCGCTGAAGAGGAGTGCTCATATTGAGAGGATTGCTGCTTGGGTTCAAGCCTACCGCGGCAGTTTTATCGAGATCTGCATATTCGGCCTGCTCAAAGTCATCTTCTGACGAATCCACCTCCTCCTCACTCACTTCCTTGCCCACCGCCTCCTTGTCCACTGCCTCCTTGCCCACTGCCTCCTCGTCCACTATCTCCTCGTCCACTGCATCCTCATTCACTACCTCCTCGTCAACCTCCTCATCCGAGCCTGAATCTGGGCCCGACGATCGAGATTCTTGACGGATAGATGAGTTAAGGTTCTTACTCCGTCGAGCAGCGCTGGATTGCCCGGGATGGTACTTCCCACCTCTTTGTTGAGGCCTTCCCCTTGGTGTTTCTAGTTCCTGGGGGCCAAGCATATTTAGTGGAGTGGGTGTATCCATATTTGAATATGCACCTTCAAGTTGCGTGCGCGTTGTTTTTGGTGTAGATTCGTCATTATCTGATCCGTGAACGTTGCGGTTGCGAGTACGGGGTGAGGGAGCAAGCACCGAAGACTGAGGTGTGTTGAAATAGGCAGTGTCATCTCCGGCTGGTAGCGGGACAGAAGCTGCGTCTGAAGGTGAGGTCATGGCTGGTGGTTTGTAACAGGTTGGTGGAGGGGAGGTGGAGGTGGAGGTGGACGTCGATGAAAGATGGATGGATGTGTTGAAAGAGGAATGCACGATATCTCGCGTATGCAAGGAGGAAGTATAGACACTTTGTCTAAGCTGAAGCAGATGGTGTATATAGAGGGGATGGTTTGTTATTGATGGCGGGGGAGGGGAGGGGAGGGGAGGGGAGGGGAGGGGAGGGCAGGAGGGAGTGAGGAAGAGGACTATGCAAAGTTAAACAAGGGGCAAGTGTATTAACAAAGAAAATTATTGTTTTTGATGGTGTTTTGCCAGCTTTGTGCGGTGTCGCTATGGCAACGGTAGGGCAACGCAGGGATAAACAAAAGATATACCTGTTCAACAAATCTTTCTCCGGCAGCGACTTTGTAACGCACATACATCTTTCGAAGGTATCGGCACCGGCGCCATTTTGCATTTTCTCTCTCTAGGAGTCGGTTTATTATATTCTTCGACCCAATATCTTCCCTGCGGATTGGGCAGAGTTCTAATATCTAAAGTATATATTTTTGTAACTTGTGAATATTGCCTACTCGCACATCTCATCCATCCCATCACACTTCCTCTCAACTGTAGCCTCCTCGCTACATAGCCATTATTAGCCTCTATAGTGTTCACAATTCCGTTTTCTGACTCTCTTTTCCTGGCTGTGAAGTGCCTGCCTTTTTCTTCCGTCATAACTCTTTACTACACTTCCTACATCTCCGTTGATTCTTTCGCCTTTCTCTCCCACATTCTCTCTTAGCTAGCCCTTTCAGTATATACCCCCCCTTCTGTGCTGCATATTGGTACCTACATACGACCAGCATACTCTTCATCAATCCAGGACACGAACTCCTACTCCTCCTTCTCCCAACCCCAAACGTGCTAGTTAGTGTCCACTGTCTGTGCCGGCGCCCTTCGGTTTCGCACTCGGTCACTCACCACTCACTTACTCACCACTCACAACACTTCCCACACACTCCTTCCTGAGTTTCCTCAACCTCCATTCCTTCCTCGACCAACCCCGACATTCAGCCGACCCATCTTCTACTTCAACGCGTTTATCCGTTGCCTCAATTTCTGTCCGTTAACAACCCTCCCGTTGCTTCATATTCTGTCACCACCACTGCCCTATACTTTTCAACTCATTTTACCGTGATCCGCTGGACGTGGCTATGCAGAGGGCTCTTCTCTAACCGCCCACTCCCAGACGTACACGAAGGAGTCCGTCCCCTTTGTGAAGGAGTGTTTTGTGCATCAGACTTTCAACATCTCGGTTCATTTGAATATTCTCGTAAACTCCTTGCATCCACTTTCCGTTTCCACATTTCTTGAAAGAAAAAAAAAAGGTAGATACTCCAATTACCCCCCCAGCTACATTTAATTTTCATTCATATATATCATATACTAATTCTCTATCAGATTTTCTATTTGATCCAAAAGTGATAATGTCGCCAACAAAACCTGTCTCGGCTCCCGTTAGAAAAATGCCAACAACTGGGTCGTTTATTCCCCGCCGTGTCAAGACAACATCCAAAATATCAACCAAATCGATAACTTCTTCATCTAGTACAACGGACCCTTTGAAAAAGAAGGTTCCTGTCAAAACTTCCAACATCAAGAGTTCCAATACCAAGACACTTTCTATATTCTCGGATAAGACTACAACTCTTGCCCCGACGTCAACCGTGTCATTATTTTCCAACATTGCGGAGGCCAATAAGGAAAACATGCCATGTGGGCCGTTAAGATCAAGCGTTAATCGTGCTAACAATAATGGAGGATCTCCAATAAGGCTACGGTGTGAGTATCTCATCATTGTACTCCCTTTTCTCTCTCTTTATGCAATCAGCCATTGAAGACTTGTGACGCATACCTCCCGTCTTGGAGTTGAATATCGATGACTTCCCAGTGAATGCTTGATTTTGCATGATTTATTTTTTGTTCTATATCCTTCCAATGACACTAACGCGTCTATCATATCAGCTGGTATTTCCAAGAACATCTCCCAGAAATCAACCCACAAGAAAAAGACTTTCGGTTATAATCGTATTCCCCTTCGTGAACTTGATACCCAAGAGGTCTTTGAGAGAGATGAAGCAGTTCTTGGAGATCTTCGCCGTCGTAGATCTGGCGAACACAGTGGCGCCATGATCGAAGTCGAATCGGTCCTTGCGTACCCCTCTCCGAACACGGCTAATGCTACTACTGCTCGTGCGTCATCGAGTAAATATTCGGCTACAGGTGTCACTGTGACCACTACAGCGACTGGATACTACCAGGATGATTCCGCTGATGAGCGCGAGCAAGAAATTCGCACTAAACTTGATGTTATTCTAGCCTCTACTTCCGGTGACTCTAAGGGCAAAGGCAAGATTATAACAAAGGCCATTCGCCAAAGGTCCGTTCACCCAGCTGTTCGTCAGATGTCACCAGCTTTATCGCCGTACCGCTCTGAGGCCTCTGCTCCTTCGTCCCCCGTAAAGTCTCAGGTTGATTCTCCCCTTCGTATTTACCGCTCTCCATCACCGAGAAAGGCCTCCCCTCCCCTATTCGACGTTCTCAAAGAATTGGCTTAGGTACAAAGGCTGTCAACAAACTTTTGGCGGAAAAGAAATTGGTTGCCACTGTAGCGGGCAAGGAGGGTGAGAAAACGAAGAAGGTTATCATCACCACTTCTGCTGCCACAAGCGGTGCATTGAAGAAGAAGTCCAGTACGACGAGGAAGGTTGGAACTAGTTCCTTAAGGAGAGCTGCTGGCGGTGCCACGACCTCGACCTCAGCAAGAGATCCCTCTAGGCCTCCTTTGGCTCTCACTGGAGGGAGGGTTATGGGACTGGAAGGAATGCGCAATATGCGATGATGCTTGTTACAGAGACGGTGGTTTATTGGAACGACCACAATTGTGTAAGCGTCAATTGGTTGTTCGATCACGATACAGTGATTTTTATACTGTATTGTACCCAGTAGTTCTGGCATGTTCATGTGGTGGCTGCGGCAACGGAGTTAACTTCCTCTTTTAGGTTCTTCATGTTAGTGTTCTTTGGTGGCTTTAGTGTAGGTCATATGGATTGCGTCTACGTTTATCCTATATGCGTGTTTGCGGGTGTCCATTATTAGCTACGATACGTTTGTGTACTTCTTTTATCATGTTGTTTTGTGTCGTTTCTTTTTTTTCTTTTTTTTTTCGGAGAAATGGTAATGTTTCTCGTATAGGTATAACTTGGGGAATGAAAAATCTGAAATCCTGAAGAGAAAAAAAGGATGGAGAAAAATTGTTTTATTGGGCGCTGGCGTTTTTTTTTTATTTTATTTATTTATCGGATCCTATTTTTATTTTTCTTCAGATTGCACTGCGGCGCGGGGTGTTTGCGTGTTTTTGGTTTGGAGGGAATGGGGGAGAAAGCATTGCTAGGGCAACGAGCACAACAAACTATTCTATGCTGCCTCTAGAGGCTTGCTGTCTTACATTCACAGACCCAGAGGCGGGGCGTTCTTTTCTTTTCTTTGTTATTTTCCTTGAGTTTGGACTTTATGAAAACTTCACGACCTTAGATACTAAAAACAGGCTGCCATAGACTGCATAAAAAATTCATAATCGAGTTGGCCGAGATGTTCGTTTACCTTCACGTTCACGTAAGTGCGGAGAAGTTCGCGTTTAATGAGGTTGAGGTTGAAGTCGTGTTTTTCCTATCTCGGAACGCGATGGGCTAGCGCTAGAGCAACTAAATTAGTTCAACTGCCCTTTTCCCCTCCTTTCCTACGCGCGTGGTTCGCGACAGGGCCGGGGATTGGCAGAGGCTTACTGGGTACATCATGTAATGTAATGTACGTACCAGTCATTCATGCGATGTGATGTGATGATGGGGCTGGGGAGGGGGCATGTCATCCGGTATGGAGATGTGGGGCGGTGACCCGACATGAGGCTGGGAGACCGAGTGATAGTTTGTGATTGATCATAGAATATCACTCGGCAGTGATTTAAGGCGAAATTGGTTTTGTAACGATTTACGGGAACTTTCCGGATTTCTGTGGCAGGTATGAATTCTTAGATTTGCTATATACCCGGATAGATGTGGATGGAAAGCTGAATATTGCTAAATATTCATTACTACGCAGGAGCGCATTCAATAGTTATACCTATCCCAAAACCATACCTCTTCCTCTACATTCAAGCAGTGAGATGTGAAGGTTATGCCTAGCAGCTACAAACAAGATACTTTTCTATATTTCTCCTCTTCACATCCTTCTTTTCCATCCTTACAGGTAGCAGAATCAACTAAGTAATGTTAAGTCGGTCAAAAGGACCCCAAAACCCCCCCAACAGCCACGCTTGATTCGCTACTTCGTATGAAACATAGTATTTTCCTTTAAAAGCCAGCAACTTGAGCTTCGAATATAGCTTGGTGGTATACGCTCACAACTATATTTACGGTTCACAGCCCTCTCTTTATATGCGAGTGATATTTCATGATCCAACACAAATCGGTATGGCACTAGTTTAAGTTTTCCAAACGATAAAGATAAACAATCTGGGTATTTGTCAAGACACATCTATTTATCTTGGGTACATATGTCGATGTTTAGGATCTGAGACATGCACATCATAACCCCTAGCCCTATCTCCGAGTGATATTCTATGCAGCATGAACTCGTATGATAGAGTCAAAGATCGGGATCAGATTATGGCGCATCTTTTTTTATTCTTACACCATACTACAAGCCCTCGAAAAATGACAACCATTCCCCAACCCTACGCTCCGAACTGAATCCTCAAGTACATATCCCTTCGGATTATTTTGGTTCCTCTCAATTCATAGGTATCGTGACAAAGAAAATTCACGCCAAAGTAAAAACAAGGCAAGGGGCTAATATTCACTATACTCCTCCCAATCAAAAGAAAAAATATTGCAAAAACAAGCAGTATCATGGAACCCGTTTAAATCCATACCGGCGCCTTGACGAGAATACTTCTTCCTCTAACTTCTACCGCCATGAATCCAGCAACTCTAACCTTCTCGTTCTTCGGTGCCTCTGGTGCGCTGGGTGTCTGGGCAAGTGAAACTTGGCTTCCAGCAGCTCCCGGCCCATTTTGCTGTACCTGGGGGGCATATTTGGACTTGAGGGCGGTGGGGAAGTAATCCCACCTCCCTGGAGTGCCTTTTTCACTCGAGAGAAACCACCGACCTTCTTCCCGGGAGGTTCTTTGGGGTTCTGTTGGGGCGGTGTTTGTGGTGGAAGACCCCCGATTCCGGCCCTTGATGATGGCATGGGTTTCGGATCGTCCTTGGCCGGTAGGAGCGGTGGTACCTGAGTTTCTCCGTCTGGCGGTGCATCTTCCTTGCCTTCACCGTCACCGGTAGGCCTTTGGGTAGTTGACGCGACCAGGGGTGGGATGCCCGTCTCGGGCCTCATGAACTTTGTATCGAATTTTTCTCCCGGATGAGGGTACCAGACCTTCACTTCTCTAGACTCAAGAGGAAGATTTGCTGCAAGCCCTATAGCAATATCTACAATCATCTGCACGCCCCCAAGCAAGCCCATTGGCGCCGGCTCATGGAGGTGCTGTTGTAAACTTTCGACTAATTTCTTGACCAAATGCTCGGCCAAACGGGTTTTGACATCCGCAGCTTGTTTGCCATTGATAACACCTTGAAGCGCATCCAGAGTAGTGAGCCTCCAATTGCACACGCGTGAACTTAACGCATCGTCTTCCTCAATGGATTGTGGTAGTGGTGTGTTTTTCCTGATGCCTTGCTCAATAATTTTCAACTGAGTGCTCAAATTGATATCTAGGGCAGGATGAAAGAACTCTTCGAGAATTTCATCAACAACCCATCTGGAGATACTAGCTCGTCCGACAACAGTCATTTCGCGACCGCCCTTCAGCTCAGCACCAGTATTTATGACACCTACGAGCCATCCTGGAATCGTCTTCCAGGACTGACGAATCTCAAACGCAACGTTTTTGATGGCGCCATCGAGGCGTTCGAAACGTGAGACATACTCGTTGTCATCTAGTGAAGTACGTGATTGAGAAAGACGCTGGTGGGCGAGGGTATTTTGGAGACGCTCGATCTCGGACTTGCTCTCGAAGTAAAGGTTTTTAACCTTGCGGTACTTGGTCTCTACATACTCATGGTTGTTAGCATCCTCATGCCACTACTCAAGAAACATATTTACCATCCTCAAGTCCACTCGGATTCACGACTAAAAACGAGATATGAAAGGGCTTTAAAGTCCGGGGAGAGATAGATTAAGAATGAGTCACTGGTGATAGTATAAAATGCACGTACGCAAAGTTTCATGTTCCTGGACTAATTGTGGAATATTTATAGCTTCTGGAGCTTGTGCTGCTCGAGCATCGGATCGGGCATCAGCTCCAGATTTCTCTGGTGTCATTCTTCCCTGTTGTCCCTCGAACTTTGCTGGGTCATAGGGCAGTTGTGATTGACCATTATTACCCGCTCCGGAAGCCCCGCCTTGATTCTGGTAGGATTGTTGCTCAGTCCCTCTGTTGTTTTGATGTGCTCCTTGCCCAGAGTAGCCCTGCTGTCCTAAACCAGATACCTCGCGGGAGGGAGGGCCTGTCTGATGGGGAGCATCCGTTGACCGACGCGGCGCATTATTTTGTTGAACTGGAGTCATCAGGGCACCTCTTTGGTCCTGCTGCTGTTGGGAGTTTGTTTGTTGATAGTCTTGCTGATATTGCTGTGGGTGCGGTTGTTCGTAATACTCTTGCTGTTGTGGAGGCGGCTGCTGATGTTGATGCTGCTGATGATGCTGCTGATGATGTTGCTGGTGTTGTTGTTGCTGCTGCTGCTGGTGCTCAACAGTGCCTTGGTGGTTTTGCTGATACCCCTCTTGGTACTGTTGTTGCTGTTGCTGTTGGTTATAATGCTGTTGCTGCTGGGCCAAATGGTCAGACTCAAATGAGTGCTGTGTGTCTGTGTCAGTCTCGAGTGGAGACGGGAGCATAGACTGAGGTCTACTTGAACCTCCGGCCGAGTGAGAGACTCGTATAGGCGAGTGTTGAAGATAAGGGTCTAAGCTACCGTTATCAGAGTGCTGCTGCTGCTGATAATGCTGAATAGGCGCAGGCTTGTGATGGCGCAACGAGATACGCCTAGAGATACTTGATGCTGTACTCTCTGGCTGAGGAGAGGGGGGGCCAGGATTTCGTTCTCGGTGGAGAAGCTTTCTTGTTGAAGTGGTGTGAGAAGAGGAGGTGGAGGGGGGTGAGGGGTTGTCGCTGTGATGGTAGTGGTTGTTGTTATTACTCAGTTCAGCCGCACCTTTGTCAATGGGTACAAGTTGAACGGTCGTACTAGGGTGTTTGCCAGAATAACTGTCCAAGACCGACTGACTGGAGAGAGGGGCAGATATAGTTGGGCGGCCGGGGGTGGCTGAAGAGTTTTGCGCAGGGGATAATGAAGAAAGGCGGTTTTGGGAGTGCCCTTTACCACTACCGAAGAAAGAAGGCATAGGCATGGTGAAAGGGCAGAACTATTTAAGGGGTGGTGGGAGGGAGGGGGAGTGCGTAGAAGAAAAGTGAAAACTAAATAAGGACCTGGGCCGATGGAGAAGAAGAAGAAACGCACACACAGAGCGAGTTTGATACTATAATACTATGCAATGTACTATGCACTCTGATGGAACGGGGAGAGAGGCTGAAGCGCCCTAGAGCAATAAGAGATGGAAGGAGGAAAGACACACCCTCTCCTAAAAGGATACGTGAGGGGGAAGGGAAGCGAAGAAGCGGACGGGAAGACGAAGAGAAGAGGGAGGAAGAAGGAGTGAAGGCGAGCGCGAATGAGTGATTGGGAAGGGGGGGGGGGGGCGCTTCAATGCTGGATGGCGCGGAAGTCAGAGGTGAATGTCCTCCTCTCCCAGGCTCCCCAGGGTCTCTAGATTGCTTCTTCGTACTCGGTATGCGGTGTAAATACAGTGCCGTAGCTATTCAATTCCTCATGTATGCACTAAGGCAGGGCACACTGCTCTAAAAAGTGTTGCCAATTCCGAACGAAGATGTATGTAAGTTAGTATAATTTACGTTCACGAACCAGAGCGATGGATTGGTGGGGATGGATGGATGGGCATGGGGTCAGAATCGGAAGCCGAAAGAGCTCTTCTTTTCCATTTCTGCACGCTATCTGATCCAAGAGCACAACGTTAATTATTCCAAGTCTCTCAGTTGCTCGTTGCTCGTTGCTCGTTGCCTTTTGCTCGTTGCCCTGCAGGTTCTTCCCCCACCCACCGGCTGAACGACGCCCCTCTCCGACTTTGGAGTAGCAAACCTCTCCCCGGTCCCTGTCGTTACCGTTTCAGCCTTAGTCTTGGCTGTCCGCTTGTTCCATGTGGCTATTTTTGGCGGCCGGCGGGGCGGTGTTCGAGTGCAACCCCGCTATTCTTGCCTTTTTTTGACTCGGTAAGCTGTGAGATATGTATCACCTACAGTACCGTGTGATAGATATGGATATTGAGTGAAAACATAAGCTGAAGCTGTAGGAACCTCTCTGTCTGGCTGTAAGGGTCATAAGATGTAGGTGCGGCTGAACATAAACTAAGTTAGACTTAATTTCTTTAGCGAGGCCTTATCAGGGCGATAGGGTTAGGGTTGTTGCTATCGTCACCCATCCTCACTCGATGTATATACAGCAGATGTTTCTCGACTGATTTATTCATTTTCAATCTAACCTTAATTTGTACTGATAAAGAGTCTTTGAGTGAGATTAGATTAAGTGTGTAAGATATCTCCTCCAGAATGAACTACATGTAATCTATTGCCGTCCTAGGGCTTCCAGCCGCCTGTTCCTGGATCATGGAATAACCCCGACTGAAGACACATAATGTCCATCTCTGCTTGGAATAGCACCACCATAGGTCAATATCGAAGAAATATCCTGATAATTCTCCGGATCCGTATACGCCAGTTTTTGCGCAATTTCCAAAGGCCCATTCCCATGTCTATCCTTCGCGTTGACATCTGCCCCTGCATGTAGTAAGATCCTCACGGCCGAGAGAGAAAACTGGTGTGTCGCAAGATGGAGGGGTGTTTTACCGCGATAATCCTTCGCAGAGACTTTGGCACTGTTCTTGATCAGAAGCATCACTATGACAGTGGATACTTCCTCATCGTTTACCGCCAGATGAAGTGGAGTTCTACCGTTGTTGTCCTGCGCATTAACGTCCACACCTTTCCCCAATAGCTCTCCCACTAGCCCCTCGTCCTTATCCTTTACTGCCATATGAAGTGCACCCCACCCATACACCCTGTCAACACCAGTCAGACGAAACGACTCAGCTATCATATATCTAGCCAGACTCTCGTTGCCATTTTCCCTTGCCATTGCCACCGTGCATCTTGTCTTCTTCAAAAAAGACATAGGATTGAGCTCAATCAAAAGCTTTGCATCTCATCATTATTTGCCAAAATTGCCGTCGTCAAGGGCGTGAGCCCCCAGCCGTCCGTGTCTTCGAACGAGGCCTTCCTCGACACCAATTCTCTCACTTCATCCTCGAAATTGTGCAGCACCGCACAAGACAGTGGTGTACAGAAGCGTCCCTGGCAACGCACGTAGTGCTTTATATGGACAGTCTTGAATAATATCTTTAAGATCGCGATGTAGTTGGTATCGGTTTTGTTGTTTTCGAACTTAGACATGGCGGTATCAAATGGAAGGTCCGAGCTTCGGGAACGGAACATCGCCGCAGGATTCAACGTCTCGGTAAAATGTTTAACCATCTTCACATTTTCGATACGTACAGCATGCATGAGCGCAGTATCGACGTGCTCGCCCCTGAATCTCCAACGATAAAAGGGATAAGGCTGGCTCCCGCGGGGAATGCGTTGTTCTAGTCTTATCGTCGTAGGTCTCGCCATAACAAGGGCCGTAATTTCATCAACGTCATCTACAGTGGGTAATATCTTGCCATGGTTGTCCGGGGGGGGGGGGGTCGAAAAAGGTGACAGGATAAGGAATATGGGTAAACAAGCGGCGGAAGAGAGCTTCGTTGCGGGCAACGATGGCCCAATGAAGCATTAACGTAGGGTATATGCAATTTGCGGAGAATAATTCGGGAAAGCGCGGGTAAACGATGCTGTAGAATTGATGACAAGTCATCAGGAGATCCTTTGGGTTTTTAACATAGCGGACGATCTCATAAAGGAGCTCGTTAGGGAGGTCGAGAAGGAGTATTTGCTTTTGTTGCGGCATCTTGTATGACTTAGAAGATTATCTGGATCAGTACTTGGTACAGTACCGTATTTATATCCCTTTGAGCTGATATCCTCCAAATCGCGGAACTGACAACACCTTCCGTAGCTACATGTACCTACATACATGTATGTACAGCCGCATTTGAAAAGTATTGGCACCTCCGAGCCAAACTCACGAGGCAGTCCTTTCTGCTTTTCAATTCTCATATTCGAGACAATTGCCAGAGAGAGCTGCAATGTCTCTATTGCGGTCATACCTATCAATAAGTTGAGTATGCGCGAGTGCCATGGTTTTTGGTGGGCCACAATTCATGAACGACTCAATATAGTAGGGTGCCAATACTTTTCGAATGCGGCTGTACACAGCCACTCATACAATATCAGGCAATCGAACAGATGGTAAATAAGTAAATAAATAAATAGGGCGGTGGAATGTATCTTCATGCAGATAGCTTTAATCTTAACGAGATCGTTTAGCGATGATTCAAGAGGATATTACATGTAGTTAATAGGCATAATTGCAGCTAATGTGATCATTGACCCCGGCTGGTACCAGCGTAAGGCAGCCAGTGCCCGTTACCTATTCTAGGTTCTTTCAGCTGAAACAAAGGGAACATTTCACATCTCATAATTCGTAGGAAGATATGGTTGGAAGCAATGTCGCTATAATGATTGCTCTCAAAACCAGGGGAAAGTTCAGGCCGCCAAGTATGACTGGTTGATCATCAGATTAGATTAGATGCGATAAGGGCACCAACCCCGCAACAGTCCCATTCCACACTCCGTCAACTGCAACCACACAACCGTAACAACAGCGACTCCCAGTTACTCCAAAATTTCAATCTACAAACGACTCGACAACCCACCACACCAACCTAAAGGGCCCGACGCCGAATTACCAAAACAGCTCGCCCAATATGTAAGGATTTCTCTCCGTGTTTTCTGGTTCGGCTGGGATGGGATGGAATTGGTCTGGGAGAGAGACGATGGGATGGGGAAGTGCTTTGTGGTGGTTGCAGCGGGTTGATTGAGGTGGAAGGGGGGACATGAGGAAACGAAAAACAACGGATTGGGGAAATGGCGTGCTAACGATACTGGTGGTATTAATAGGTCTCTCGTCGCCGGCGAGAAGTCGAACTTCCAGTTCATTGTAAGTCGCCTCTTACAGCCCCAGCCTCATTCTGGAGATTCCGACACCTCCGCATCTCGCTACGGCAAATAAACGGAGAATATGGAACGGATCGAGAAGTTTGGGCGATACAGAAGCTAACAGCATTTTCAATAGCTCCGTCTTCTCAACACCAATGTTGACGGAAAGCAGAAGGTTATGTACGCCCTCACCAAGATAAAGGGTGTCGGTCGTAGATACTCCAACTTGGTCTGCAAGAAGGCCGATGTTGATCTCAACAAGCGGTAATAGCTTCCTTTGCCTTTTCATATCTGCACCATATCTAACATTTCCTCTTCTCCAGTGCCGGTGAGCTCACCACCGAAGAGCTCGAGCGTATCGTGACGATCATCCAGAACCCCACCCAGTACAAGATCCCCACCTGGTTCTTGAACAGGCAGCGTGACATCGTCGACGGAAAGGACACCCAGATCCTTGCCAACGCCCTCGACAACAAGATGCGTGAGGACTTGGAGAGGCTGAAGAAGATCCGTGCCCACAGAGGTCTCAGACACTACTGGGGTCTCCGTGTCAGGGGTCAACACACCAAGACTACCGGTACGTTCTCCCCGCTGAGCGTGGTTCTATGGGGAGGAAGATTGGCTGACATGAAGTTTGTGAACAGGCCGTCGTGGTCGCACCGTTGGTGTGTCCAAGAAGAAGGGTTAAACGATTTCTATTTCTTCTTTCTTTTCTTTGGGTTGTGTGCGCATGGTAGTGGGAATAAAAAAAATTATATAGTGTACACAAATCAAAGATGTTGAGCGCTATATGATTGTTGTGTGGTCCCTATGTGCGAACAAAGAAGGGAAGCAAAAGTTCAGCGCGGGTTTTTCTGTGTATAAATTTTACGGTTCTGGGTTTCAAAATAGCGAGTGCTCCAAAGTTCAGATGAAGGATTTATATTCAGTGATATTTTGTGACGGGTGTGGGTGATGCATTGTGATTTCGCTTTGGACTGTCGTAGTAAGGTGTATCTTTTAGGGGACTAATTTGGCAAAGTGTTGATAAAAGCCCTTATCGTCTAGCGGGAAAACAGAAACATAAGATTGACAGTTGACAATTGAATTCTGGATCATATTTCCCAACAAGGCTGGTTAGTCAGTCGGTAAAGTCTATATAAGGTCATGTAGACATGAGGGCTATAGAGGTGTCCCGTATCGATGATTAGGCTGGGGTTTTTGGGCTTTATGTCTGGGCTGGATGAGTACCATGGTGCACTATGAGCCATAACCGTCATGTATCGATAGTAATCATAACTTCTCACCCCGTAGAACTTTCCGTCCAGGGCATAGACGCTTACCAACTCTTGGCACTGACGCACCTCCGACAGCCCATTTTCTTTCTCTTCGACATTTCAACACCAACCCCGCTACAAACACTTCACTCCCCCCACCATAACTGTTTCCCACGAGAATATACACACCGGAAACAAGCACGATGCCGATTAACCAAGTAAGCGCTCTCTCTCAGTCAGGCCAGCCCTAAAAATCAGTATTAACGCCATAGCAGCCCTCAAACCAGATCAAACTGACGAATGTTGCTGTCGTCAAAATGAAAAAAGGTACCCGCGACCCCCCCGCACTATCGGTTTCGCCCAATAACTAACAACCCATAGGCAAAAAGCGCTACGAAATCGCCTGCTACAAGAATAAAGTCCTCGAGTACCGTTCCGGCGTGTAAGTATCCTCTCCCCACCTACCACCCCCTACCTACTAACCCACCTACTAGCGAAACCGACCTCGACGAAGTCCTTCAGATCCACCAAGTCTTCACAAACGTCTCCAAGGGCGCCGTCGCACCGCACGCCGACCTACAAAAGTCCTTTGGCGCCTCCACACAGCTCTCCGACATCATCCTCGAGATCCTGCAGAAGGGCGAGCTGCAAGTCGGCGAGAAGGAGCGCAATGCGAAGCTCGAGATGGTCCACAACGAGGTCATATCGCTGGTCGCAAACATGTGTGTCGACCCGGAGACGAAGCGCGTCTACACGGGGACCATGGTCGAGAAGGCGCTGCAGGAGCTGAGTTCGCGGAAGAGCGATGAGGAGGGCGTGCCGGCGTGGCATGGCGTCACGGATAAGAAGAGCAGTAAGGCGCAGGCGCTGGAGGCCATCAAGGCGCTTGTGTATCACCAGCCGGTGAGGATTGCGAGGGCGCGCATGAGGTTGAGAATTGTCTGTGTTAAGAGGGTTAAGGAGAAGGTTGAGGAGTTTGTGGAGGAGGTCGAGGAGGAGGGGTATGAGGGTGGTAACTGGGAGTGTGTTGGCTTTGTGGAGCCTGGGAGATATAAGGGACTGGTTGACCTGGTTGGGCAGGAGACGAAAGGAAAAGGAAGAGTCGAAGTGTTGGACACTGCGGTGAGTTGTGGACCTTGATTATTTCCTGGTGTTGATTTTGAGAGCTTGACTGACTGTTTGGTGATAGGTTGTGCATGAGGGATAGATTTTGGGTTTCTTGTTTTTTGTTTTCTTAGGTATTCCATGGTGGATAAATAAAATGCGAACCGGAGTTTCTTTTGATTCTTTGTTTTATATCGGTCTCCATAATTCATTGCATCTGCTCAAACAAATTAATGGGCATCTGGTCCTTCTTCAATATCGTCCCTGGGTCCTAGTAGTGTTGACGCGTTGATAAAGCTGCATTCAGCATTCAGATCCCTTCAAGTATTGTGGACTTAGCTACATAGCTAGATCATTTAGGTAAGATACTCTATTTGGATCTGGCAGCTTAACAGGTTAGCACCCACATGCAGACCTTACGGGCTGGAGTAGGTACTCCCTTGATTCCAATCAAACCCTTACCTATAGTAGAGTAGGTACATGCTACCCTAAAACCGATAGACTATGTCAATGTAGGTACGCACATAAAGCGCCCACCACTCTGCTGGTCGCGTGCCTTCCCCTTATCTCGGATGTTCTATCGGGGACTTCTCGAATATGCCTTCATATATATCCAGCCAATCGATATTGGGCTTCCCCTGAGCCCAGGAACGTCGTGCCTACTACCGCATCCAGTGATCTCGATCCAGCTCCCGGTCTATGTATGTGGGTATATACATAACCGGAGTATGTGCCTCCTCCCCAACATAGACTCGTAAAGTACCGTAAGTAGAGCACCTACGTAGCCAACGTAAATACAATGGCTCAGGCCTCAACACGTACTCGTCGAATGAGTAATTGTTTCCGATTGGCTTGTTATCCGCAACCTGGGAGACAGGACAGGCCTTGGGCACAGCTTACTTAGGGTTGAGGGCTTCGGCTTGTTTTGAATCCCATCCAATCCAGACGGATGTCCTAAACCTTGATTCCTGGTCTCGGTCTCAACTGGGAATAGCTAGCGCTAGAGATCCGCGTTAGGCAGCTCGCGACCGGGGCTGTCTGTGGCGCAAACAACAACGCGAACCGGATTAGGGGGCTGATAACGAGCCACGACATCCCATGATCACAAGACTCCGCGTGAAACTGGAAACCCTGCTGTCTCAACCAACCCTGGGGGTGAAGTCTGGGTTTTACCCTAGCCATACGGTGACTCCAGCTCATGAAAAGAGAGAGAAAGAGAGAGAAGAGAGGCTCGTGGGTACTCACTCCAGAGTAGGTAGAGTGGAGTACTTTACTTTGTGAAAGGAACCACAAGCATGCAAGCTGCACGGAAATCTGCCCGGAAGGGTTCTCTCGGCTGATAGCAGCCTGATTATGATAGGCACCGTGCTGTGTGTGTGGTCGGCCCGAGCGCTGTCGTAGCCCAGCCGGGACCTGCGTTATCCTGCGCACCGTTATCTGGGGAACATCTCAGACCCGGAGGCTGGGCACCCACATCTTCCATCTGAGTGCTGATTGGCTCGATGTTACTGGATATCATGCGTCATTATCTGGGAGCCTTTCTTTCTAGCCACACACCTCCCCCCCTAGCTGTAGCCTTCTACGGGACGAGGTTAATCCTGTTCCCCCCCCCCCAAACCCCCAAACCCAATCAGTGCCCATGTCCCCAGGTTTGGCAGCGATCGTGGGCTCGTTCGCATCAGTCATCCGCCGCGTAGGTCGAGACACAAAACCCGCGTCGTTCCCTCCTCCTCTTCGCTTTCTTCTCCAGCTCTGCTCGAAAACCTTCGTCTGCACACATCATCCAACCTTCCCCCCCCATAGTAGAAGAACTCTTTGTTGGTTCATCTCCCCCCCCCAATAACATCACCATCAACTACCAAAGAACCCCATCCACTCTTTGCATAAACACATCATGAAGCTTTCGGTAGCTTCCGTTGCGGCCCTCTCCTTAGCCGGTGGGGCATACGCCTTCTTCCCCAACACTGAGCAGAACCCCCTCATTGCCTCTTCCAAGTCTTCCTCTGCTCTCTCTCCATCCATTGCCCAGATCCAGGAGCAGCTTTCTGCCCTTGGTGGGGAGCACACTGCCGAGGCCATTACGGCATGGAACCGTATCGCTGAGTTGTATCCCGAGGACACCATCTCCGCGGTGCAGGCGTTGCTCAACAAGAGTAAGCCAAAGTCTGGCGTCAAGAAGATCCCCGACAACAAGTGGGATTACGTTGTCGAGGGCAACGATGTTGTGTCCGCCCTTGGAAGCAAGATCGGTGGCCACGAGAAACTCAAGGGGACGAAGTTGAGGATCAAGAAGCCTAATGGTCTTGGAATCGACGAAGACATTAAGCAGTACTCTGGGTACCTTGATGTCGACGATGACGACAAGCATTTCTTCTTTTGTAAGTACCACTTTCTGCGAATATTTACCGAGCAATCGCTTACGTTTATAACACAGGGTTCTTTGAGTCTCGCAATGACCCCAAGAACGACCCCGTAGTCTTGTGGCTCAACGGTGGCCCTGGATGTTCGTCGCTTACTGGGCTCTTCATGGAGCTTGGCCCTGCGTCGATCAACGCGAAGATCCACACCGTTGACAACCCATACTCATGGAACTCTAACGCGTCGGTTATCTTCCTTGACCAGCCCGTTAATGTTGGATACTCTTACTCTTCCAGTGAGGTTTCCAGCACCCAGGCCGCTGGAAAGGACGTTTACGCGTTCTTGACCATGTTCTTCAACCAATTCCCCGAGTACTCCGCTCAGGACTTCCACATTGCTGGTGAATCTTATGCCGGACATTACATTCCCCAGTTTGCGACTGAGATCCTCGAACACGAGGACCGCAACATCAACCTCAAGTCTGTCCTGATTGGTAACGGTCTTACCGATGGAAAGACACAGTACAACTACTACCGCCCCATGGCTTGCGGTGAGGGTGGATACCCGTCTGTCCTCAGCGAGTCTGAGTGCCAGGCTATGGATGATGCCTACCCCCGCTGTGCTTCCATGATTGACAACTGCTACAAGTCTGGCTCTGTTTGGTCTTGTGTCCCTGCCTCTATCTACTGCAACAACGCCATGATGCGATCTTACCAGAACACCGGAAGAAACGTCTACGACATCCGTGGCAAGTGCGAGGACACCGACAACCTTTGTTACTCTGAGATGGGCTGGATTCAAAAGTACTTGAACAAGGAGGAAGTCATGTCTTCTCTCGGTGCCGAGGTTTCCTCATACGAGTCTTGCAACTTCAACATCAATCGTAACTTCCTCCTCGGTGGTGATTGGATGAAGCCATTCCACACATTCATTCCTCCTCTCCTTGAGAAGATCCCTGTCTTGATCTACGCTGGTGACGCCGATTTCATTTGCAACTGGCTCGGAAACCACGCCTGGACTGAGGCTCTTGAGTGGCACGGAAAGAAGCAGTTCAACAAGGAGCCCCTTGCACCCTTTATGGTCGGTTACGAGGAGAAGGGTCAGATGAAGTCTTCCAACAACTTCACTTTCGCCAGAGTCTACCAGGCCGGACACATGATGCCCTACAACCAGCCCGAGGCCTCTTTGGAGCTTCTCAACAGGTGGTTGTTTGGTGAATACTGGGCGTAGATGATATACGAATGTAACAAGGGTTAATGTGGGTTATCTCGGGATGAAGGGTATGCTGGTGACATGATACGATAAATACGCGGTGTTTCTACTTTTTTTTCCTCTTTTTTTTTTTTTTTTTTTTTGCTTTGGTTTTATGGGCGGATCCCATGGGTTTCTCTGTATTGTAGGGTCATCATTATTGCATTTTAGTAATTAAGCCTTTTGGTTTTATTTAGTGAATAAGTTAAACCCAATCTTGTCTTGAGTTTACTGAGTCTTGTGTGCAATACGTGATTATTCGTTAGTGATGAATACGCCTTTGATAGGCAATTCCTTGAAATCAACACACACCGTGTCTAGTGTATGTTCCTTACCACGAGCTGTAAGCTGTAGGCGCGCTGTTAGGGCAACGGCATCTCCACTCCCCCCATAATTCGCTGTTTAAGACGCCTTGGCGTTCGCAATTAGAGTAGGCAGAAAATAGTAAGGGTATTAAAAGTTCACAAGGCCGAGAGAATTGAATTTGGGACAATCTGACAAACATACTCGCAGCCGGTGATCTGGCAGCCAATAAGAGTTCACCTTTTTGTAGTATTCAGATCAATTACCTTTTTTATCTGAGCAGCTTCAATCCGGCGACGCGGGTATCTGCGAGTTGATCATTCTTTAAGTGCTACACTATAGTTACTGTATTTGATAATGGTTGAAAGCCTTCTAAACTCCATCCTTTTGGTGCACATAAAAACGTCACTACCACATGCTTCTCTAGTTGGAATCTTTTATTCTAAAGGTGCCATTCCGGGAACTTCTTAAATTTTTCGTTCAAACCTGCTAAAATGTGAAGTGGAAATAGAGGGAGGGATATCATGCAGTGTATATACGCCAGGAATCTAAATAAAATAAAAAAAAAAAAAAGGTAGATATGTACTTAAAGGCCATGCTAAATATCCACCCTCGTCATGAGCAATGAGGAAAATAGAAAGAAAAAAAGAAGGGAAATCTTTTATAGCTCTAGAATTATACGCTAAATTTTCTCCGCAACCCAAAACTCAGCCTCGTAGGAGTGAGTCAGCATGCTCATACCGTCACCCACATACGCGGTATTCCCCTTGCCTCTCTTGACAATCTTGAATCCGTAAGCGGGAATCAGCTCCAGCACTTCCTCAAGAGATATCTCGAAGCTGCCATCTCCTTCTTCCCTTTTTGGCGGACGGTGGTCCTCGTAGTGCCATAGGAGCGGGCCAAAGTTGATCCACACGCCGCCTGGGACGAGGAGATTCCGAATTGTTTCGAGGTATGCACATAAATTGGGAGCTGTGTCGATGAAAAACACGGTGGCACATACTTCGAATGTTCCGGCCGACTCGGGGCCTCTGTAGCCGGATATGAAGTCGCTGGCGCTCATGGAGAAGCGGTCATCCGTCGTGGCAAGAAGAGACGCTGGGTGGACGTCTGGGATGAGGACGGGCCGTAGTTGGTTGGTAACAGACTTGTGGTTGGAGAAGGTGTTAATAAAGGGGTGGAGAACGAACTCATTGGCTTTACTGGAGCTGGAGGGTGTTAGTGACGTGTAAGTGTATGTATGTGGGAGAACTAACTGGTTGAGGATAAAGTTGGAGGCCATAAGCTGATGATAAGAGAATTCATTTCCCTGAGCACTAAAACCTGATTTGACGTAAGCTGAGGCCAAAAACAAGACGGAAAATCGTTTCCTTACCTGCTATTGCAATATCAAATGCCAGCCTGCCTAGCCCAGCCCCGGGAACCAAGACCCTGATACCTGCTCTATCCAACAACCATCAGAACTAATTTCCGGAAGAATTTCCTGGATCTTGCTTTCCTAAAAAAAAAAAAAAAAGGCTTACTTTTCCCCACTTCCCAATGCACCATATCTCTCTTCCAGTTCTTTCATAACTGGGCCGTAACACACATCCCTTTCCACTGCTCCTTCCGCACTCCAATCTCGATAGAATTGCTTGATAGTGCTCCTAACCTTATCCAGGTCTTCAGGCGTCACCATCTTCTCCAGTGCCTTCTTACCCTCCTTGTCCGATGGGATATCAATGCCAAACGATTCACCAGCTGTACGGAATATCGCTTCAGAGAGGAGTGCATTGTGCTCGATCGCATCGTCTACCATATCCAATTTCTTAAGATACGAGATGGGGAGCTTTTGAAGAAGATCTTGGTGTGCACATGGAAGGTTATAGAAGGCATTTCGCCGGCGGTGTGTTAAATTACGGTGGGCAGCGCGACGGTAGAGACTGACAGCGGCGTTAGCTAAGATAGTCCTTTATAGGTGAGGGTTTACTTACAGATACGAGTATAAAGAAGAAACCGCAGCCTGGTGCTCTTCAGGATCCTCGTATGGGTTTATTCCATGGTCGAGCTCGTGTTGATGGCCAACATCTAGTTCCATCTGAGACATCGTGAATTGATTACTATGATATCACCGCCAATAGATCGCTTCAAGAATCTACTGGGTGGCACGATGTGATGGACGAGATGTGGATGGAGCGTTAGTGGCAGTATCCTTTACGGGGGATTGGACGACGTGACGTGGGGTAGTTAGTGGGGCTGGCCTTGGCAGTTTCCGATTGATCTCCTGTGACGCTTGGCGAGGATTTGGTAACTTGTCTTCCCATCATGTAACTAACTTCACTGTGATACATTGTACTGAGGCAACGGTAATGTGATTTTGGAACACTTAGATATATTTGTTCACGACAGGTGTGTAAGATCTGCCAGTGACGATCCTTCGGTTAGCCACCCTCGTGATCGACGTTCATCATATTGATGGGGAAATATGCCGCACTCTTTTCTATCTATAAAATTCCCACAACATCTTGCTCTGTCGTGATAATCAGTCTTTTTCACCACTCTCTCAGCATCACACAGAGAACCACTCGTCCCACCGATCACAGTTCTGCAGGCATATATCACTCAGCCATTATACCTCCCTCCATCACTCCTCGAAGCAAGAAAATTAGTTTTCAACAATTCACCTTCTCCGTGAGCCTATGACCGGAGGAGGATGAGGAGGAAGAGGAGGAGGAGGAGGAGTAAACGATCGACAGAATACGGCGAAATTATGTTGGGAGGTGATAAACAGGCTGTGAATGGCCAGCGGTAACCGAAGTTTGTGGGTGGGTGGTGGCCTACTAGTAGCCAGCCCTAATATATAGGTGCTTATTGATTGATGGCGCTTGTTTCTGGCATTGCTCATTTGACGGGGAGTGTGCGAATTGTGTGAGGAGGTACAGAGACGAGAAGTATGTATTGTTTTGTCCCCACCTAGCTAGCCAGCGAAGCATTGCGTTAGCATCAAATTTATGTTCCAAGGAAAAAACTGATCCAATGATCGTTCAGTGCAGACACAGTACGGTCTTATTTTGTACAACTATTGACCTCTCCTGGAATTGAATAAACGCTCCAATTCCAAACACAGCAGAGTACTGCACACACGGAGTTTCCCGACCAATAGTTCCTCAATTATACAGTGTAGATCTATCTACTCTAGAGTACAATCTCAACCTCCATATGTACGTCTACCAAGAAAAAGCAAGCCCGGGAAATCTTAGTTCAAACATCCAGCACATACTTATCCAGTAGATAAATACTCAACTCATAGCATTACCCACTCCGCCGCCCGCCGCCGGCCCTGTCCGGATCCGACAGCACCGACAATACAGCGTGAGGTAAAATTATTGTAGAAGTATGGGAAGAGCCCTATTGGCTTGCCCAGCCATAGAAACCCTGTTTTTAGACCCCTGTTTCTACAATAATTTTCCCTCTCGCTGTACCCTCCTGCCTGCGACGTCGAAGAAAAGAAAACACAAGGCCCCAGCGAATCCAGCTCCGGTTGTGTCAGGAGGCTACTTACCTACATACTCATTGACTCCTCGCCTCATGATAAGAAAGAAGCAAGGCCCCGCGGACGATTGGCAAAACCTAAACCGGCAAAAAGAGTTGAAAAAATTGATAACGCCACCCACTCACTGTGGAAGGTCTTTTTTTTTTTTCTCTCTTTCTCTCTCGCGCTTTCTAACGGTAATATCATCAGAAGCGGCAAAAAGGACTTGTAGCACGTATTGAACTACTGCAGAGGAGCTGAAGCGTAAGAAAGCAGTATATTGGAAATGATGGGCCCGGAGGTGGTGGATCGGTCCTGTGAGCCGGTAACTTGAAATGATTTTCTAAATTTCTTTTCACGATGGTCGTACACGCCTTCTGTCTCTGGATATTTGCGCCTTGCCCCGGAATCAACCACCAGAAAATTAATAAACTGTACGGTTTGTAGCAAACACCATGAAGAAAAGAAGCAAGTGTGACTCCTCTCCGTATCGAGGATCAAGGACTAGGATCGCAACGATCGGTCTCAAGATTTCGTTTTATGGTAATATTTTCAAGAGGAAACCCAATCCCGCCCCTCGCCGAGAAAAAGAGAATGCGAAACGTCCCAAAGTACTCTCCACATATGTACCTAAACATCTCGAGGAACTGCATTTTGCGGGGTTGGCGGTAAAAGCAATGGCAAAAACAAATTAACGGTACGCATCCCACTGTTTTCGACAGAATCTCCCCAGGAAAATGGATACCGAAAAACTGAAATGGTGGTGGTGTGGTGTGCAATGTGGGTGGTGTATGCACACTTAACCGTCAAGGGTGGTTGCACACAGACAGGGTCCAGCTGCCAGCAACTCTTCCCGCTTTCAAGTGGACGGCAGCGCAGTACTGACAGATTTCATACAGTAGACTCGTGTACCCTACCGCCATTAGAGAAATGCTTGACTCCTCAGGTTTTCGGACCACAGCACGATCCATTTGCCGGTGAGAAGACCGAAAGTAGAGAGGGAAAAATAGTCAACTTTTGAAATAATATGGTATTCAAAGTTAGGGTGATAATAAATCAAATCCCTTTCTCCCAATGCAGCGCTCCTAGATAATGAACAGAAAATAGTACAAATACAATCCGAGGAAATTCGTGATGGGACCAGTAACCAAAAAAGAACACCAAAATAAAGACAGAAATCCGAAATGAGAGGTACCCAAAAGAAACTCCAGCTCCCAGAGCAAAGTCACCCAACTGCACCCTTTCCTCCCAAATCCGTACGATTTAAAATCGTCCTTGCTCATCTCCTCCACCTCCACAGCGGCCAATTATTATTTTCGAGTTGCTTATAGCTCTGGTGATGGGGTCTCGTCGGCCCACTCGTCTCCGCTGCTGCTGCTATTGCTGTTTGAACGTGCAAGATCTACAGTCTTGACGGGGTGGCTACAATACTCAATTAGTATAATGGTCGTGAGAGCAGAAAGGGTCCTCAATTAGAAGTGACTTACAGAGCTAGTCCGCCGTTTTTGCACTTCTTGGTACCGCAGGTCCGTGATGAACGCACGTCAACTGACTGAGAGCTCGCCATGCACTCTGACATATCGTCGTTGACCCATCCGCAAACAGAGGTGTTCTCCTCGATCTCACATCCACAGGTGAATACGGTGTTCTTGAAGTTGCACATTTTGATTTTTTTTTTAGGAGTTGGAAGGTGAATTGGTAGGGATAGGTATTTAATGGAAGTTGAGTAGTAGTAGTGATTATAGGATGAATTGAGGGACTGGCTTTTTGGAATGGAGAGCTTTTCGACAATGAAGGAGGGAAAGGAAGAACTTTATAGCCAAATCACTACACCCCCTCGAGGCAGGCTGCAGAAGGTGCATGAGTGAGGACACCCATTAAACGTTTAATTTCCTGAGAGGCTAGCTAGCTAGACCGCCTCTCCTTGGTGTTGCCTGTGGGTTGCGAACATCCTATGAGTTCCAGAAAAAATCGAATCAGCAATATCCGTGCGGTGTTTGCAACCCACGGCCGAACTAAAATGACAGAAACAGAAAGAGATATCCATAAATTTCCCAATTTGGGGTTGTTCAACCGTCGAGACTCGCCGCACGGTACTGTACGATGTCGTCAATGCGCCGCCCAATCCGAGACACAATCAACCTTGAAGGGTCTCTTGGAGAATGCTCACTCGCTCACTCTCTCCTCTCCTGAGGCTCTGGCGATCTTTCTGCTTTCTTCACCCTCCACTTCATATGGCGCTGGACAGGATTTGTTTATCCTCCACTCTTTTTTTGCCGACTCTCGCTACCACGTTCGTTACACACCCTTTCTCTGCCCGTACCCTCCGGCCCCGGTAGGGGATCTTCAGGGTCTTGTGGAGGTGGGCTCCCTTCCAAGAATCACAGAAAATGTTCCTAGAAACATGTACAATTCGGAAGCCTCCCGTCCGAGACATCTTACTCTAGAGATTATGAGACAATAAAAACTCCTGTAATACCTATGTATGGAGGGGGGTAAGGGAGGGGAATGAATGACGTCCTTTGTACCTCCTACTGGTTCCTGAGTCTTGCAAAAAGAACTGCCCCCGATTCCAACATCCCCCTCACAGTATAAAACTAAGGTTCGGATCTCAGCCGATTGTAACTAGATACAGAGTTACCTAGGGTGGTACTTTATATGATTCAGACTGGGTTTGAGAAGCATGTGCAGCAGCAGAGTAGTTTGAATGTGGGTGTGGTTCTAGTAGATCGCGGCACCAAGCCAGTACTAATAGTAGATCTTTAACGTTCCTAACAGCCAAGAGACTGTAGATCATGTAGGGACAGCGCTGTTGGGTAATAAGCAAAATGGCCTAAGGCATCGTGAGTACATAAATTCCAAGTATTTTTCCCGCTCTGTGTTCAATGAAGTCAACGGTACTTCCAACTCCCCGGATTTCTCACAGTAAATTCCCCATGCGTGTTAATACGGTGCCACTGTGAGTACTTTGCCCTTGTGGCAATTAATTCGGAGCGCCCATTGCCCCCGCTAACTGCTACTCTAACTGTCTAACTAACAGTAAGGGACCATAAATCCTGTTCACTGAGTGAGAAGATGAAGGCCCAGCCAACCAGCCAGCTGCTGGCGAGACGAGGGAATTTCCTTCTTTCCCTTCTTTTCCTTAACGACAATCGTTCCACCTATCGCTAGTCTAACCAGAAATCTCACCACCAGGAGCATGTACTTTAGACCCATTTTTCCCTTACATTACCCCTAGCTGTAAATCATGGCCGACTTGCGGAAGGACGATCTAGCAGCGAGCCATGCCATGCAGACAACAAACTTCATCCAAAGAGCCACGAGAGAGTATGCGCGAGGACAAAGCTGCTGGTACCGGTACCGCCTGTATACATACATACATACATACATACATACATACATACATACATACATACATACATCCATACATACATACATCTATTGTACATACCCACTCTAGGCGGCCGCCGGCTGTTTACTCTACAGGAGTGGAAATACCAGGTATCTACGAACCCCAGCAGCGCTTCAATCGCGGTGAAGAAATCGCGGCGTCCACTATTTTTACGTTTCTAGAAGGGAAGACCAGTCCATCCGAAGCGAAAGACATGGGGTTGCGTTTTTTCCCTTCCCCGCACTTTCCGAGAAATTAACCCGGCGGTATTATAATGAGGGGAAACGAACCCGATGTTTGGAGTCTGGAGCGAGCGAGCGAGCGAACGAGCGCCTCGGGTATGGCGCATCGAGTCACATAAATAAGATGCAAAACTGGAGAAAGATGCGAAGATCCCCTTGCCTGAACCTGGTTAACCGGGAATAGACGCATTTCGAATCTCGATGACTTGGATAAACACATTGGGAGAACAAAGGTTTTTATTTTTTATTTTTTAATTTTAATTTTTTCGAAATCTATTCTAGGTTTTTTTATCCCAACTTCGGGATATCAATTGGACTAGGCAGGCCGCTTCAGCACAAATCGTTTCTACCTTGAACTAGTAACTGGCTCCCGGATCGACCTCATGGGGGACAGAAAGTACATGTACATGTCGAATACGCCATTTTAAGGAATGATGAGAGGATCACCGCCCCGGGAATGTGACAAGCCCTGGAAGTATTGCGGTATTAATCGCGTGACAACCTTATTAAACCTTTAATCTTCCGTTAGTCAAAGAACCAATCAAGAAATTGACTGGATAAAAAGTAAAAAGATAAGGGTTGGTATTCAGAAAACGTTTCAAAGTCCACATAATTGTTCAGAACAGGTCTGTGTAAATTGTTTTATCATCATAATAAGGTGATACGGAGCAGAAAACGAAAAAACGAAATAAAATTACCCGTACGAGAAGCCTGGGACTCCAGCAGCTGGCCTCTGCCTTTTTTTGAGTCTGCTTACTTGACTATGTAGCATACAATGGCATTTTGCGTAAGCCGACCGCGAAGCCCAAGCAGGGCACACACCTGGTTGGGATACACAAAATACCATTGTCGCAAGCAATTTATTTCTACAAAAATTTCTTTACAACTCGTTAGCCAATGGCTCTCAGCAGGTCAATTAAAGCAGAGCGAGTAATCAAAAACAGAGAGGGTTGGAAAAGTTATTCAGAAGGTCTCCAAGAAATTGTATTTTGTCCGCATAATTGTTCAGAACAGGTCTGTGTTTAATTTCTTTCATCATAATAAAAGCAAATTTGCAGGGCAAGTGGAACGTGAAAAAAAAATGAAGTGGGTTTATGGTTTGCTTACAGTATCAATTCATGCTGCTCTCTCAGTTGTTAGATCGCGACATCACCGATGATGTTCGTGGGGTGCATGTTGATGGTTGAAACCTGGGGAGAAGCCCGTTGGCGGCGGAATCAGATCAGTGGCTGCATCAATCGATCGATGGCAGTGAGTTCTTGGGTATTGGATACTGGGGAATGGAGAGATGATATGCATGGTGGTTGGCTGAAGTGATGGGTTGGGTTGGGTTAGAGAGAAATGTTCCCAAGGAAAAGTTTCTCCGACAGGACTGTGGAACTGTGACAGGGGTCAGGGCAGCGGGTCAAGGGCTTAACCCTAGCTAGCTAGCTCTAGCCCTAACCCTAACATCCTGCGCACCTTTGAGTGAGTGATTCTGTATGACACGTCAAGGATAATTTATTCATTTATTGTTTATAAATGACATCTCGACAAGGAGAACAACAGTCGACATATCATATAGGTATCTGTCATGTATTAATGTTGTTTGTTTAAAATGGTTTTTGGTCAAACTATGATAGCTCTGGCTTTGTTCTGCACCTTTATCTTCACAAAACAGCAACAACCAGCCCGATGGCTGCGTTCGAGAAAAGACTGAGGTTTCAACTTCTAACTACTTCTTGGATATCTCGAGGATATTGTCAATCAAAGTTCACTCCATGGATATTCTTTTCTCTAATAAAATGAAATAAAGGCTCGGTAAGCTAATGGCGGACGTCCGCCATATATATTGTGGATAGAAATTAAGTACAATACAGTAATCGCTATATATAGCTGAAATCTATAAACTTAAAGAAAAGCCAAAGAAAAAGTCAAGGAAAAAGCCGAAAAAGAAAAGAAAAAGTCTAAAGCTTGCTAAGTAAATCCACCACTCCCTTCCCCTCATCCTTTTTGAGTCTAATCAAGCCCTCTTGATAACACGACGCCAGCAGCAGCCCATCCCGATTCCATATCCTCTGCGTCACCAACGCCCTCTCCTCCCCCGCCCACGACGATTCCAGCTCCATAAACACCCACTCATCCGCCTTGATCTCTGCTGCATGGTGAAAATATATTGTATGGTCCAGGCTCACCATCATGCCAATATCATCCATCCTCAGCGGATTCACCTTCGCGGCTGTCACCAAAAAAAATGCATCCGAGTAATACGCCAGCGCCGGCAGATGCGCCTCATCATCCTTAATCGCACCCTTAATTCTCACCCACTGTCTCAAACGCTTCTCCGTTGGCTTTGCATCCCGTGTCTGCTCCGCGATCCCCAGCTGCCGGTACTCAATCGGGTCCTTCTCCCTCCGGCGGCGGTATTTCTCGAGTCCCGCCTCATCGATTCTGCCCTTCTCGTACCAGTCCAGCAGCTGCGCGTCGTCTGTAACGCACTCCTCCGGTAGCGGAATCCCTGCCGGTATCGGCATCGAATGCTCAATCTTCGACTGTTCCTTCACCGGCGCCCGCATAAACGAGCAGGTGGTGGTGAAGATGCACTGGCCGCGCTGCCGCGCCTGAACCGTCCGTGTGGCGAAAGAGCGCCCAGACCGTACGCGCTCGACGTGGTATACGACAGGAATGGTGGGGTTTCCGGCGAGGATGAAGTAGCAGTGCATGCTGTGGACTTTGAGATCCTTTGGTACTGTGCCTTGGGCTGCTTTGAGGCATTGCGCAATGATCTATAGATGGGCACCTTGTTAGCTATTCTACGTACTACACAGCTAGCTAGCTGTCGTCTGGAAACACTCACGCAGCCGCCATAGATCCCCCGGGCATCATCAGGCTTCCATAAGGGCCTGCTGTTTGTAAACACGCCGTCGCCCATCTCCTCTAGTGCCGAGAGCTCTAGGTTGTTCTCGAGTAACGACAGCTCCGGGTTCATTGGTGGGATCGTCTTGAGCGTCGGTCTCGGGGTTGCGGTGGAAGCAGTCATGGTTGTATGCGGGTGTAGGTTCGGAGTAATTCTTTGTTTATTTTACTGATATGGAAGTAAGGTTGAACGCAGATGTTCAGATCAGGGACAGAGAGAACCGGGTTTTGTTGCAATTAATTGTTCACTCATCGGGAGTCATGCCGGGTCTGGGGTAGTTGGAATGCTGGGCCGAGGTTCATTGGCGCATCACGTGAGCCGCGGCTTAACGCCGATTTCTTACTATTGGGACGTGTGAAAGGAGTCATGGTAGTATTCTGTCCTGGTGGTGGTAATGAATGACGTCGAACATCGATATATCCCCTGCCTGGTGTCTTTTGATGCTGTCTGAGCATGTGCTTGCATCTATCGCGGATAAGCCCAAGCGCGGATCTATATTAACCCGCAGAGGAATGTGAGATACAGATGTTACCGAACAGGGCCTTGGGTATTTATCGGATTGGCCTTGACTGGCCTAATCGTCGGATTACTGGGGCGGGGCAGATGCGGGGGGCATCGCAGAATGCGTTTGGCACTTGGAAAGTACCCGAGTGATATTCCATGATGTTTGGGTTGATATCTCTCTGACCTTTGATCATGTTGCAGGGAAATATTAGCTGGCTACTATATGAGTCTAAGTGAATCGTATGTGGAGTTTATAGCAGGTGTCTTGCGAAATGTGCACTTAGAATCACCACATATCACTCGGTTTTTGTCTTCGGGGAGCCGGACACTGTTTTTTTTTTTTTTTTGTTTAATTCATTAAGAGCCGGACACTGTGAAATCTCGGGGCATATATATACCACGCCCGGAAGCTATCAAGGACAACAACCCACCTTGTCATCAAGAATCACAAACGTGGAGCTTTAGATTGCGAATATTTCTTAAGCCGCCCATACGTGATCTAGGTCTTTGTGTGAACCCCCACGTCGAGGTTGGGGGGAGCAGTCTCAGGTACTGCACCACGTGCTAGCAATTCCAAAAAGATACCTGTCGATTGGAGCGACCTTCTATAGAATGTGCCGATCAGATCAATCTCAATTTCTGGGGGATCGTTACTATGATTCCGGCCGGGGGATGAGGGTCAACTTAATAAGTGGGGGTGTTGAAGGCTTCTAGAACCAGGAACCAAAAGCCTAGTCTGGTTAAAACACCACGCCGAGACCACACAGTCGTATTCATCATTAAACAAGGCCGTAGCGCTTAAAATACCACCACATCACCGACATTGCCCGACCGTGATGTCCATCTAGAAATGATATCCGCACCCGGCCGGCCGGTGCCGTCTCCTTCACAAGCCCGGCCGCGACACTACTTGAATAATCGGTCCGAACCACCCAAGCTTCAAATACGGTCTGGGTGGTGGGGTGCTACGGGACTACTGCATGTATCCCAACGGTTGAATGAAATGGCTTCTCTAGATCATTCGCAACCGGTCTAGGTACCTACTCTATCTACATGTACCTGCTAGAGTAAAGGATCCTGGGTTAGGCCCGCCTTAATTCCCCCAACCAGTCAGTACCTACCTACTCTACTTGTAGTTGGAGTTGTGCTACATACTGTAACATACATGATGTAGTTAGTTAGCTACAGTGACCCAAAATACTCAAAGGGGCCAATGTCAATGTTCCAACAAGTGAAACCGGACAGTGCTAGCGTGATCGGTTAAAGTTGTACGCAACTGGGGGATCGGCTGGGGACGCATAGTAATCTTATCAGATCGCCGCCCTCCCCACCCTTCAAGTGATCGGGATCAGTGGAGGGTGTTCGGTGGTGGCGGATGGTGATGCACTGAGACATGGCAGAGCTGTCACAAACACGCGATTGACTTCCTGTCTGTGCTGCGGATGTGCTACTACCTCCCTCCTCCCTCCTCCCTCCTCCCTCCTCTCGCTTTCGCTCTGCACAGTCGTAGTACGTACCCACCACCACCAGAGTGACCATCTTGGCAGCTAGCACCCACAAAAAAACCTCTTCTACCTTCTCCGCCCGGCCTAGCTACATAGTTAACAGAGTAACTACTACTCACTCGGTCATGTTTCGGTGTCGCTCAAACACACTGCACACACACACACCTTCGGCGGTGATTCCCGGTGATTCCCGGCGTGCATATATCATCAAGGCTCACTTCACTTCACTTTGCTGTAAGAGAGTAAAAATTGGGGCAGGGGGAGAGAGAGGGGGGTAAGAGAGAGAGAAAGGGCAGAACACAACAGCTCTGCATGCAAGGAACCGCGTCATACACGTGCCATAAGGCGGACAAGTAAGAAACCAAGGCTTCGTCGTCGCCGTGAGTCAAAACCTTATTTACCTTTGTATGAAATCATACTACAGGTGGATGTCGCCTAGGGGTTGATTGACTGATGGCCGATGACCATGGGATGTGCTAGCCTTGCTGTTGTGGTGAGTGGTTGCGCGAGATGGTACGTGGAGTGGTGGTGGGAGGGAGGTGGTTCGATGTGCGAGGCGGAGAATGCTTCTTTAAGTGTAATATATGTATTGGAAATTAAAGCCTTTGTTTTTGGGGTTTATGCAGTCATGCTCCAGCCTATACCGCAGCACTTCGATCCTATGTTACAATAAATTAAATAAAAGATAAAAAGAAAAGGAAAAATAGATAAAAGAAAAAATAATAATAGAGAAATAAGTACGCCAATTACCAGAAATAAAATAAATAGGATAAAAAAAAACACAACAGAGCAGAAGTTTATCGTAACCTCAATGCCCCCCCGCGCGCTAAAGCAATACCAATTGCCAATTCCCAGCCCAAACAAAACCAAAAACCAGAGTCCAAATCCCCAAATCAAAACCAGAAAAAGCCCAAAAACTAACAGCCAAAATCCCATTTACAACTCCGACTCCAACCCCGACCCTGACCTCGACCCTCCACTCGAAATCGACGTGACTTGTGACCCTGAGCTCTCCTTATCCATATATGCCGCGCTATGCCTCTTCCTATAGAACACCCTCAAACATGGCAGACAGAAAGCCGTAAAGGCAAACAGCTTCTCGACGAGCGCCCACACGATCGTCTGGCGAATGGCGAGCAGCGAGCTGTTCGAGTGTACAACGACATTGTACACCTGCGTGAAGCGCACTACTGAGGCTATGATTGAGACGATGCCGACGCCAAAGACGAAGGCGAGAGCGTACAGGTCTTTGCGCGTGAGACCGTAGTTTGACCGGAAGGAGCCGATTGTGAGGAGGGGGATGAGCAAGACTGGCGTTTGTTAGTGTCAATGTTGATAAATACAAGATTTTGTAGTTCTGTAGATGGGGTGAAACTTACTCAGGATGTCGCTGGAGATGTTTGTACCCTGCTGCGCAACCATCCCTGGAATTGTCTGTACTGAGATACACTGATCCGATCCAGTCGACCTGCGTTTTTTTTCTTTCTGTTAGCTCTCAATCTTTCTACAAATGTGTACTGAAGATGCTTGATCAGATCTCAAACATACCAATTCCTTGACATAGGCCTACAGTAGCCCAATTGTATCGATATGACGCCCAGATACGTCACAGTAGCATACACCGAAACCACATAGAGCAGCATCCGCACCTTCGTACTCAACGTTTCCCTTAGACTCCAATAATACCCCAAAAATGCTGCCTTCAGCAGCCACACCTGCGTCGTGCAGAACAGCGAAATCACGAAAAACTCCTACACATCATAATCAGAATGAGTAACCAGAATCACACAAGCTCCCCCCCCCATAGCATTCTTACTAGAAAGAAGAAGAAAAACTTCCAAAGCCAATGTTACCAACCTTGAGATACTTCGGCGTCAACAGCCTCCCCTCGATTCCCTTCACGCCATACGCCCTCTCAATCTTCAACTCCTTGTCCACACCATCGAAGGCCATTCCGGCCGCCATCATCATGAGCACACCGAACAGCAGGAACGCACAGTCACTTAAATTGACTGCAAACGTCCTGGGCCGGTGTCGGAGAATCCATAGTCTACCTACAGTACCCACCAGCACAACCGCCACCAGAACCACCACAAGTGCAATGAATGCCTCAACCCGATTGCCCATCTTATTTTTATTTTTGTTGTTTTTGTTGTCGTGTATGTTGAATTTTATATCTGGGTAGTAATGTTATTGTTGTTTTTGGTTTTTGTTTTCGTCGGCGCTGAAGAAGTAGAAGGGTGGAAGCACATCCCGACCCTCGAGAGAAATCAAGTCAGAGTTGGATAAATGAGATGGATGGCTCTCGGGGAAATATAAGATTTTTTATAAGCCTTCTTCCCCATACATTGACCCCAGCTAACGTTCTAACCAACCAACCCAATTAACCAACCAACCAACCCGTTCTGGAGTGATGGGTGGTGGGCTGTCCTCTTTTTATGCTTACGTGGAGCAGCAACAACTCGCGACCCAGATTCTTGGGATAAGGGACGGCTAAAGAAGTGGATATGATATGATATTGGTATTGGGATTTGGGGAGGGGGCGAGCGGTGGTAGCACGAAGGGAGCACGGTCCAATCATGCACGCTGACGAGCATGTCGAAAGTAGTTCAGAAAGCGGAATCTTATGCTTACTGGACGGAGGAATCCTGCTTGCTGAATCAATCAGCTGCATATGGGGGCAATAAACCACATAAAACTACGATATAGAGCAGAAGAGCACATTTTGGCAGCTCAGGTCCAAACAGGTTCCTGAACTGTACCTCGGGTTATTTACCTATCACACACAGCAGAGATCGAGAATAGCTACTCCAGATAGGATAGGGAGAAATGCGTGTTTTTCGCTAGAGTACCCAGAGTAGAGTAGAGTTGTGTAGCACCACAGCTACTATAGCTAATACAGACTACATGTATGCATAAATCCCGAGTTATAGGTAGCTGGGTACTCTACCCAAAAGAGAGTTGATCAACTCTGGATTCACCTGGTGCTGCGGCTTTCGTCCCGGTAGGTGCATATGCGCATTCTTTCTTCACGGATCGATCCAAGCCTGGCAGTGCTAGGTATCTAAGTAGGTATCATGTAGAGTTACATGTATGGGTTAATTGCTTCTTTGCAATCCCCCGCAAGTCACGGGATGATTAATTCGGGGAGAAGGGAAGTGAATAACGATCAACAGTATCGGTTTTTAACTTCGGTAGTTGGGCACGTTGTCAACATTGTTGACGGAATTCTATTGTTAGTGTAGCTAGCTGCCGTGGGTTGTTGCCCTCGCGGTCGACGGAGAGGGGGAAGGTCTGGTGTCAGTTATGTACTAGTAGCTACATAGCTGTTGATTGAGCTGGCCTATTTAGCTGAGTTAATTCACTCCGGAATCCGCACCCCACCTGTCGAAAGATGCGACTTCTGATACATTTTTTTCAGCTCGGAAAAAAAAATCGAAATCGGAATTAAATTTCTTATATCAGGTTTTTCTTTGCTTACTATTTTCGCGCGCCCTGGGCTGCTGCGCTTGTTTTCTGTCACAAGCAGATACGTGATGGAGGGCCCGGGATTATTTTTGAGAAATTGGGGGAATCGAGATGAAACTTGGACCTGGTGACGTTGCTCGTTCAAAAAGACTGCACCGTTGCTCGTTCAAAAAGACTGCACCGTTGGGACTTAAATTACTGGACTGTTAATTATCGCCCCCCTCCCCCCCTTTTTTTCTCTCTCGCTCCCTTTGATTCGCGATCCTTAAACTGTGGATTCGGGGAGCAAATGGACTCTCGTGGTAGACTACTCTAGCTGCACTTGGTGAATGCGCAATCTCCGCCGGGGTGTGAAGGTAGGTGGACTGTGCGACCTCAACACTTCGCTCCAGAATAAGCCCTGTCTGCAGATCACAGCTCGCCAAATAGAGTTATGTTATGCACTGTGTCACGTACCTGCCTTGTGCGACAGAGACAGAGCATTGGCTGACTAACGCAGCAAACCAGCAGCAGAAGATCATTGTCGATAACTCATATTATTGAGAGTTATTAAACACCCCGCATATGGCCCGAAACCAATAAACGATTTATTAAACAAACCCGCCCTGGGCGCGGGGAAAAATCCGGTATGTTCCAAAAATAGCTGCAGTGCAGGGCTCTGCAGCGATCTACGATCATGTTTGATCACTCGGGTTAACAGAGCCTTACTACCCACCAGGCCGGGCGTAAGCTAGATTATTCTATGATTCCATCGATGGGGTGATTCCCTTTTTTTTTTTTTTTTAGTCACAAAGTGGTCGCGTAATCGATAGGGTGGTTCACTGACTGTGCAATTATATCAGTAACGTACAATACCTTTGCTATGTCCCGGCCCCGTACACCCAGAGGGGAGGTCGAGTCTTTGCCACAGGTAGTGGTGGTCGGAGAGCTTAGTGGCGGTTGGAGGAGCTTCTGGATGGCCTGAATTGCTGTCAGCCTCCTTTCACGTCATAGTTCCATATTGACTCACTGCCTCGTCGTACGCCCTAGTACATTCCAAACTATCGTCCTACTCTAGGATTTTAAATAGTTGTCGCTATTAAGGAGAGGTTTCTTTCACCATGCCCCTTAATTGCAAGAATTAAAGCTGCAATGTACCGGCCGCCATAGAGTATATACTTTACATCGCTGCAGGATTATAGATACCAGCACTCTCACGCACTTCCGGGGCTTTTATCGGGAGTGATATTTAGAGAAATAGAGGGCCGATGAACATGATGAACATAGTTTATTGGGTGTTAAAATAAAGGAAGAGGACAGGGGAGAAGGTTCCCCTTTGTAAGTACATGTACTTACAGTTTAGAGAACAGCTTGCTCATCCAAACTACATATATGTACTTAATGTAACGTTGACAATAATATAATCATCAGAAATAACCTAATGAGGCCACCATGCAAATAATTATAAGTCTAGAAGTATAATTCGCCGCCCGAGAGTCCAACATTTTTCCGGCAGCAAACAAAGGCGCCAGATCATGAAACGAGTATAGGGCAGCTAAGCGGTTCATGACATAACATGCAGGTTCATGCGGTCTTGCCGGTCTGGGTCACATCGGCGACCAGAGGCTACTCTGACGTTTGTGGACACGGCTAAAATTGCACACCATACATGAAGATTTTTGGTGTATGCAATAGTGAACCAGTTCAAAAATGTCAGTACCGCAGAAACTCGCCAACTTGATTATCTCCGTGCAGGGATTTCTTCATTGATGATTGGCTGAAAGGCAGAGATCAGCTTCAGATATTTCCTCTACAAGTTAGTTTTTGGTCAGATCCGCTAGCAAAGTTCGTGAGTTTTTGCGGTACTCTAGAGTACAGAGTGGTGTCATGTTTGCATACATGTACCTGTATTGTACTCTAGAATATTCCAGACGGGATCGAGAAGCTCCTAGTGTGCATATGCGCCCCTTCCTGTGTTGAAATGGGAGTTAAGTCTGTAGGTGTGAGGCTCAGTTCAGGACGCTATTAGGAGAAAACGTTATCGAGAGGTCGTGCGTAAGTTTAAGGCTTGTACTACATGTATGAGCTACATGTAGTTGGTGCAGCTTGTGGATTGCGGTTGCGCGAGTGATTTCCTATGACTGCAGCCAGCATTTGTGCCTAAGGTGGAAAATTACTAACTGAACTACCAGCAACCACCCAAACGATCTATATGAAGCTCAAACCTAAAGTTTCTGGACAAACAAGTCGCAAATCTCGTCTTCCAAGCCACCACCTCAGGGCCCTCTGCTCCAAAAATTATCGTTCATCATCGATTTCCTGTTTTACAGAAAACAAACCGATCTCCCTGGCTCTCGGGAATTTTCTTCTTTGAATAATCTTCCGGGCAGAAACAATATCATCATGAAGAATATGCCAAAATAGCAAGTGAAGAACCCTGAGGTCGTGAATGACCCATGCAGGCCAGAACAGGTCGAACCCTTGATAGAATGATTAGTCAGCACTACTTACGTTCCTGCCTAGGAATTGATGGATACTTTTTTTTTGGTGGCAAATTAGAGTTGCCTGCAGGTTTGGGATCTGGGGAACACAGATAGTGGAGTCTTTAGAACTATCGTTTTGGGGGATCCCGATCTTGGTACCGACCTGCAGAATAACACAAAAAGGTTAGCTATAACAAACAAGAAAAGATGCAAATTTGACAACATAGGTGCTATTGAGCTATTCTATACCAATAATCCATTGGGCAAACGGCGCTCACTGCTTTATCACTATATACTGAGAGCTGCAAGTAGCGTTGGACCATCTGAGGATAGATATGATACAAAAATACAGGCTACCTATAACGTATAAGAGATATATTTGAATATATGATTTCTTGGCAGTGATTGGGCCAGATAACCTGCAAATTTATACGTCAGATCAAGTGGCATTTGAAGTGATGGTGCTCGGAAAATTACCTTACGAGGGTTTTGGAACTCCCCTGAAGTAATTAGAAATGAATATTGAACTGACCACCGCAAGCAAAAGCAGCATAGATGAGTCCATACAGACAAATACCCAAATATCTTCCAAATACTCCGGCATCGGATTAATTAGATATCTTCATTAGACCTGGGTTTCCAGTGTCTGAGCCCATATATTTTATCTTTAAAATTCGTGAGGAAAGTCAGGATAATAAATCCTGATTTTTTTTTGGTTTAATTCATTAATATAAATCCTGATTACTCGTAGTATCGAGTAGTACCGAAAGACAGGGGCCTATAGCAATTCAGATTCCAGGGTTTAAATTTGGCTAGATCGAAATGACACCTACTCCTGTGACCTAAGGAAATTTTTTCCATATAGCCAAGAATTTGAGAAAGGTTATAGATATTTTGATAGCGTCATATAACTACCATTGGTGTCAGCCTTTTTCCAGACATAAAAAACACAAATGCCATACTCACCCGAAACAAATAGGCTGATGAAAGCTCCAAAGTTTTATAATATATCGACTCAATCCTGAGTGGCATAAAATATGGATCCCTTCACTGGAAGTCAGGAGCATATTTCTGCGTAACGATATGCCGCGCGAGAAATACTCTTATTATCAGACCTATCTGCATACTGACCAAGACACAAGTAAAGAATACGAGGCAAATCTAAGAAGATTTTTAGTAAAGGATATTAAATGGTCGAGTGCGTATCCCGGAAACGTGCGACGTAAGAAACGGTCAGCCCTCCCTAGAGCTCTGCTTGATGTCAATAAGACACCACTATATGCATATGAATCCCTTACAGATTAGTGTACTGATTCTGACGAAAAGCCCCGTGCCAATTAATTGAGACGCCAATGGTAATTAACTGGAGGAGGGGTAAAATATTTAATTAATCATAAAACAAAATTTTCGGCATATCTGGTGAGGAATTTGGTTACAAACCTGAACTCGTTTTGTCTGAAGGTCTTACCAAATCTCCTAACATCTGCAGCGGCAACTTCTGCGTACTGAGTATTGGGGGGGGGGGGGGGGGATACTATTTCCCCATTCTCAGAGTCGACACTTGTACCTTTTGCAGTGTCGACCATTGCTGGTTTGCTGGCCATAGGTAACGTTGCTACTTCTGGTATAAACATGATAAAGTATAAGAAATAAAACTTGCTCGCCTTGACTGAAGTTTTATATATCCCGAATGTGATCGCGGCAGGTTATCCTAGAGGGCCCCCTTTAAAACTATATGTAAATAGAATGATTAAATCAAGGTTACCGGGACTAATATTGTCATATCGACCTATCTTCCGTGTGAGCCGGTTCATTTACTCTAGTTTGATCCATCAATTGATCCAATCCTAGTGTAATACTATCGGGTTTGGTCGATGCACATACATGTATTCCTATATCTCTGCCGTTAAGTTATCTTGTAGATCTATAGATGGATTTTATGTAAAATTGAAATTTGGGTCACCGCCTCGGATAAACTGGTAAATGGCCAATTGTGTTGATCCCTGCTGGCGACGTCTAATGTCATTGAGCTTGAGGTTCACAGGGGATGTGAGATGACAACGTGTATTAAAATCAAATCAAGCTGTTTACTCAAAGACCCCACATATGCAAGGTCAATGTGATGCTGGTGGTGCCTAGAAAACAACGATATATGCTCACTAGGCCAAGAGCACATTGAGGGTACTTCTGTGATCTCCAAATGTCACGTATCTTTATTAACAGGTGGGATGCACATTAGATATATACATGTACACACACGGGAAAAAGTGAGGAAATAACGCCTGCACTTAATTAACACCAACCCCAATGACGAGAATTAGTTGAACTACAAAATGAGAAAGAGTGTATATAGTACGGCCTCTGAAGTATGTTTGACGCCTTGTACGGCTTCCTTTCAAAAGTCATGGTTGTTTAACCGCGTTTGTGGTCACTTGTTGTTTCGTCACTTTTTTCCTGTGGGTGTAAATTCACTAATGAATATTATATTGCCATTTTGTGCAATACCAACTATTTATTTGCGTCATGTACTCCTATGATTAAATGTATAAGCTATATGTTGCCCTGATCTCGCACGTCAATTATGTATTTGCCCAACCAGCAAAACACACCAAAAATCGAGGTTTTCAACAACTCATAAAAAGCCCCACACCTAAACCAAAATATCAACGACCAAGCATAGTATAATTTTGATAAAGGAGGTCCATGCTTCAAATTCTTGGCCCAATTGAGATACTGGTAAAGGTGCCATAAAAGGACCCTTTTAGACACATTTCACCTTCAGGGCTTGTTCTTTGTAGATATGGCCTAAAAGTGGCCTGTAGAGTCTTTCAGGTGTCTAGATAGAAGACACATAATTTCAGGGGAGGTGGGAGAGCTCTCTGGATTCTGTGTGTGTTTTGCTGGTTGCGCAAATACATACTTGATATGCGAGTATATGTACGTAAAGAGCCATATCTAAAGACAGTGTGTGGCGGCCAATAACCATTAACCAGTTCAATGATTTGTACCAATAGAGGGACTCATATAATATTATGGTACCATGAACCGTTTTGGATGGTCTTGACTTTCACCACTCCACTCCACGTGGAGGCCTGGCCACAATCAGCGGGACAGGGATAACGGGTCTGTGCGCCCATGCGACGCGTAAGCTTGGCGGGGCATCCGTTGCTTTACTCCTCTTCCTTTCTTCTTCCCTCTTTCCTTCAATATTGAACTTTAAGACCCATCAAGTTGTTTGCTCTTATAAACCCAATTGCTTTCCTTACAAATACATTTCAGATCAAAGTCTGTCAGTGATAGTTTTACGGTTCTTTTCGGGTTTGGTTTATATATTTAAAGGTTGTCGTTCGAAGAGAAATCAGAAGCACCAATATGGAGAATTGCACTTTTTCTAATTGGAAACATTTATAACAACTGTCAGGTACGTATGCACTTTCAGAATTCGGACTAAATTGGTTGATAAGATTCCCAGAAAAAGCTGCACAAATGGTTCAAACTTTATCATCCGATGATAATGTATATGCCTACTGGAGTAAATTGTCGTCCTAAAACTTGATAATTTGGATTTGGTCGATAAACTTAATGTGGGAGAAGAACACCGGAAATCTCCACAGCTGGTGCACTATACCGCAGATATCGAACTGCTGCTGGCCACAATTTTCCCGTATCCAAAAAATGGCGATCGATCCCAGGATTGATGTCTGGCTGGTCAATTACATTTCGTCATTTATTGTCGAAACCCGGTGCTTTATTCAATTGATCTGCAAGAACATGGTTCTAATCAAAACCTGGGATTTCTTCCGTCAATCCCTTATATTTGGACCAATACCTTCTTCTATCTTGCATTGAATCCTCTGCTCATATAGTATGAACTAAGTCCAATTCCTTGGGCTTTGATATTTCGAGATTGGGCCTATGGACATACGAAACATAGCAAGAATAAACATCCTTGCTAGGTCACAAATTTAGACACCTCTCAAACACCTACGGGGTAGAGTGTGCAGTTATGGATCATAACCTTGTATCCCCGGACTGGATAAATCATGTACCGCACAATAAGACGAATGGCTCTCCTTCAAAGGGGCAGGCTACTGTCCCTCAGTTATCAACTATAACTCTCGGTTGTTTCGTTAAAACGTGGCAGTCCTCGAGGCAAGGATACCGAAACATATTCCCCGGATTTCCTAACGGTTTGGCACGTGGATTCTCGGGTGGTTCTGGGGCGATACAAAATCGAACTGACGGGACAATAAAAAGACTTTCTGGGGCTTTCCTGTCAGAAATGCAGTCGGAGGAAGAAGACCAGGTGATACCACATGTGCGCGATGTGATTCCAATAGGTGTTGTTAAACCCACTTAACTGTGCCCAACAAGATATCAAGACTACAGCCTGAAAACGGACATATAAGAGGTAAGACACGTCTTACAACAGGCGAGTCTTGGCTTCCCCTTCAAAAGCAAAGAACACGATCTATCGACGAACATAAGTCAACCCTGCGATGAGCATTCATATCATGGATATTGATTGAGTCTCCATGGCCAAGTAGTCTAAGCCGAAGACTGATATCGATCTATCAGACCGTAGACCCGAATGGTGGATCGCCGACCCGTACATTTCTTTGACCAAGATACTTTCAGAGCAGTACATGCCATTTCTGCACATGCGCATGCAGGTATACCTTAGAGTACTTTATCAAATGGGACTCCTAGTTCAAACACAATGGAGACCGAGAGATATCTGGGGTTGGACAGTTCTAATATATTGGATGGCCAGCAATTTCCGGATTCTTGAAGGTGTTTCGATATGTTTAATAATATCATCACTATCAGCTAGCATCTCTAGAGCACCTTGTGCATGCAGATGAGAAGACTGGCTGTCAGTTTCATGGAGAACCTTCTACTCAAGTCCCATCGAATCAAGTTTTGTCTTTGTGGGAAGGTGGGAATGATAAGGAAGAAAGGTATCGGGTTTAGGTGCAGGGTGGTTGGATAAAACGACTAAGTGGATTCGAATCAGTATAATTGCTCCGAGTTCGCTCCCTGTCCTTCAGATGACCTTTGTTCCATACTCTTTCCCTCCTTTTTTTTATTTCCTTTTTTCTAAACATAAAATTAGGCCGGTTGGCACTTTTTGATCATTCAAGCTCTTTTACATCACGAGAAACCTTTGTTCTACCAAATGTCCAAGAAACGATGATTCTTCTCTAGTCGGAAGGCCGGGTCCAGATGGCTTTTGGGAACGTAAAAACAATCGAGTTGATAAAAAGCGCAATTCACCTACAGAGTCAAGCCTCATAATTCATGAGAGCAACAAAAGCCTCATCATTCATAGTAAGGAGATGCCAGGATGACCAGATCTCGCCTCAATGATATTATACTAGCTATATCATGCATTTATTCAACACTAACTAAAATCTTCGTGATAGATACCGAGTTGTGTTGTCAAATATTTACATACGAAACCCCCTCCAAACTTTCGACAAGCCATCACGGACAAAGAGGTGTACGCCAGTGCAGTTAATGAATCAAAGTCATACTAGCCCTACAGCTGTCACTAAGTACTTATACAGACAGATGTATACGGCCATCACCACTAGCATCCGCATTAATAACACCACAGGATTGGTAGATACAACCTCCGTTTAGACACTGCTGCCCACTTGCCTTTAGTGTTGGGCTCTACTATCATTCGCTCGCACGCTACATTATGCCAAGTCATAAGCTCACAGGTTCTTCTTAGCAACATGTGCTAAGGCTTCCCTACTCCAACATGAACCTGTTAGCTACAGTGTTTAAGCAACGGTTCTTCGTCGACAACAAATCAGGTACTCTTCCTATACAATGCGACTGACAGTTAGCTATGGAGTAAAGCTCGTCCACCAAAATGCCTTGGCTTGGCTACAGTGTATCTCATCACGATGGCCTAACTCATTCGCTCAGATTCGGCCTCGTATGATGCAGGAACAGTAGCATCTACTCTTGCTTCTATAGCTTATTCTGCTCTTCTCCCAATCCAAAACATCCGCAATACTGAAGCGAGGTCTCGGAATCTGATGACTTCCAACCAAGGACTTTGATCCTCGGCACTTATGGTGCCTACATTGTGTCAGAGGAAAATTTTCACCCCAAACACTCGGTGGTAGATCAGGGGTACGGAGACACGACATGCTCAACCACTTTGCGATCCGCGCGTGAAGGCTTGACGTGGACAGTTGACCTCATTCGATCCAAATGGGAAAGTTCTCCCTCGAGTTCTGCATAATGATGATTTTTTGAGAAAAGGAAGGGCTTTTATCTATGCACACAATGCTTCGGTTTCGAGCCAAAACTTTTAGGAAAATCAAAGAAGTGCGTGAAGAAGCGGGTTTTGTCGGTTTCTGGCCTGGCAGTATTCAAAACTTGGGAAGAAGGTATATTTGAGAACAATCCTATTTTACAATCTGTACCTTTTGCGAAAACCTTGATACTGGCCGTTGATTGGAAAATCAGGCGCTCAAGAAAACGGCGAAATCCTGGGCGGCGATTCTGTGGTTGACACGTTGACCGACATATCGGCCTATCTTATCCACCCAAGACAAACCCCGCGGTCAACGTGTGGGGCTTCTACCTCCACGTACCCAACGCTCGACTTACCTGTTTCTAGTCTTGGGACTAACCGTATGAGTAGTCATCGGTACCTGAGCGACGGGAAAAAATAAAGCTTGCCATAGATGAAACTCACGGAGGCTCCGCCTGGTCATTCCTATGGCCTCATCCCTATGCTTGAGGCTGATTTCTTTCACAGCTATGACAGGGGTAGAGTTGAAGCGGTTCCATTCATTTACCACAATTCCGGGAGTAAAAACCCAAAACATTTATGCAGGGTCTGCAACTGCAAGCCTCCCACGCCCCGGACACGTTGTTCCTTGTGAACAACAGAATTTGTTGCCTTCAACTGCTTCCGTGAACTATCTCATGCTTAGGTCAATATCTCAAGCCGGAGGTTTCCAACCTGCATCGTTGGCAAACATGAAGGCGCAGGCAATTTCAGTGCAGAGAGAAACCAGCGCATCATAGATTCGGTGCAAATGATCTTCAATCTTCAGGTTTTTTTCTCCCGCTATGTCTTAACTTTCCCCTTAGCCCGAATTCTGTTGGTCTGCAGAACTCCGCTGTCAGTTTCTGGCCCGCTCTTCGGTCTATTCATTCGCTACTAACGGCTGCCTCATTCGCTTGGTCACTATCCGATTGATCAATGACTGTTGGAAAGCTTCATTCCTTCCCCTCTTCCCGGTACCCCGTTTTTCGCATTGGTTCACCATATGTTTATGGGGGCGATCGACTAATGGGCGGCCTCAACATACGAAACGGGAATAACGAGAATAGGAAAAGCAAAGATTCTGATGCGTAATCCTGTACATGTAATCTAACTAATGACGATCTTACTGGTGAAGACATTATAAAAATATCGTGGGCTCTCCCCGAACGCTCTACTCCTATCTTGTTTGACTAAAAGAAGCCGGCACTCTGTTTCCAATTTTCCATTCTTCCTCTCATCTTCTCTATATTCCAATGCTTATATCCCCTTGATCATCTATCAAATTCCATTTGCCGAGTTCCACGTATTCAGAATTCACCAATATCTCTTCTGCTTCAATTGAAACCAGATTTTGAACCCGGATCCCATTGAACCCATCGGATCCTCCCGCACAACACACGCCAACAAGACTCAATTACAGGAGAATTTGAACTGACCTTTTTTCTTTAGATACTCTAACATTACTTTAAGTTCACAGGTCTCGACACAATTCAACTTCTCATTCCTCAGATCTCTTAGCTACCTCGGCACACCATCGAGTTCTACCGTATATTATATTCCCATCCTCCGGAAGAAACTACAAGCTCTTTATCTTTACCTCATCAAACTCTTCAGTAATGGCAACCCCAAAAGTGCTGCTGGCAGCTATCCTATTATGCTTTGTACTACTATCCCTTATTGCACCTTCATCAGCACATATGGTCATGTCCGACCCTCCCCCAATCAACTACAAAGACAACCCGTTCTATCTAGAATCAAAAGGCGATTTCGATTATACAGCTCCAATTTCACCCTCTGGCTCCAATTATCCTTGTAGGGGACATTTAGATGACTTGGATACCCCTCAGGGAGGATCTGTTAAAACCTGGGCTGCTGGAAGTACGCAGACCTTGACGTAAGTCAATTTTTCTTATAATTGAATATATTTTTGAATGCTATAGATGCTAATTTCTACTCTCATGTAATTTAGAATTGCTGGTTCAGCTGTTCATGGAGGTAATAAATATCTGTTCTTAAAATTGTTTTGGAAACAGTTGATTAACATTGCTTTGATAGGTGGATCTTGCCAAGCCGCTCTTTCGTATGACAAGGGGACAACATGGATTGTCATCAAATCCTGGATAGGAAACTGTCCCCACGCAACTCCCGGCGGAGATCAGACATTTAAGTTCCCAATTCCCAGCAGTGCACCTGCCGGTGAAAAAGTTCTTTTTGCATGGTAATTTTTTTCCGCGCGGGCCAGGCTTCTTCGGGCGAAAACGGGTCTAATATAGAGCCAATAATAGGACATGGTTTAATAACGTTGGAAATCGCGAAATGTATATGAATTGTGCAGTTGTCACGATTACCGGTGGCTCAAGCAACGCACTTAGTGGCCCGACTCTCTTCCTTGCCAATATTGGCAACGGCTGCACTACAGCTTCAGGCACAGATGTTGTCTTCCCAAACCCGGGAGATACTGTTGAGTATGGAGGAAGTGAGGGTGACCGGGCGCCGCCATCTGGTAGCTGTGGATCGGGCGGGACTGGGACCGCTTCAGGCTCTGGTAGTGGTACGGGAAGCAGTTCAGGGAGCGGCTCTGGGAGCGGTACTGGCAGTGGTACTGGCAGTGGCTCTTCAAGCTCTGGTACAGGCACGAATACCGGAAACGGACAAGGTGAGACCGTAATTTCATTTTCATATGGTTCTAGCGCTACTACTACTACATACTCTCCTCCTCGATCTTATACTACGTTGTATCCTTCCTCTCTTAATACGCGTTTATCTACGGTAGTTGTAGGAGGTGGCCTCCAAACCTCAATAATTTACTCATACCCGACCGCGACAATTGGTGGTGGCAGTGGTGGTGTTGGGGATAGCGCGGCAACTAACGTTGTTCCTGGGACTGCCGGTTCGAATCTAGGATGCGAATATTGGAGAACACAGGGTTATGTTTGCAGTGATGCTTCGCCATCACTGATAGGCAAATTCACATTTATGAATATCGCCTTTGGTTTCTTAGCATTTAGTTGGATTACACTGAGAGTGTTTTAAACGCCTCGGATGAGGGGAAAGGAAAAAAAAGAAAAAGAGAAAAACCCGACATAAGAAGGAGCGGAACAAAAGCGAGTTTCTCGCATAATTCCTATTTTCTTAACCTTTTCTTTTGTTTGCATCTTCATTTTTGGGAGTTGACTTGATTCTGCATAATGGGGCGCATGATATTCCTTATTTTCTAGGCTGGTCCTCGGAGCTGGTTTTCCTGCATTGGATTGCGATGGGATTAATGGGGCGATATTTCTTGGAGGCCGAAGATCAGGCCTAGGCGATATACTATATTCTAGCTGGTTCTAGGGCCTAGTTTTTTTTTATTATTATTGTTGTTTTGGGTTTCATGGTTGTGGCGTTTGGGTTTGGGGTTTCTCATACTGTTTCTTTACATGGCTACGTCCATAACTTCTTTCTTTGAGTGTTTTCTTTTGTTTAGCATATTTATGTTAGGGGATGTCTTTTCTATGAGCATATATATACATACGGAGCTGGATATTTGAGGTACGTTTATCATACTTAAGTATGTAGTTAGAAATTACTGATAGAATAAAACTACCAGTTATAAAAAAGGTTGTTCTATATTTCTAGTAAGTAAAATATGTACAGAATACAAATAAATGATACCCAATTACTCTTGAAATACATGTAAATGCAAAATAGATTTCTCTCTAGGAGATTTCTATCATAAGGTATCACTCGCTCTTCTTGGTTGCAATGTCCGAACTAGGCTAGTACACTCGTAGAGTATGACATGAGCTACGAGTATTACAGCAAGTTTCATAATACTAGGCCTAGAAAGTGTTCTCAACTCATTGTACAATTCTCGAAAGATAGCCTATATAGGCTATTCTGGGCAGTTGAAAGTGCCTCTTCGGGAGGATATCGGGCTCGGGCTTCCTAAATAGGCTATTATTTTAAGGTTTGAAGGATCACACTATATGTGTGTGAAAGTAATTTGAGCCTAGTATTATGAAACTTGCTGTAATCCGAACAGCTATGCCAGCAATTGGCCAGGACCCGAATGTTCCTACCAGTAGGATAATACTCTACCCTTTAACCGAATCATTCTCCATGATTACATGTAGTGCCGAATCAGGCTCCATGAAGTATCGAATCAGAATCCATGAAGTAATGCCGAATTACAAGTAAGGCCGACATTAACTCCATAGGGTATTTCACCTATCATTCTGAAGGCTACGCATTAGATACTCAAGGACCCACACCAATATGAGATGACATGACTCATAGTTGTAGGTCAGTACTTGGTCGCTGTATTGAACTAGACCTATGTATAGGCAACTTGATACAACTCTACAAGGGCAGATTCCTCTGTCCCCAACATTCGGGGCACTAGCTCAAGTGTAAGCATCTCGATTAGTCTCTAGACCATCAATCAATATCCTCATCTCTTCAGGGGGTGGCGGTGTTATCTGTAGTTGAAATTTCATTAGAGTTGTTTGCACAGGCACTCCTAGCTAGCAACAAACATACATAACACTTCGGGCACAAAATGGAGCTCATGCCTCAAGGCTCAAATAGACAAATCGACTGACATCTAACGGACAGGGCGCTTAAATTTCTCGTACATACGAACCTGCCGTTATCGAGACGCTTACTCAGTTGTTCGGCGCGGACGTGAAGCATCAATGCGTTTTCTGCAGGGTAATCGACTTTTTTTTTATACTTCATTTTTACCACATACGTGTGGTGTATCTAATTTAGACTCATAATATGGGAAGGGGTCAAAATTGTAAGCGCCCTCATGACACACAATTGCATGTATGAAGAGTGCTGATAATCGAATGCTGCACAACGGTTGCGGTGGCTTGTGAATCCGGGAACTTAAGAAGCATATATAACTGCACGTGGTGCCACATGTGGGAAGCAGCACTCAAGAAGCTTAAGGGCGACTACTTAACTTACCTCATTACATCATTGATGCATCACGTACCTACATATTGTATGTAGCCAATCCGTTTCTTTAGATAAATTCTCGTCACGTGAGGGTGAATTATCAGAAGGTAGCCATGAAAACAAAACACTATTTTTTCAACATACACCTACGAATGTTTTTCTGACTTGCCATGGTATATAGTAAGGCTTAACTTTCTGTAGCCATTCTAGGCGTATCTTAAGGGATTAGCCATAATCCTCGGATAGTTTCTAAAGAGGATCATTAATTCGATGGATTTGATTAATCGATGATAGACTATATCCTTAGGAAGACTGTACTTGCGTGAGCACGGTATCGGAGCGGTTTGTTTTCTCTTCGGAAGTATGGTTAGCTGCAGATAGTTAAAACTTATTGAAGTTTTTAAACTGGCCGACCAATGTTTCAGGTCTAGAGATCTCAAACCTCAAATGTAAAAGGTTTCAGAAGGCGAGACATGTCACTCGATCCAAGCCGAGACTTTTTTTATATCTCTTAAGTTGCTTTAATACGAACTTCTTGGGGTGCTGCGCCACAGAAATTTAAAGCGAGGAAGACATTTCCTCTTATGTAGGTACTGTACATACCACCAATCATCTGTCACTGATAGTACTATCATACATGTAGGTACTCTAGAGTACCTGCAATGATCTAACCAAAATGCGGTAGGGCGTGGTCGGTCAGAAAATAATCTAGAATGTAGCGCGAACATCCCTCTATCTTAACCGATCTATGTTCCTTCTTTGATAGGGGCTAAGATATTAATACTGGGGAATGCTTGTTCGGTTTTTTACCCGTCACTAGATACGTGTGGGCCCTCTTAAACCCTTCCTGCCCTCTTCTGACATTCAAGGCTTGAGTGGCCATGGGGAGAGAGTAGACTCGGAGAAATGAACACGCAGAATTAATCAGTGCGGTCGTACATGGTCACAGCAAGGTTGTACAAACTCTGTGTTGGATGACATAATGGCATGATAAAGGATACCAACGGCAAGAGGGCAAGAATCAATGAGACAATCGAAGGGTCGACGCTTGATTCTTGATTCTTGATAGGGGCTCACTTTAGACCCTACCAGTGGCAGAATGCGAGTGAGTGATAATGATCAGGACCGATAGTTACCGGAAATTTCCGAATGCAGAAACCCTTTGGCAGTTAATAAAAGTACGTGCCTAGGACTAAGGAATTCCCATCTGCTGACACTTTTTGGCTGTGACGCATCTTTTGAGTTTCTTTGATTAAGAAGGGGCTGGTTTTATCATTCGATGTGCACTCTCTAGTACAATTGTCGTGATGTTCATGGGAAGCTGCTGCTGCTCTTTAGGTTATTGTTCATGTTATCTGGAAACGTTGTGATATCAGCACAGCAGAATAGAGCTTATTTGTTCCAGAAAGCCTTTTTGGGAATTTGAATTTTAGTTCTGAAATCATCCACCTATTTAGGGTGCCACTTAGATAAAAACGGTTAACCTAGCTCGTAACATAGCCCAACGCTAATTCTTTTGGTAAGTCCATACGATGATCTCACCGCGATTAAGGAAAGTAGGAAGGCTACGATTAGAAAAGGACGATTAGATAGATATTAGTGAATGGGGCTCTTTGCGGCTAAGGCTTGGCGAGACCACGCGGGTCGCTCGGTGCCCGTTTAGATCAGTTAGTTTCTTTTTAAAGACGCTGCTAGGCGGCACCTCAAGGCTCACCGGGGCGAAAGAAGAATGTGCCTCTTTCTCCCTTTTCTACCTCTCGCTAAGTAAATAGTAGAAATTTGAGGGGAAGGGAGTTCTGGTGAACGATTGTCATCATGAGCACTGCTGTACTGGTTGAATAGAGTGCCTGTCATATGGAGTTTATCCTTTTTTACGGGAACTGAGTCCGAAAGCTGCTTTATGAAAAAGTCGTAGAAGCACAAACTCACGATGCACCCTCACCACTCGCTCAGCCCTACTTCCAGAAAGGGGTAGGTAGTCCCCCACCTCCACGCTGCAGGACTGCACCGCACAGCCACCACAAATTCCTGAGACCTGGCATGCATGCTGATTTGACTGGTAACTGCTTACTGTTGGGGGGGGAAGTTCCTGGGTTGCCAGCAGGCAGCAGCCAAAGATAGAGTAACCGAGAAGCTGCAGGCCAGAGAGCTCACTGCTCTCGTACTCCCCCCGCCCTTTCGGTGTGTAGGTAGATTACGGCATGCACAAGTGAGATAGATACTGCAGATACGTTTCGGAGGGGTTTCTCAGTCAGCAGTACCAATCTGCTCGAGATTCTCTTCATGAAGAGAGATATCGTGCCTTCTGGTTTCTCCACAGGATGAGTGACTTGTATGTAGAGAAGGTACATACATGTAGGTCTCTCTCTTCACGATCGTACTCGCTCGCTTCCTGTGTGTAACCTCCCAATTATCGCCTGTGAAACGAGAACAAGTAGTGGTTGTCTCATCCGGCTTTGTGCTTGTGCGTCTCTTCAGTGGAAGCTACTGCTCCGCCTCTGCCACACCTCCCCTCCACCACCCCCTCTTTTCGCCGAGTTGGTCGTCCAGCCGCACGGCTGAACTCTAGCAAAAAAAGAGAGCCAAAAGAAAAAAAAAGCTAACATCTCTCTCACTCTCTCCCTCTTTCTTTCAATCTCCTCCTATCCACTTTCCCTTCTGAATTATCATATCTCGCTGATCCGTCATCACCTTCGCTCCCCATCTTGAGATTGAGGTTACTATTAACACTGCTGCCATTTCTGGCTGGTGCTCCCTTAACCCCCCAATTAACCAGAAACCGCTGGTTTCTTGTTTTTGCGGATATTCTCTGCGTTGAATCCTCTCGTATCCTTCATTTGGTACATCGTTTTTGAAGTTGTTGTGTTGTGGAAGGAAGTCTGCACTTGAGATCCGATCTCTAAACTTTCACTTTCAGCCTCACCATTGTCAACCCTCCCTCCACACTCGACGACTCCCATTACCATCCAGCCCTCATCTCCTGTCAACTTATCTTTCTCTACACCACTGCCTCTTTCTTACCCTATAAACACTATCGTCTCCCTCTCGTACTTACACGATGTCTACTCCACTCAGTAGCCGTCTTAATCGTTTCGGCTTTCCCGGTCGGAAGGCAAGTAGCGCTAATAATAATCCGTCGCCTCCACCGAACCAAGGTCAGTCTTCCGTACCACCTCCAAACGTTGGTCAGGTTGGCCAGGTAGTTCGACCGTCCTCATATCCGCCTCCATACCAAGGTCCTTCCCCAGGAGTACCACATCCCGGTCCCGGAGGCGCAAATAGACCTACAAGCCCGATGCCACCTCAAGGTCCATACGGCCCTGGCCAGATCGGAAGCATTCCTCCCAGTCTGCCCCCACCAGGGATGATGCATCCTCCCCCAGGAGCTGTTGCACAATATGGCCACCCCCCACAGTATGCAGGACAGCCGCACATGAACCACAGAGATAGCCATGGCAACACAATGGGCCACCCTAACCATAGGCCAGGAGCTGCGGAGGTTGAAGGCACAAACAGGAGCAAGGCGCAGTTGATTGTCGGGATTGATTTTGTCAGTGATAATCTTAATATTCGATTATATCGTTTCGGCTTAGCGGAACTGGGGAGAAAATCAAGCTAACAAGTAGATTTTGGTGATAGGGAACAACCTTTAGTGGTGTTGCTTTCGCTTTCGCAACAGACCAAGAGGCCAAGGAGGACATCATTACAGAGTGGCCAGGTGCAGGTAACCAAACTAAGAACAAGGTTGGTCCTAAGCCTCTAAAAAGCTTGGTAAATGAGTACTAAATTCCGTCATCTTAGATCCCAACGGTTCTTTACTACGACCAATACCAAAAGGTGGTTGGTTGGGGTCCTGATATCGCCGATGCCTTGGCTCCAACTGGGTATCCTAAACCTGGTGTGCAAAAGGTATATATCATCCACAGCAGCCACTCTATGATCGTGATCTATAAAAAACTACCCTGCTTTATCAAGCATTATCTACATCTTTATATCTTGATATACATGAAGGGTTTTAAATTGTTAAGCTTTTTTTTTACGTATATGGAGAAATTTGGAACAATATTTTGGGTTGTATTTGCTTGTACAAATGAGATACTGACATATTCTATAGGTTGAATGGTTTAAACTTCAACTCATGCTTTCCGGAAACACATATATCGATCCCATTAACCTTCCCCCACTTCCTCCTGGAAAGTCCGAGATCGATGTAGCGGCAGATTACCTCTTCAAGTTGCGCCAAGCCATGCGTGCTCAGCTGCAAAAGACACTAGGAGAGGTCTTCAATCGTGAGGAGCGCAACATCCGTTACTTCCTTACTGTGCCTGCTATTTGGAACGATGCTGGAAAGGCTGCGACTAGGGCCGCTGCTATCCAGGCCGGATTCCTCAGAGATGAAAATGACAATAGGTTGACATTGATTACTGAGCCTGAGGCTGCCGCTATGTTCTGCTCAAAGACCGGTCTATTAAATCTTAAAGTTCATGACGCAGTTTTGATTGTCGATTGTGGTGGTGGAACTGTCGATTTGATTGCATACGAGGTTGAGGAAGAAGTCCCATTCACAGTGGCTGAATGTACTGCCGGATCTGGTGATTCTTGTGGTTCGACAGCACTAAACAGAAATTTCTCAAATATTCTTCGTGCCAAGATTCGGAAGATGAAGCTTCCGGATGGATCTAGGACTGCCGGGAAGGTTTACGCAAAGTGTATCATGGACTTTGAGAACCGTATCAAGGCGGATTTCAGGAATAATGGACAGAAATGGGCTGTGGATGTGGGTATCGAGGCTGAGTTCCCAGAAGCCGGGATTGAGGAGGGTTACATGACTTTCACCAATGAAGAAATTCTACAGTGCTTCGAGCCTGTCGTCAACAGAATTTTGGAGTTGGTTAGAAATCAAATCATTGCCATCCAAGCGCAAAACAGACAGCTTCAGGTAGGCTTGTTCTCACTGATCACTCGTTATATTACGGATTACTGATATTATACCACAGAATGTTTTGGTTGTCGGTGGTTTCGGTGCATCAGAATATCTGTTCCAGCAGATCAAGCTTCACGTACCCCCACAGTTCCAGTCAAAGGTTGTTCGTCCCATGGACTCCGTAGCTGCCATTGTCAAGGGTGCCGTTACTGCCGGTATCACCGAGAAGGTCGTAACATCTCGTGTGGCCCGTAGACATTACCTTATGGCTACCCTGCAACCTTTCAAGGAAGGCCACCACCCCGAGCAATACCGTGTTCCCAGTCTTGATGGGAAGGATCGCTGCAAATACACCCGCCAGATTTTTGTGACCAAAGGACAGCGTGTCAAGATTGGCGAGCCCGTGAAGGTCTCGTTCTTCAGACAGGTTGCTCCTGGTGCAACACTTATGTACGAGGATATCTTGTACGCCTGCGACGACGATGTTTGCCCAGAATACACTAAAGATCCACGTTAGTCCCCTTGAAATAATTCTTGTGATGCTTGGTAGCAATTACTGACATACCTTCGCTCAAATAGGTATTAAGGAAGTCGTTACCCTCACCTCTGATCTCTCGCGGAAGAACCTCGAGAAAGATTTTGAGCGCATGGATACGCCCCAGGGAACATTCTACAGGGTTTACTTCGATATCTATCTCACTCTTGACGGGTCTGAATTTAATGCCGAGCTTGTATGCCAAGGAGAGGTCATGGGTAGATGTGTCGCCAAATTCAGATAGACAAGTGCCAGTGTTTGTTTAGAGTTTATGGGGATATCTTTAGAGAAATTTAAAGGACACTGGTTCCTGGGTATGAAATAGTTGATTTTTGAAGAAGCAAAATGTGGTGTTTGGGGCGGTGTGATCTGAATTACGGTAGCATGATTGTGTTTTTTTCTTTCTTTGCGGTGCTTGGTTGTTCCGGCATCGTTTCTTCCCCCCTTTTATCGTACTTGCGTCATATCCAATTTCATTTACTTTATTTCTACGTTTTCATGGCAGTTACGCAATGTACTTAACAGTGTGGAACAGAAACACGGCCCTTTCGTTTCTATCTACTCTCTGCCATGTTTTAATGTCTTGCTGCATTATTAATCTTGTACCTACACCGAATTACTGCGAATCAGAGATTTCACGATGAAGAGTATTTAGAATGTAGTGAGTGACGTACGATAGGTTTTTTTTAGTACTACAGCACTTGATTTGTACTAAGTTACTACTCTAAATACATACCTGTACCTGGTCCGTGCGACAACGAGCGGACCTTTCCCGTATTTACATCAACAATCCCTGTCCATTTAACCCTTGATCTTTCGTCTCTGGAATTGAAGTACGTATCTAGAGTACGTCATTTGTTCATAGCGGTATGGACCAACCAAATATGGAGTGCGCTGGTCGTGCTTAAGTGTAGCCGGGTGACAGTATTAAGGACGATATACTGATATCAAGGTCGGAGTCTGCTTAATACGGTGGTTTCTGGGCCATTGATGAGGTAGATAAAAAGGTAATGACCAATCGGACTAGTTCTGCAATTGACCCAGAAACGATCTATAGATCGTCTGACTTCAAGCATAATGGTAAGGCAGCGTCGTTGTCAGAGAATTTCCGGAAACTCTTTGTGAGGATATCCCTGAAGCACATAAATATTCACGATATCCAACTGGGCATTAATCCCAAGACATGTGGTTGGCGGGCAATTTTGCATCATAAATTATCACTCGTACGACTTCCACTCACTTAGTAAATAATTTTGAATTTCCACCTCATCCGGCACTAGCCATGCCGCTCAAACGTTCTGGTTTCAACTCTAGGTATGGCCCGCTGAACCTGCAGGTGATGATTGTGCTATTGACTTTACCGGTGTCTAACCTAGTCCTAGTCTCAATCCTATTAATGCGGGGGATATCCACATGTCTCACAAATGTCGTGTTTTCACCCTAACATGTATGCAGGCGTTGTATCCGTGTTCCGTTCATAGCTGCCACTTTGATTGACCTGGTGGTTAAATCTTTGGGGTTGGTGTCCAGCAGCTTTGGCTCACAGCCAGAGTTCCATCTCGCTGGAATTATGTGTGGATTCTCTTTGTTCACGAGAGGAGCCTACATGGTGACTGCGGTGAAAACTTGGGTTGAAGGGATGGAGTTTCGCGCTGTGAATATTTGTGTGTAAGGTTGGCTTGTGGCTGTTGTTGGTTGGTTCTGTAGATGGCTGGTGGTGGGAGGAGTGGAAGTTTTGAGATTTCAATACAGCGGAACGGCCATGTCGTGGCTGTCGATTTCGGGATAGAACGTTTAGTTCTGTGAATAGTTTATTTTGGTTAACACTTAGTGGGGGATTTGGTATTTGGTATAAGAAGTGGAAAAGAGGGTGGGAACGCTTCGCTACCTATTTTGGACAAGTTTTATGAGTGTAATGTGAAATATCTGATACCGCCTATGTAGTTCTTATACTTGGGAACGTTCCCAAGTTGGAACGAGCCACATCTAGAGTATATAATGGGGATTCCCCCCATCAGTGGACGGAATCTCTTAGTCTTCTATCTATTCATGGCGTCAAATCGGTCACACTTTCGCAACGTACACTTCTACGACTCTACTAAGGCTGGCGATGCCCTCGGTGGACTCATCCAGAATGGCTCGGTTACGGAATCAAGTTTCCTCGAGATGCTAGGGATTAATGATGGGCATCTTGTCTCGTCCCATCATGGTCTCGGAAGTCTCGAGACCTGAGGTAAGTCTCGAGACGAATCTCGAGATTGATATAAGCTAAACTCAATCTGGGTTTGAGGTAGGAATTTGTACCTGAATCCACTAATGCTCATTTTGGAACAGGGACTAGATATTCTTGGCAAGAAATGATGGATAGAATTTGGGGCCGAAATACACACTCGATTTTTCAAAAGAGGTGCATGAGGAAGCCTGGGCATGAGGAGGCCTAAATACCAGGAAGCACCTCGCTTTGAATCATTTAACATCACTCGGAGGTCTCGAGACTTATCTCGAGATTTAGAAAAAAACTCTCGAGACATCTCGTCTTGTCCCAGGGTCGTCTCGTTAGGTCTCGGGACTGTGAGTCTCGTGCCCATCATTACTAGGGATCATTCTTGTTACGGAGACTCCGATACGTGTTCAGGAAAGAGCTTCTGGTCACATTGTGTCGATGAGTGACAATTCTTTGCAGCCTGGAGCATACGATATATACTGCGATAGTGAGTACCCAGTGGAGGGCTCATAGTATTTGTCTAAAGTTAGCCATGTTCTATTGAGGTCAGTGACGAGGAGTGGATAAAACGCATAATTTCTAATGTTTCAGGTCGAGAGGACACTTTTCGTGACGGAATACGTAATCGAGACGGAAGATGTGTTATATCCGGTGTGGTGAACCAAAGGGCTCCTATAGATGGTCTAGCTTTGATGTAGCTCATATCTTTCCTTTGGAGAAAGAGAATCTGTGGATCGAGTGGAATTACGGGAAATGGATTACGGACAAGGATACTGTTAGAGTGTCGAAAATTAATTCGCTTCAGAATGGATTCCTTCTAAGGGAGCATGTTCATTCATTATTTGATCAGTATTTGGTCTCAGTGAATCCGGATGTGAGTTAAATTTCTAGGGTTTTTATTCATAACGCTGATTATTAAATAGGATAACTACAAGATTGTGGTGTTTGATGTAGACCTGGATGGAATGGATGGATGGACTTTGGATCCAGTGTGTTGTGATGAGGCGGATCCTCATTGTATGTCTGACAAGCTCCTACGATGGCATTTTAGGCAGTCTGTGCGAATATGAGGTGCCGGTGGGCCTGTATTTGAGAATGATTTTGTAGGTAAAGATATGAGGAAGGAGATTCGCGAGGGGCCATGTGCGAAGTAGAGGTTCGAGTTGGAGTTGACGGCTAGATTCAAAGTGGCTGTTTGAGATGCGTGTCGGTAGCTTCATCAATCAATCTTGTTCAGCGGTCTCCCGCAAGATCCACAACCATCTCTGCTCGGAATATTGATGGTCTTATCAACTTTTCTCGAAGGGCTCACAAGAAATATACACAGTCATGCCCTTCGATGGAATCTTCTCAAAACCCTCATCATCCCCTTTCACTCTTTTTAACTACTAACCCCGCCAGGTCTACCTCCTCAGTCATCAATTGGAATGGGTTTTATCAAATTGTCAAAGGATAGATTCTAGTCCTCCTATTCGCGCGGCTATCGACATAGAGCCTAAAGCTCCTATCTAATATTCTTATCTAGTTGGTTCACAATCATACTCGGATCTCATGGACTCATACTCTGTTCAGAACTCCCAATCAACCGCTGCAGCTCACATCATAATTAATAAGACCATTGTCCAGAGACCAGATACTGAGCAGAACGAGGTTAGATTATCATCGCGCAAGAAAGCCCTTCAATAAGTACACGTATCTACACGGTGGCGTGATTATAATTGCTCGGTATTCTGCTGCGATAGACAGAGCGGCTATTTGTCGAACACATCAGCGTTTACTTCTGCCGCCCGAGCGTTCCAGATATGCGCACTAGCGACTCCTACCCACTGGATCAGTCTCTGTGTCCAAATTACCAGCTTGCTGCAGGGGCATCTCGATCTCAAACAGTCACTCGACCTCGGGACAAGTCGTACGAGATTGAACCGATGGTTCGGGTTCAGATTGCGCGGAGAAAGATGCTGACGTGCCGTTATGGTGCTACGGAGACGCCATAAGCTATTGCATTTAAGATTTTCATACACATGCGCATAAAAGATAAACCACCGTGAATGCTTTATTATCAAAAGCCCTACCTTCAAAAACGCCTCAAAACAAGATTAACGGGGAATTGCTGGAGAATTTCATACAAAAAGGGGCACATGCAATTCCAAATCTCCAAATTACGGTTCTACTATTGGACCTAGATGATAAAGCATTTGTGGTTCTGTGTATGGCAATATCGAATATTTGGGATACTAATGTTACATCCTGACCCCGAGGATATTTGAGCGTCATGTTTGACATCAAGGCTGGCCGAAACAGCTATGAAGACGGGCTGGATTTACTATCTTAGTATAATTGTATAGTTTAACGGCAAGTACCGCAATAGTAATAATCCGTTTCTGGTTAAATCAAAAAATTACGGTATGGAAAATACCATTGCCATTCCCAGATAATCATGCAGCTTCGCCTAGCCACTTCTGTATGGAAAAATTATTGGCAGGGAACACGAAGTATCCTGGGAAACATTTTTCAATTCCGAATTGCCGGACAGGACATGTCATGCAATGGTCGGGGCATCTACTCGCTGGCATTCATACGTACCCCCCTCGAACTTCACACACGGATCAAACATTACATTCACTCAAGAAGATCAATGCCGTCCAACATTATCACAAGCAGAAATCCATGGAGCCGGCCTAGGTACATAGCTACTCGTAATATGTTACCTGCGCACGGTTCTTGACAGCTTTGAAAACACGTACTGGTATTGGCCCACGAACCACCTCCAGTGGTCAATGCATTGTCCCCGAACCACCATGGCGCCTTCCCCCCACGTACTGGGAATCTTTAGGATGAGATCCAGGATTCTTGACAGGGACGGGATTGGTACAGGGATGTACATGACATTGTGTATATGTACGCACATGAGGCGGGGAATACTGCGGGTCGGGATATGTGAGGCTTTCGCTCGCCTCGATTGTCGATTAATTAAGCACTCCCGACATGGAACGTTAAATCGAGGTACATCCTCCTGTCATTTATACCCCTATCCCGTCCCATCCCATCCCTTATTACATACGCAAGGAGGGTATGTAAGCATCTTCCCCCCATCACCGCAAGTCATTGTCACCTGCATACGTAAGAATAGCATACGCGGATATCAATCAAACTGCACGCCTTGAATTGTGGGTAAATACCACTGCTACCCCCCCGGTGGGTTTTTTTTTACTATGTAGCCTGACAATAGTTCGAGAACCATCCCTCGAGGTTTAAATGAGCCCTTTAATAAAGCAAGGCTCCCAATGTAGTTCTGGTCCGAGGATGCTGGCTAGCGCTGTGTCGAATGATATAAAACATATCTGCTACCTATATGCATACTTACATGTACTTGGCCAAGCTCTTTCACTTAGAGGGCCTCGCCGCAGGTACGTATGGTCATGCATGGGGAGTTTTGTTTATATGGTATTTTGATGGTAGTTTTTTATCTATCATCATCTATATTAATATATACCGCGCCGTATACACAAACAACCATACATACGCTCAGAAACAAGGGGCCTTTATCATGCAAATCACCCAAAACCGAAGGAGAGAAAAAAAAAAAACAAGAAGACCACCAGAGAGAGGTAAGTGATAACATATAGTTCGATGCTGAAAAAAGGGGAAAAAAAGACGGAAAATACAAAATTGGAAGAACCGATTAGTAGACATAACGGAACCGGGTGTTCTCCCTATCAGTCACTGTATATCTGTTAGAAAACTGGAGAGTACATGTAGTACAAGGGAATGGAACTTACTGTTTCCCCATTTGAATTCCTCAGAAATAGTGTCATCAGTTTGCTCGTTTAACTCTTGCGAACACTTCTCCTTCAAGCTGTTCTGGTAGCTATAGTAGAACCTCAGCAGGACCGCAAATAGTGCTGCACCGGCCTGGGTAACAAGAACCGCAATCTTTGCAGGATAAAAGCTATACCAATATTAGCATCAATATTTTTTTTCTTTTCGAAGACGCTGTATCAGGTGAACATACTTTGGCGCGTCCTTTGCCTGGAAAGTCTGAGGGCCAATGATATTTCCAATTGAAAAAGCACCCGCAATCAGAGACGTGGCGATAGACCGCTTCGTGTGTCCGGCAATGTTTGAAGCGGCCCAGTTAAAGACAATGATCAATACCGCGACGATCTACCGAAAAAAAAGTCGAGTCAGACATGCATCTTCTTACTGTCGATCATTCCCCGCCCCCCACATATCGGAATCAGAATCAGAGACATACCGAATTGACCAAATAGATACCCGCTAAAAGACCACCCTTGTTACTATTTGGCAGGAACGACATCAAGGCTCCACCAAGAGCTCCCGGAACAGCTAAGCCGGCGATCCACAACCACCTGTTTGAGCTCATACCCACTGCAATACCGGAGAGGATGGTGACTCCGATGCTGATGATGCCAGAGGGCATGTTGAGCAGGGCCGCAATGGGCGACGTGTAGCCAAAGTTCTTGATCAGGGTTGCCGAGTAAGTTGTGATAACACCACTTGAAACCGAACACTAGTAAAAACAAAAACAGAGACATCAGCATGCAATGCATAAAACAACTAGTGGAAAGTCCAACGCAAGGGAAGCCTACCAAAACAGTGATCATAAGCATAAGATAGATCTGCGGATCCTTTGCTAATTCTACCGCCTGCGACATCTTGAACTTCTTATTTTCCACGCCGGTTTGGTTCTCGCTGACCCGCTCCAGTACCCGAACGATCTCCCTCTCCTCGAGAAAGTTTGCGCTCATAGGGGTGTCGGGGAGGCAGAAGAATGTCCAAACGCCGATGAGTACGGTCACGAGCCCAAGGACAATAAACATGACTCGCCAGCCTTCGAGCGAGGCGTTCTTGACGTGCTGAAAGCCGTAGGAGATTATGCCGCCGACGATCTGGCCGAGCCCGAGTCCGCAGTACCAGAACCCGAAGCGGGCGGGCTGCTCCTTCTTGGTGTACCACATACCTGCATTTTGATATCAGTACTTTCTATCTTTCTTTCTCGGGCACAATGCAGATGGGAAGGGCTCACTAGTGATAATGGTGAGACAAGGCGCAATTGCAGCCTCGAATATGCCTAGGAAGATTCTTGCAACAAGAAGACCTGTGAAGCTCTTGCAAGCTGCGGTGCAGCCAGTAGCAACGCCCCAAAGTGCTACATTGATGGCCAAATACTTTGCCGCCGGCACCCTCTGAAGAAAGTATCCTGCACCTCACTATCAGTACTTTTCTTTCAGGCCCCGAACCAACATTGATAGTGATACGTACCGGTGGGGATTTCCGCAACCAAGTAGGCAATGAAAAAAGAAGTTGCAGCCCACGTAAACTGATTACCCACTAGCTTCAGGTCCTTTGGCAGTCCCATGACAGCCGCATACTACATGAAGGCAACACCTGTTAGCTCTAAGTAAAAACCTCCCTCTTGCAGATCCATCTAAATGCAAGGGACAATTTTTCAAAAGATATAAAAATAAGAACAAAAAGGGACTCACATTGATGAGTACTTTGTCAACAAACTGCATAGTGTAACATGCAAACATGATGGGAACAATCCTCCAATCGATCTTCCTCAGCAGAGACTTGTCACTCGCCCCCGTTGCCTCGTCTCCATTGCTTCCGGCATTCTGGATGTATGCCAGTGCAGAATCCATGCCCGCATGTTTGGATTGGCTGACGGTGGTCGGTGAGGGTGAGCTGCTGCTGGATGCATCTCCAACTACCACTGAGTGCGTATCCTTCTCCATAGGCAATTCAGAAAAAAACGTGGTGATATTTTTTCTGCAATGAAATGTTATTCTTCCTTTCTCTTCTTCTTCACTTCTTTGCTGACTGGGGGGTGATAAGGAAGAGACAAGTGTAGGGGGACAGGATAAGTATAAAAAAGAGAGGAAGGATGTAGGCAGTGAAGATATGTAGGTAGTAATATATTAGGGGAGAAGCAAGCGTAGAAGGAGGTCAACTCTATTCAACCATTGGAGCGAGACGACTCCAAGTCTTTTTGTGGATTTTTTTCCCTATAATTGCTTTCTGCCCCCCGCTGGCAATCACACTTTCAAGGGTAATTATCATTACTCATTACACTTCTCGCTAGAGTAGTACTAAGGGCATTGCGCATGCGTTTATACGCGGCTCAGGAGGGACGAGAGTTGTACATAGTAGTTAGACTTTGCTCGCTCGCTTACAATGGCAAGCATAAACGGCCGCGAGGTGCATATCTCTACAACACAGTTTGGGAAAATAACGCAAAGATGGCACAAAGAGACACGAGGCTACATATTACGAACTTCCTCTTAGGTATCAGCCCATAGAAGTATAATAGCTAGGGGAGAGGGGGGGGGGGGGCTGGGTGTCTGCAGGATAGAGGATATATCATGCACGGGCCGTTATTAAAGCACGGCAACGAATAGATAGAACATCCTAACTTTTGTTCCTTCATACCTCAAACTTGCTAGACATGAAAAACGTTTGGGAGTTGGAGAAGGAAGGAGCTGGTTCTGGTGCCGGTGGAGGGTAATGTACTGGATATCCACCAAAAATGGCGCTGGGATCAAATCCCCCGGCTATTCCATGGGGATCCCTGCAAGTCAAAAGTGTAATTGGCTTTTACGCACCCTTTAACAAATGGAGCTAATCCGCCAATGATAGGCTGTCAGGTTTTTGCGACCGGGGCGGTGCGACGATCAAAAAATCTTCGATCTGCCGAATGGGAGCGCAAGTTTACACTAAGAACCTTGTAATACTAGCCTTTGTAGTAAATTGGGGGGGATGATATGTGCTGCATGTTTTCTGCCTATCTACTCTGGGTATCTGCCCACTAGTACCTAGGTACATACACCGACCGACAGGGCGAGTTAACTTTGGTGGCGTAAGATATCGATATATCTCGATGAGCATCGCCTTTTCCTTTTGGGATGCCACATTCAGGACCACAAGTTAAGCCGTGCGCTAGCTCTATTGGCCTACCCACATATATTCTATCATTCATGCATGCCATAGAGCAAGGAGTAGAGGAGCTGATCAGAAGTTTGATTAGCTTCCTATCAATCCTTGAAACGAGCCGAGGATAGGTTTCTGTCATGCCAGAAGAATTTCTTATACGTCTCCCACCCTCCATACAGCTTCATTGTGATCTTCCTCTTCCTCTTCGAATCTCCCCTCCTACTGCTCCCCTTGCCCCGGGACTGTGGAGCAAGGAGTCGTCTGGACAGATATTTGTTATGTAGTAGGGTGTTCAGTTCAGTTTGGGGTTTGGAATGTTCTTTTGATGCGCACTTGTCACACTTCATTCGTCCCCAAACCCAGTTGTTTCCTACTCGGATATTTGAGATCCCAACTTTTGAAGTATTAAGCACCTTCCTGCCTTGTTCCTGGGGGCCGGGTCGCCTATCCTAGCAATTTGTTGCAGTTTATTTTTTCTCTATCTCTTTCCCTCTCTAGACTGTATGCTGTTGGATGTGAGAAATTTCAGAAAGTGAGAAAAAATATTGGTCGAACCGTACCCCGGATCAAGCAAAAATCACCCGGGAGTACTCGCATCATGCAGTATAGTGATCGATAATCTCAGACCGACCGTTAACCCCCTAGTCTTGTCTAAGTCTATTACTATCTCGCACTAGTTTAAGATCAACGGGTTTCCTAGTTTTTTCCAAGATAATCCGAAGTCAGACTGAAAGAGAGAAAGAGCATCATTGATATATAGCAAGCCCACGAGTTTCCTTTCCTTCTTGAAAACCCACAGTCAGATCTAGTCACTCCTTCAACAAACATGCAGTGGGTTCACAACCTGGCACCGGGCATTGTGTCCCAAGCCCCCATGATTATTCCGGTCTGTGTGGTTCTTACAGCTCTTGCCGTCGCAGCAACATTGCTGCGGTGCTATGTGAGGCTTTTTATGCTGAAGACCTTTGGAGCTGATGACTGGGTCATCGTTTTCTCGGTGGTTAGTTAACAGATTGATAGCCGCAACTCAATTGTACGTCAGCTAATCTGGTTGTTCATGCAGGTTTGCAGTATCATCTACAATGCCCTTACCATTGAACGTGCGTATATGAAGAATCTTCATCGTTGATCACTCGGGTCTGACAAGAATTTGTAGAGACACGATGGGGACTAGGCCTTGATCTAAAGGACAGACCAAAAGTGAATGCAAACAGATATTCGGAGGTTTGTTTGATACTCTATAGTTCTGCATGCACTGAAGCGGGGCTGACAGATTTTCCAGGTCAATTTTGCCGGGCGGCCGTTCTACATGCTAGGCATCACGGGATTCAAAGTCTCTCTATGTCTGGCGTACATCAGACTTGTGAGCAAGCAGAAGACGTATAGGCAAATTACCTGGTGTATTCTCTGGGGTTGCGTGCTGTCCCATATCGGTGGCATTCTTGTCTTGATGTTTCAATGCAAACCCGTGAGTAACGCCAGCGGATCGTTCGAACCCGTTTCCCGGATGATTACTGACTGACTTGTTAGGTCCAAAAATCATGGGCTCCTGCAACAGAGGGATCTTGTCTTCGTAACGACATCACTTTCTATGTGCTTGCAGGTATGTATTCGGCCATCATATGGTGATATGGCCTGGGTTCTTACACAAGTATAGCAAACACCATCTTCTTTGACATCTGCGTCATCATTCTGCCGATTCCTATTTTTCTCCGAACACAGATTGCGAATAGAAAGAAGGTAAGACAACTTATCAACGCATGCTGAAGAGTCATTCACTAACGCCGATTCAAGGTGGCTCTCATTGGTCTCTTTGCCCTCTTCAGCTTTACCACAGTCTGTTCGGTCATGCGGATGGTTCAGATCATAACCATCGCAAAGAATGGAAACTCTACAATGCTGGTCCTCTGGGGCACAATCGAGATGAACGTTGGGGTAGGTCCAATCTGAATCACTTGCTTACTGGCACAATGAGGCACGGTTCATCCAAAGCCCAATACTAATCCCGTTCCTCACACATAGATTACCACAACTTGCATTCCTACGCTGGCCCCGTTCTTTAAGTATTTTTCTGAGCGAAGCCAGCACTCGAACAAGCCCTCATCGCTCGGCTATGTTTCAAACAACTCTCGTCGCTCGAAGCGTACCATGGAGCTCTCGTTCATCCGCGAGCAAAAGCGCTCGGGAGCCTCAGCATACTGTGCCCACACGGGCAGCGCTAGTCGTGACTGCGACAGCGAGGAGAATATCCTGGCGGTGGCCCCAGAGGCTCATCATCGCTTGGATGGGATTCAGATGAAGAAAGATTTCCAGGTAGAAATTTCTAGTGCGCATTCTTAATGACGACCACCGACCACATGCCTCAGTTGTGCCCTCAATTTAGCGATTTCTTTTGTACTTTGTTAGCCCCTCGGGCAAAAGTGTATATTAATACCCCCCCGTTCTTTTGTCAGATTATTATGTAGAGTATGAATCAACGGAACGGGTGCAGGAAAGGCCTTTCCTTCTGTGGCGACAGTATTCCAATAAAGACACGAGGCTCTTTCGTTCATGGCTTCCTTCCTACCTTGAAGGCTTCGTTCCCTCTGTATGTACCACCTGCATATGTGTCGCCTCTCAGTGTGCGATTCTTGGGAATCTGCACTTGGTAATTGCACTAACTCACTCTTACTTCCTTACCTCCTTAATTTGCCTAGATGAGTAGGCAAACGCTCTACTGGGTATCTCACTGAGTGGGTGCATGCTGTCAGCTTATTTGTTTCTTGGTCAAGTTGTTTAATCTTTTTAATCTTTAGCAAAAAGCAAGCCACTCCCACCAACGTCCCCCCAAAAAATCGGCTATCGACATCATTCGTTGCAAGCGCAGCACTCGTCATACCTGAGATGAACACAGCGGAACCGAATGTTTTAGTTCGCTGCTCTTATGATTTCCATGATCGCACTTATCGTCCAGGGTAGAATTTAAGATTAAGGTGATCATGGGCTAACCACCTGCCGAGCGGAGTGATCTCCCGTCGGCCGGACCCCAGAAGGCAGAGGGCACAGCTTGCTACGGGTCCGGAATTTGAAACGCTCGGCGAATTCTGCACCAGGACAGGCTATTGGTGTATGTAAGTGCATGTAGTACGACAAGAGCGATTTTCGATGTCGAATAAGCAAACAACTCTACGCTTTCCAATTCTAGTTGCGCGGGTACATACTTTCTTGGTCGGGTGTCTAGGCGCGGATTCCAAATTCAGAATCTTGTTCTAGTTGGACGGAGATAAAAAAAATTCTCCGGCAGCGCACTTTAATCGGCTATTCTGCTCTATTAGTTTAACCGCGGAAGCTGCAGAAATAGCCGCTCATATATATTAGGGTGCAGCGCGTCTGCGGTCGCAACCTCCCTTTTCTAAATTCTGGCGTTCCCGCTCCAAGGCCTCGTTAAAAAGGGAGGCGTCCAGGAAACCTGGTCAGCTGAAGCGCCACCACCAAAGCTTATGGAGACATGCTGTTTTTATGTTGAACAGCGAGCTGGCGATCCTAGTCCAAATCTGATGACCGAGTGACCAATCATGAGGCTCGGCAAGAAGCCGGATAGGGTTAACGACCTTGGCCGTCCTTCCGTTATCTGGCAGGGAAATTTTCCCCGGTGTCACCCTTTTCCCCTTCCCATTTCCCCCATCTTTTTTTTTCTTTCCAGACAGGCAGCTGCTGCTGAGAGTCTTACGATTCTCACAAGCACTGGGCGAACTAGACCGATCGGTAGAGTCGGTCCTAGCTGAGCTTATTAACCAAAAGTAACCTATTGGAGATACGCGCTGGTGAAGGAAATGTCTGTGCGAGAGTTGCGCAACCAATGAGACTTTGTCGTTTGTTCCTCCCTTGCTTGACTGTTAGGATATTGCGCACGACCTATCAAGTGGGATAAGAGTAGTGTGTTTGGAAACAACATGTGCTGTTGATACTGAACGACAGGATATCCTCTCGCTGCTGTAGAATTAGAGGGATTTCAGGTGGGACCAGTTGGATTTGTCTCTCGCTTGAGATGAATGTTTCCTACGTCGTCATAAGCTTTAGCGGTTGCACCTCCAACCGACTAGGTTTCCTGGACTTGTTTGGTTTGACACCCTGTCCGGATGTTGCTTTCCGAGACTCACCATTGGTCACTCGGTTCTCGGGATCTTGACATGCAAGTTGTTTGTAGCCAGGGCATATACATGTAGTTACTAGGTAGATGTCCTAGCATTGGGTCTTCTAAGGTCGACAAAGATTCATCTCAACACAATAGGGTGACCGTTAGCAACTTCGTCTGGAGCGCCTCTTGATTAGCTGGACTGGTTTTTGATTAGTTGATTTTGTTATACTGGAAGCCTTCGAAATTTCGCTTACCCGAATTTGCTCGCTGCTGTCCAGTGAACCGAATATTTGGACTGGATCTGTTACAATGTAGATGGCCCCTTATCTTGCATGTATCTCTCGGCCGCGTTACTCTAGAAGAGAGAGAGGGGGGGGGGGGGGGGGGGGGCAGCATGGAAGCTGATGAGTCGATATCTTGAGGATGAGCTCGATCCATGCCCTGCTGGTTTAATTGTACTGCTTGTAGGGGATGGACACGAGAGTATCTCAAGAAATTACCCGGCTGGCTTTAAATCAAGGTCGTGGTGTAAAATTTACCCCGTTACCTTAGCTAAGCCCACTACGGCTGGTGCCTAACAACATGTGTACTCGAGTGATATATTATGACCAAGTATTCTTGATTTCGCTTAGCGTGATGAGAGGTTTTTTCTTTACTCTGTGGTGTGTGCGCTATATCGTTGATACCATCAAGGAAGGTTCCTTTCTCAAGGCCAATTGATTGCCCTTTCTGATTTCTCTCAGCGACCAGGCACCTATCAGTTGAGTTCTCAAGAAGCTGATACATTGAGGTATGGACTGGACATCGATTGCAGCTACATGTATCGATGCGCCAAAAAAGTTTATTTCTTCTGACACAGTCACCAGTACTTTCTTGCGTAGTCAGGGCTTGGCATAACATGTCGTTTTCTCCAACGTCACCTCCCCATGCAGAAGCCGTAAGCCACCATCAACTCACGCTACTTCATCATCAGTCAATCCGTCATTTACTGTCCAGTAAAAACTATACATGATATTTTCTATTATCATGGTATTTAAGGGCTCATAGTACCCCTTATATAAGGCGTACAAACCTTTTCGGGGGCGCGGCAATGTCAAAGTAGGGTTGTAAATGTACAAAACACAGATTCCCTTGGGGACGATATTCCTACCAACTGACTATCTATAGTTGAGCCCTTCAAGCGAGCAGACGTTACTTCTGATCACGGTTCCCATGGGATAGGCGAAGTTACAAAATAGAGACGCTTCGCACACCGATAGGAAAATATTTATAACTCCGCTTCACCAGCCTTGGTGGCGATGGATCTCGTCACAATAGAAAACCATGGGTTGTTTGAAGTAGAAGAAAAGTTGACTCTGGTCATTAGGTGTTCTTTTTCTATCTTTCTAGCTGGTTTGACTAATATGTGGGTCATGTAGAATCACTCGGGTTCCATTTACTAACCGAGATAAAGAACGGAGATGCGGGTTTCTTCCCGGATACTTACTTCTTTTGGAGTCGCTCAATCAACCCAAGTAGTAAATTATGAGTGCCAAGGGAGGATGATGCTGGAGATCACGGGTTTCATGGCGAGATCCCAAGCTACCTACTGGAGTAGTGTGTGACCCGTAAGCTGAGCATAAATTCAAGCTGGTTCCGCTTCTTGGAGACTTGAGCTTGCAGAGCTCGAGCTATAAGGGCAGGTGCATAGCACAGCTCGAGCGGCATTAAATCACCCAAATGAAGTCTATATCATATCTCATTGTATTACATACAACATAACACTTACGGCTCAAGACTAAGATCACGAATTTGAGTAAGTGACTTGAGACAGCTCGGCTCCCAGGGAGACAAGGCTTGCTTTCAATGAGCCATGAGTCTAAAGCTTGAGCTGGCCCGGTTCACGAACCGCATTAAGATGTTACTGTTACCGTTACTGTCACTGTAGTTGTAGAATGGCTGGAGTTGAACGGTCGCCAGATATCACCCAAGATGTCGGACGCGCATCGGGTTTTACAAGGCAGCTGGACCGATGCTGAGGCTTCACATCAAATTGAGTGTTCTTGGAGACCAAGTCACCGCTTAAAAAACTAGGCCCCGGACTACCGCTAGAACAACTTCACTACCTCTCACTAGGTCTTGGGACATCCGTCTACACATGCACATGCAAAACCGCGCGCCGGATATAAAGCCGAGCCTTTTTAAGCCCGAGGTTTTAGGCATGTGGTACAATATGTGCCTATATGGCACGATATGTGCCTTTTCCCCGAATCGGCTTTCCTCCCGTGCGGCTTCCCGACCGACTTGTTTGGTCGGGTTAAAGTAATGCCGTGTCTTTGAGATAGAAGTCAACACGTGTCACGCTCATTAGTAGTGTACCTACTACTGATAGATGGTCTATAGGCCGTTTAATATCCATCTCTTATATGGGGTTAAAATTCTTTATATTTTCCGAAAATCAATGCCACGATAATCAACGCCGCGGTGCTATATTGAGACCAGAAAAAAAAGAAAGAAAAAATGAGAAAAAATGAATACACAAAAAAGCCCACGTACAGCCAATAGATACGAAACTTGGCATATTTATGCAAGAACAGAGACGGAAATCAATCTAGTTAATAAGGTCGTTTTCGAGTAACCTATCGTAGTTTACCGAGCAACCTAGGATAAATTCTGGCCGGTCCCGAAAAATTCCAATAAAAGCATCTTCTCGGTCACTGCATGACTTGAGGCCTGTTTGATCCAACAGGATAAGGAAATTGTATCTATATCAAAGCAGAATCGTCAACGGCGCATGATATTCTACATATATTACTTGCCCTCGCGTTGGGCACTATAAGGGCCTCAATTATACTACCACATACGAGTACTCCTTGAGCATCTGCATTAGTATCGCTCATATCTTCCAATAACTCTAGGCCGCTTGGAAATTCCGAAGACAGAGAAAGGCGATATACGATAGTAAATTTTACAGTACCTAATTGCAGACTACTTTGGCCATAAATGGCCCAAAGATTTCCTAGGGGTGAATGTCTATCGGAATTTCCAGACTAGACCGGGTGGCTGGGGTTTTTACCAAATATCTTCGTACTTCAAGGATTCGAATACAGTCTAGAAAATAAGATCCCGGTGAATTATATATACTCTGGATCTTACCACAATTCACGGTCACAAATGACGTGCTACATATGGAGGGCTTTGATACCTATATGGCTAGTAGGGCTAAAGCCCCCGCCCGCAGGCTCTCCAACAAGAATTAAGAAGCCATTAACAATTATGGTTCCCGCTAAGAAAGATTATGTCTACATCGTTGTAACAGTTCAATGATCGCAATTGGTTACACACGCAACGTGGTGCAATGATGGGCGA